GAGGATCTGATTGAAGCTGCAACTTCGGCGACGGAGGTTGATGATCGCGATTTGACTCCGGTAAGAGCTAGGAATCTAGTCACCATTGTCTTACAAACTCTCAGTCTTATTTTGGGGGGGGGGGGGGGGGGGGAAGCAAAAAATAATAATAATAATTACTGATGGTTTCCTTTGATAGGTCCCTAAATCACCACCGTACCACTCCTTCAACAGCGTAACCTCCGCCCCCTCAGCAACGAAACATCGCTCCTCCCTCCCGCCGGCATTCCAATCGACACCAGGCCTACCCACTCCACAACCACACTACCGCCAATTCCCACCACCACTCTCCTACACCGCCTCCCCGCTCCAAAAGGCCCTCACACCTCCCCCCTACGAACCCCACGGCAGCCTGGACAACGACCTGGAACCGTTCCCCTCCATCGAATCCTCCCTCGACTCCAACTCCTCAGTCATCTCCGGCAAAAACTTCCACATGTCCTCCGCCGGCCTCCCCACCTCCGCAACCTCAGACTCAAGCCCCGTCCAGCCTCCACGCCCCTTACCAGCAACAAGCAGCCCCTACCCGCCCTTCTCCCACCCGCAACAGCTGCAGAACCACCATAACCAACACCACCCTCACCCTCACCACCCTCACCACCCTCACCACCCTCACCACCACCACCTCAACCACCGCCTCTCAAACCCAACACCCATGTCCACCACCACCGGCATCAGCACCAGCACCAGCAAAGATATACACATCTACTGCGCCTGCTGCTCCCGCCCCTGGCCCGTCCGCGACTGCTTCGCATGCACGAATTGTATCTGCGGCGTGTGTCGCGAGTGCGTCAGTGTTGTCATGGCGAGCTTGCAGACAACAAGCGGGGGGCAGGCGGCGTCGATTTTGAATCCGACCACTGGTGCTGGTGCTGGTGCTGGCGGTGATGATAATAGTAGTAGTAATGGTGGTGGGGGGGATGCTGGGAATGGTAACGGGAATGGGAATGGGAATGGGAATGGGAATACGAATAATTTTGGTGGGAGTGGGCGAGCAGCAGGTTTAGCGAGTCGGAGGGGATGTCCGCATTGTGGGACGGTGAGTGGGCAGTGGAAGCCTATCCAGTTGGATTTTCGGTGATGGGAACTGGAAGAGAATAAAAAGAAATAATGAAATGAAAAGAAATGAAATGAAATGAAATGAAAAGAAAAGAAAAGAAAAAAAGAAACAAGAAACAAGAAAAGAAAAAAGAAAAACCAAAAAAATGATTTAAGTATTGGTATTTTTTTCATTGGGTTGTTGTTATTGATTACTATTTTCCGCTGTTTACCTCACCTTCCCCGATTCTCTTCCTCACCCCGACCCCCGCGCTCTTGGGGATCGATTTCCATTTTTCTCGCAATTGACGATGATGATGACGACGGCGATGACAATGATGACGACGATTATTGAAAGATGAAGATGAAAGGATGAAAGATTCACAGATGATGAAATGTCTTTTTTATGCACCTCTCGTTCCCTCCCTGACCTTATTTATCCATCCCTCTACCTACCTATATATATTTACCTGTATATACTTGCTCCATTTTCCCATTTTCCCATTTTCCCATTTTCCCATTTTCCCATTTTCCCATTTCCCCATTTTCCCATTTCCCATTTCCCATTCCCATTCCCCCCCCCCTTTGTTCCCCCGCTTCTTATTCTACCCAAACCCAGTCCAGCACCTCTTAGTCCCCTGATCCTCCAACCCCTGCTTGGTGCATCGCATCGGTTTGAACCAGTTACATACATACATACATAGCATACCTACCCCAACCATCACACCCGCAAACACCCTTTTTTATCTCAGTTTTTTGATTCAGTTTTCCCACGATGCACCCAGCCCAGCTGCCTGCTTTGTAAGAACAGGCAGAAGAATAGCTTTTTTTCATATCTTCCTTCTCCCCCTCCCCCTTCCCACCCATTTCGGGATCCCGAGTAACTCTACTGTACTACTGTACTGTGCTGTGGTTTTTCGCTGGTTTTGGCAGCCCCCTACTGTTGGTTTTATCATTCTTTGCTTTCTCTCGTACATATATATATATATATATATCCTATCTATTATCATATAAATATCCCATGTATATACCTCTTTTTGTGGTCTTCTTTTTTTCAATAAGCCTTTTTTTGTGCTGGTTCTGTTTCATCTATCTGGTTAACTCTCTTTTTTCCGATCCGGTCCGGTCCGGTCTGGTTTGGTGGTTGTTTGCGTGTTGATGATGATGACGGGTGAATTGGAACGGATGGAATATGCTGGCTTCTCCTTCTTCTTCTTCTTTGTTTCTATTTATATTTTGGTATTTATATTAGTATTCATGGTTATTCCCTTTTCTATTTTCTTGTACTGAAACCCGGATTAAGTTACCTCCATCTAATTCTATTCTATACCTCCATCGCCATTTCGTTGAGCGTGTGTAAAAAAAAAAAAAAACGTTAAAATTGAAGTGAAGAAGTTTTTTCCCCTTTCTGTCTTTTCTTTACTATATATAGCCTCTGTCTGCCGTTCTTCGTCATCTCATTCAGTTCAGTACATGTATGTACATACATTTTTTTTCATCTGTCTACTATTTATATTTAGCATTAAGGGATGGTTTTCTTTACTCGTTTTTTTTCTATTAATCTGCAACGTTATTTAATTTTTGGTTTATTTTTATTTTTAATGTTGTGAAGGGCGGAGCTGGTGGATGGGGAGGAGGATGGGGGCAAAAGAGGGTTTGAGAGGCTGTGGGCTGTTGAGTTGCAGTTGTTGGGATGGATGCGGCGCGCCGGTGCTGAAGAGGGGGGAGGAGATTGAAGCTTTTCTGGTGTTTACTTAACCACTCACTATACTCCATATTCCGTATATAATTGATAGTTCACTAAAACTGCCCTTGCCCCCTTTTTCCCCCTACTTTTCTTTGAGTGTTACTGAATTTTTTACACGTATATACATATATATATATATATCCTATCCTACCCCTCTATGTAGCTAGCTAGCTATATAAGATGACGAGTACTGAACAAACACACCGCATATATATACAATCCTTTCTTATGGATCTACCCCTTTTGCCCATTATTTACATCAAGGGTATGGCTGTATTGAAGTTAGAAAAGTCCACAAACCTGGTGATGCGTCCTCTGGAAGGGTCGAGAAGGGACCGACGTGCTGTTGTTCGAGGTGGGTAGTCAGGTAACTAGTCAGTAAGTAGCCTTGGGTTTTTTTTTTTTTTTTTTTTTTTTTTTTTTTTTTTTTCCTGTATTCCGGTATGAAGCGGATTTCTCGTCGAAGCTCGTCGTCGTGACTCGCAAGCGGGATGAAAGCAATCCAGACGGTTTCTTTAGTTGGAGCTCTCGTTTAGTTAGACGCCAACAGGCGCGTGCGGGTGGGGCTCCGCGCGGCTAACTTCTAGCTCTAACTATTGCAAGATTAAAAAGAGGGAAGCTGTGCAGCAAGAAGAAAACCATTGACATGAATAGTATTTAGTATTGAACTTGCATATTCTATTATATATATATATATATATATATATAAAAGAGATGGCCCTCACCAACAGATTCCTCCAATCCTTCAACCACTTCTCCAACGAGATATTCCGCCTCAATTTTGGCCGCGTGGTTCGTCTCCGTGAACACCTGGATCCTACAACCCCCCCCCCACGGACCGTTTGACCTCCTGACGGAGGCGGGGAAAGTGAAGCCTAGAGCGCTCAATCCTGCCACATATATCTGTACGTGAGGGCCTTGCATGTATCTCTGGCGTGGTCAATCGCAATTTGCCAGGAGAAATATGAAATATGAAAGGCTGTTTTTGTTAATATAATAACCCCTATCTCTTTTCTTTTTGTTGAAAAAAAAAAAAAAAAAGTCCCCAACGGCGCTTCCATGCGCCCGAATTCACAAACGCTGCAGAGCCTTGCAAGGAAGGTTAGAGGAGATGTTTACATATATTCGGTTCCTGCAGGTTCGTCTCACCAGATTCACCAATGGCTTACTTTCATCTTTTAGATCGATTGATGACGATGATGATGATGATGATGATGTTAATCGAGTACAGGAACTCAGCTTCCCAAGCATCTTATCCTCGTTCATGAATTCCGGGATCACTTCTCGCTGCAGGCCAGGACGGAGATGACGGTTGAAGGTGAAATTACGTTTTCTTTTCTTCTCTCTCTTTTTTTTCTTCTCTCTCTCTCTCTCTTTTTTTTTTTTTTTTTTTTTTTTTTTTCTTTCTAGCTGGTGCATTTTGAATAAGAGGGGTGTCAAATATATGTATAAGTATACGGAGTATACAATTGCTAATTGGTCAAATAAATAGATTTGAATGCCCAAATCACGGATTTCCTAGCTACGAAAGCGGAGTGCCTTACAAGAGAACAATGGCTCCTGAAATATCCACACGCATCGTATTTTTGGAAGTAAACTCTTGCGTTTGCTGATAGGAACCCACCGCGACGAAGCATACGGCTATCAAGCAGATCGGAACCAACCGATTCTGGTGTACATCGCTCCTCGACTGTATCCGGTCATAGGCTTTCGTGTTCAACTACGGACGGAGAGTACACCGTTGCCAATCATCACCTATGTTTGAGGTCTGTTTTAGAAGTTCCTGCTCTGCATGGCTGCAGCTTCCGAGCTGAAGGGGGACCTTTTGCTACGTATTTTGATTTATGAATAATTTTAAATGATCCCTGAATTAAGACTTGAGCTGTTTTGCTTAAGTCCTCCTTACCAATCAACACTTTTAATGTCTTTGGGGTGCTTTGGTATGAACACGCCTAGGCTAGCTCCGCGTTTTGACTGGTTGACATATTTGAAGACCTACGACCATCGTACTGTTGGTGATATTAACGAAACCGTGTGCGGGGAACTACAAAGTCAGCATGTCCGTACTTGACTTTGCCAGCCCCTCCGGCCTTAAACATTGCAACGAACCTACCCTACGTCAAATCCCCAGGAACTCTCCCTAGGACGACTGCCGTCGCTGAGCCCGAGGCGGCAAATGCCGTTCGAAAATTTAGACATTTCCATCATACCAAAATCGTATCTATTCCCGAGTACAATTCCAAGCGACCGCAGTCCGTGCTTCGGTTTCCGGATCGAGCCGTTAACGGAATCGGGTGTGGCAGGCGAAGTCACAGTCGCATTGCTGCCGACACGAGACTTGGCCGGCGTACATAATGCTATTGGGATAACGTACCAGACACCCCACAGCGGGACTGTCCTCTGGTCCCGCCTCAACACCTCTATCCCAAGCCACGGTCACTCCCGAGCCAACAGGCCCAGCCCAAGTCCCAACAGCTCGCCCCGAAACTCAATACCAACCCTCTCTCGTGCGGGAGGGAGTCATATCTATTGTATACAGTCCCCACGGCATCCCTTAAAATACTTCGCTGGACGAAGACGCCTCGAAACATCTACATATGGACTCCAACTCTCGTGCGCTCACACTGCTAATCTACTCTTTCCCAAGTGTGCAGAGCTCATGGTACCTAGGCGGAAATATCATCGCCGGCGCAAGCCGCGGTGGTGTGCCGTTAGCGAAGAAACTGAGAGCGGAATGCTGGATTGGTGCGCATGATGAGGAGAAGATTAGTGGCGGCGTTATCATGAAGTTTTCTCAAGAGTGAAAGAGGAATGATCGGGGATATTATGAGAAGGGATGGGGTTGTATGTGATGTTAGAGATTTGGAGGTTGGAGGGGAAGTTGTTTTGAGGGCGTAAGGCTATATATACTTTTTGCGCGTAGTAGTTGTGAGTGAGACCATGGTCTGTAGTGGGTCACCTAAATCGAAGAATGGCACATCCAAGCAACCCGGTTGTCGAAATAGACCCTTAAAAAGACAAGTTATATAAAAGACAAGTTATATATATATATATATATATATATATTAGAGTAAATACAAACAAATAATGTGCTTAGGGAAAGGTAAAGGCTTGGGCATCAGAGGGGAAGAAGCGCGGGCAGGTCGTTTTCGCGTGGGAGAGGATGAGCGCTCTTGGGATGATTGGGGGTAAACGAGGATAAAACACAAAACACGGTGTACAGCCATATTTGCTAGGAGAAAGAAAAGAGAAGGAGGAAAACAGCAGGAAACATGCAGTTGGTATGTATAGTTATAGCAAAGGATAGGTAGGAAGACAACTCGTCGAAATTAAGGCAAATAATAACAATTAAAAAATAAAAAAAAAATTAAAAAAAATAAAAAAAGCGCTTGAAAATTTTGCAATCCTAGCTAAAACAATAGTTGACAGGGTGGATAAGAGAAATCGGGGAAGGGAGTCGTTGCTTCTTGGTCTTGTTCTTGGGAGTTTCGCTATTGTCCCTCATGTCGTAAATTCTGCTGTTATTCAATGGCTTCAACGCATGATATTCAGAGTAGCTCAAGTGTTGTAAGGGGAGGAAGAGTGGAGGTATCAGAGGAGATGGCGGGAAAACGGAAGATGCTCAAAAGTGTTTAGGATTTTCAGAGTAAGATGAAAAAGAATCAATATACAAAAAAGAAAGAAAGAAAAAAGAAAAAAATTGGAAGGGAGGAGAGGAGCTGAAAGCTAAAGCGGTATTTGTAAATGGGATGAACTAAAAGTAAGATTAATAAACAAGAGGCAAGAAAGCGAATTGTGAGAACCTAAGGTGGTGGTGGTATGTCGATGGATTATATAGGGAGAAAATTGCGCCGACCGTGCGAGGGATAAAAAAAAGGGGGAATATAGTGTCTCCATCCACGTGTAATATCCAGACATAAGAAGCGCTGCGGAAACAAGAACTAAACACAGGAGGAGCATATGAATGGCTGATGGTGTGAGAGGCGGTGGGGGGCAAGGTAAATAGGGCACGCCCAAATGGGACAGAATATACAGCAATAATGGACGCAGATGGGTAATTAAAAGAAAACAAAAACCAAAGAGGCTTAAAGGGGACAGATCTGATAGAATAGAAGAGAGAAGAAGAGAAAGAGAAAGAGAAAACTAAGATGACGGTGAAGACAAATATATCTAAAATGAGCCAGCTTTCAACTTTCAACTGATACCCAACAAATACACAGCGACATTTATAGAACCCCCAATTCATTCTTATACAAACTGGTTACGTGAACACCCCACAAAACCGTAGCTAAGCATCCCCCAAAGAATCCCTGCGCTTACCTCCATGGTGGCCGTTCATCTAAACCCCTCGAAGACAGCGCGACGCTGTCCCTCCCCGACCGTGTTGCGCGTGGTTGCGGCAGCATACTAATACGTCTACCCGAATGGCCCAATGCCGTTCCGGGCCGGGTCACGGCTTTCTTCGCGCCATTATCACCACCACCGTTACTCATAGTATTGCCCACATTTGTCGATACCGCTCGCACACTGGGTTGGCCAGCGTAGCTTTGTCGGCTGCGGGGCGTGGTAGCTAGTAAAGGGGAAGGGCTGGGCAAGGCAGAGGACGGATCCTTGCAGAGTTTGCTGTAAGGGGGTGGGTCGTTGAAGCGGAAGCGTGTGGGGGTGGGTGACGCGCCTCCACGGTCTGGGGCGGGAGAAGTGAGGTGGCTGCCTGTGAGTCGGCTTGAGGGGCGGTAGGAAGAAGGGGCGGGAGAGGCGGATGACTCGCGGCTGAGTGGGCTAGGGATGGGGAGGGAGAAGCGGGAACTTGTGGGGACAGTGAGCTTGCGGTGCGGGGATGGCGTGGTGAGGCTAAGTGGTTTAAAGTTGTGACCCACTACAAGGTCATTCGTGTTAGGGCTATTGTTCCAGCGCGGCTTGGTACATGTAGGGTTGGGTTTTCCAAAGGAATTTCGGGATCCAGGGCGAGGGGTGGAGGGTGAAGGAGATAATGTGGAGAGTCGTGGGGATGGTGGTGTGAGGTGGCTCGAGCTGGAGGTGGTGCGGGGGATGGAGGAGCGGCGAGGGGCGGAGGAGGCTTGAGGCAGCCCGGAATAGCGCTTCAATTTTGTTGCAGTGGCCTTTGTGGTGGCGTTACCGGTAGAGCTTCCTCTTCTACTCGATCCATTGATGCTTGATGCTACCCCGCTGTTGGCTCCATTGGCACTCGACATGACCACTGAAGAAGCAGGGGAGCTATCAGGAGTATCAATGGCACTTCTGTTAGCAGGACTATCAAGCGTGACGATGCTGGATATCGAGTCCCGTAACTGTTGGCTTCTGGCAACATTGAGGTCCTCCAGGAGCATATCCATGGCGCGAATCTTGTCTTGCATCGCTTCCCACCTTGTTTTTAGATCTGCAAGCAATCTAATAATTTCCCCATTGACCGTCAATCTATCGTTAATACCCTTCTGTATGATTGCCAACACGCGGTTGATGGCATCGCCAATATGGAGTTTTTTATGGCCAAAGCTCTCGATCCTCTTCGACAATGCCATGGAACCAGTGTGGTGGAGACCCGAATCAATCGCTTCCTGGAGTTTATCGACACTTCGTTCAAGCGACACGAACATTTTATGTGCCTTCTTGCCAACATCCCTGAAAACCAAAACCCATCTATCCTCGCCCAATTCGCGCCGTAACGCTTCCGCATCCGTTTCCAACTTTTTATAACCCTTTTCCAAACGTTCTCGCCGATCCTCTAATTCCTCACAGGCACTTGGAAATATTTTCTCCGCTCGAGATTGAAACATTGAAAGTCGCATAGGGAGGAAGTCCAGCGATGCTCGAAGGGGTTGCATCCGCGCAAACAAAGCTAGTAAGTTAGAGTCATCCTGGGTATTCTGGACGGTGGAGGGTTCCTGTTGGGCGGGAGGGACATGTCTATGTCGTAAAGAGGATGGCGTACCCCCATTGGCGGGGGACTCTTCAACAATTGTCTCTAGCTCGTCGAGGTCAAGTCCGTTGCTATGTTCTGTCTCCGATTCCATGATCATTGTGTTGTGTCTTTTCTCCTCCATCTCGAATATCAGCCGACTTAAGTTATCCATTTCCATGCCCACATCGCCAAGAACGTTCGTCCATAGCTCCTCCCACTCCATGGCAAGCTCAACCTGCTCCTTAACACCTCTCAGCTGTGATCTAACGCCCTTCCAGTTCTTCAGAGTTGATTCCACCTGAACAACGATGGCTTGGAGCGGCTCGGGTCCGACATCTGAAATATCATCGCGTAGCTGTACCTCCTCGATAGCTTTGACGTAGACATTCACCAGGCTCTCAAACTTTGTCACCGCTTTGTCGACATCTTCCAGTCCTTCTCTGCCGCCAGCAGCCGCCCATTCAACATCATCCTCAGCGTCCAGCCCACTCAAGACATCCGAAGCTTTGTTTATCCATTGTTGTATTTGACTCGCGGCTCCCGACAACGCTCGCACGGCAGCAGGCGCGGTAGCGATGGATTTAATGCTCGCTTCGAGGGACGCGGGTTGAGGTAAACTGATGGAAGTTAATTGAGACAGTTGATTGCTGAATGATGCTCTGGAAAAGGAGTAAATAGATTCAGTGCGTGACAGGCCCAGAGGATTGAAATACGACTCTACATTGGTACTCGAGCCATTAGCTGGTACAGGGGGGGAGTCCTTTGGCGGCGGAGGGGGTGCACCTTCTTCGGACTGCGTGCTTGAGCGAAGATACCTTTCCAAGTCCGTTGTGCCCGTGGAGGAATTGGGATCTGAACCGTGGGAAGCTCCAACGTCCTGTACCGTGGTTTGTACACCCTGCAGAGTCGACATATCTGCTAATGGTTGTCCCTCTTGAGCAGTCGATAACGACTCAGAAGGATCTGAGACCCCGACGTCTGCTTCGGGGCTGGTAGTCTCCGTAGTTGTAGTATCGTGTCCCTTCAGCCTCCCTGATTCCAGCTCGCTGGGGGAGGAGGCCGGTTCCGGCGTGAGCAATACACGGCGTCCACCACTCCAAGCTCGGCCGCGTCGTAGTACTTTTATTGAGAGGTCCCTGTGTGCACTATCCAACTCTTTGAGATGGTCTTCGGGGATCCTGCCAATCACGCTGCTGCTCCTTGTCGGGGCCGTCGATGTTTGTTTGGACGAGCCGTCCAGCAGCTTGACTCTGGCAGCTAGGCCGGGAGAGAGACGACGTAGAAAGGAGGAGCGCTGTTTCTGCGCTGCAGGAGACGGGGATAGGGATTCGTTTCTATGAGAAATGGTATTACTGTCGTTATTTTTATGGCTGTTGTCGGCGGAGGATGGTGTAGGCGTAGGCGAGGATATAGGAGAAGGGGATGCGGGTGAGATTGATGTCGATGTTGTGTCGGACCAGGAGGCGAGAGATTGTGCAACTTGACTGGTTGATCGGCGCGTGCTAGGGACGGATATGGGGGATGTATTGGTTGTATTGGTCGTAGGAGTTGTAGCTGTGGCTGATGCCGTTGATGTTGATGCTGAAGCAGACTCACTAGCGGAGGCAGAAGGAGAGAATATCGGGGGCATTGGAGTCTGTGTGCTCGCCGTTCGTCAGTGGGCGAGATGGAAAACGGTGGATGCCGTGCTGGTCGCACCACCGTGGATCGAGTGGGCGAGGAGACTGGTGTTTCTGCTAAATAGGCCAGCCCCTATTGGTGTTGTTGGTGATGGCGGTGGTTGGTTGTGGTGGTGGTATCAGCACGGAGAAAGTGGACGACGTTTTAGGCGTGTTGCGGACGACTTGCGGTGATGGCTAGGGACAGCCGCAGAGGAGCGATACGACCAGATCTCAGGAAGAGAATTTCACCTCAAATTTGGCTGCAACACTGTGGAGAGAGCGTAAGTAAATATCAGCCTGGGCATGGGACAACTATTTCCTTCTTACTTTTGCCTTGGTCGTTGTGTGAATAATAGAAATCTTGTTTTTGCGTTCCTGTGGTCCGCTACAAGTCAAGGTACCGTACCATTTATTTATCGACTAGCCCCTGGATATTTAATTATTGGCACCAAACCAACTCTATCTTGCTGCAAAAATAGTAAATATTGGAAAAAGCATAGGTTTTATGTTTATATTTATATCCAGATACATATTTTCATCCGGAAACCAGATTTATATATAAAACGACGCTTCAATATTCCAGAGCAACAATATATCGGTCATGTTAAATCATTTCATGGACATATTTGTCCGCTCAATCTATGTATGTATATTATATAACAGGCGGGATTCCGCAGGGGTTCTACTCCAATAGACAAATACAACCGAGATTCCCAGGAATGTGATGGGAGAGGAGGAGGGGTCGGTGCCGGCGACAGTAAATGATTCAAACGTGGTGTGCATCAAGTAACTGACAGCGTCGCAGCAGCTAAGCGCGTGAGAAGCAAAACACCATATGATATGTATATATATAAACGAAGAAGAAGAAGAAGAAAAGGGTATCAAATGAGAAGACACCTGTGGAGGCCAAAGCGGTACCAGTTAAACATCGTGAATCTCGTAAAAAATCAAAAATCAAAATAGTAATAATAAAAATTATAAAACCAAAAGATCGGGGAGAGAAAAGAGTTTTGACGCCGCGTTTTTGCCTCTCCTGTGCACATTTGCCTGCCTACCATAATTATGATTACAACGCGTCAATCCCAAGCCCTTGGACGGCCGGTGCCGTCCCGGAGTCCGCGGGGGATGTCGATTCTAGGGGCTGTGTCATAGTACGGGAGCCTTTCTCCTTCCAATCGCGCACCAGCTCCTCTCGAACGCCCTTACACCAGGTCATCAGCGCCGTGTCAAACTTTCTCCATGCCTCGTCGTCCCCGCCATTGACCACTGCCATCACATCCATCTCAAGCTTGATCTCCCACCGGATTTCGGCCGCCTTGATCCAATACCGCAAGTTATCAGCCAGCCGATATGGTTTGGCAACATTTTCATGGTACGATTTAATCTCGCCAAATTGGCGGTGCGAGAGTTTGACGGCCTCGTTGTGGAATCTGATCAGGTCCCTGCCGTCCTTTAGACGCTCGAGGAGAGGTGTTGGGAGTGGATTCGTCTCCGCAGAGTCCCAGGCCGGTAATGGTCGATTGCTCGTCTCCAGGCACTGGAGAAATGATCCCGCTTGCTCATGCTCTCTTCCACCCCATTCCCCATTGGCCCAGATGAAGCTCGACCGCCTTTGCATTTCTTTCTCCTCGAGCTTCCGCTCTTCATCAAGCATTTCACCAACCTCAGTAATCCACGCGAGAATAGTCGCCCGTTCCTCATCCTTCAACCCACCTACAAAATTCCTTGTAGCCCACTTCTTCAAAACTTCCAAAATCTCCAGTAACTCCTCCCGTATCTTCCGCTCACTTTTGATGGTCGCCAATCGCTCCGGATTCTCATGCGCCGTGTAGTATATCTTCGCAGCACGGATGGCAAGCGTGACCACATCCAAAATATGCATGCCCTCAATCTCGTGCCACCCCCGCGGGGACTTGGCTGCCGTAGGCGTCTCCGAGGTGGTGGCCTCATCCTCCGGTTCCGATAGGCCATCTGGCGAGCGATCTCTCGGTGTCGGCGACAGTAATTGCGGAGTCAATTGTTCCTTTGCCGCCGTCAACACAAACCGCGCCTTTGCCAACGCAGTTTGCAGCTCCCTCCTCAACGACTCCAAGTCCGGAGGCGGAGGTATGTAGTGGTTGCGGATACTGTATGTGCTAACAGTCGGCGGCAACATGATAGGCTCATTCTCATCCCACTCTTCATCTCCCAGCTCATCATACCCGCCACCCATATCCTCGATGGGGCTCTCAACAAACTCCTCGCCCAGCTGCGGCTGCTGCGACAGCATCAGCTTGGGAATTTCCTGCTTCTGCTGCTCACCGTTTTTCTTGTGGTTCGCCTTGGCAAACTGCGCGCCTTTACCATCCAGCAAGCCCGTTCTCGCAAAATAATACTGCAAATGCGCGATGCTGCCTAGGCTCATGACGCTCTCGCGGTTCTTTGCGGATTCGGCGAATTCCACGCCCTGGGGTCGTATGTATCCTCGTCTGCGCGAGGAAGTGGACACGGATGATTTTGCATCGCCGGAGAAATTGGAGACGGATGAGACGGTTGATATGGTGGAAAAGGTGCGGTCGGGCGAAGGGCAAGAGGAGATGGCTGGCGTGGGCGAGAGGGAGGGGGAGCGGGAGGGGTCTCGGTCTCGAGTGGCCGCGTTTGGATAGGACACCCGGTCGCCTTGGTAGGCCATTATTTCCTTTCCTGATCAAACGAGCCCTGTTTTCTGGTAGGGCGGAATATGGGTTGCAGGGAAATGAAATGTGTATATAGAAAGAGGCGGGGCTAAGTTCGCAAATCGTTCGGATAGAATAAAACAGATATGAATAAACAAATAAATAAACCGGAAGAACTAGGAATTGCGGGTTTAACAAAAAATGAATGCAAGTTATAAGCTAGATGATATTTAAGGGTATTTAACAAATATAATGAGTTTTTCTCCTGGTGATTAAGCCTCTTGTTCCATGTTATGTTGCTGAGGCTTATTATTATTTATGTATTTGTTGATGTTTTGTTGGAGAGAGAAATGTTGGTTGGGCGTGTTTGAGATGAAAGGGGGGGCTAAAATCAATCAAGCATAGTAATATTTAATAGCGCTGGGTGTGGCTGCCGGACAATGATTCAGGCATCCAACATAGCAACCGGTCGGTTTTTCGTGCAGCAGTCAATAAACGCTGCATTCAAATTCAAATGGTCCTTCTTTGTAAACTGTCTATATCTATATCCATATTTCCTATCCCTATCCGTATCGTATAGACGTTGATTCTCGTTGCTGCTGACTCGTATATATATATAATATAATATAATACAAGCCCCTTTTCATTTCTGCCTCGGAACAGCCAATGCCAAGCCATTTATTGGAAATTAACTGTCTTGGGACTAGCGCGGACAGAACACAATTCCCAGAAACACGTGATTGTGACCGTGTTCAAATAGAGTTAGGACCGTGCAACCTCTGCACTTAGTCAGCATACTCTCAAGGCTTGGCAGCGAATTGAAGACCCAGCACCCCGTTTATTTTAACATCAATATATTTGATTCTATCACGGTGCAGTTTTCAAGGATAACTATCAATCCAGCCCGGGTTCACGCTTTTTATTCCGGAGGGATCTCGAATTGCATCATGTCGAAACGAGTATGGAGTTTCATTTATATAATCTACTATTCTACAAATAATGCGCCCGCCGAGGGTAAACAACACACACAACTGACATGATCCAGATCTCATTTCGAGTCCACGGCAAGGTCCAAGGCACGTATAAAATCCAATCTCTCTTTAGCCTTCCACCCCAACCCCGTTGCTCCGTTGCTCTGTTACCAGTAGTTTATTTAACCAACCCTGCTGGACTTTTGTATTTGCTAGGAGTCTTCTTCCGGTATGGAAAATTAATAAACCCCCCACCCATCTTCCCCCCCTATTTCTATGAGTTTCTATACTTTTTGTTCGGCTCTGTTTTCTGTTTTTGAGGTGAGATAAGGCTATGCTGAATGATGAACTTTCCCGAACCTAGCGATTTCACCCAGCGGAATGCAAATAACTACGGCTTAACTGGATGGGTAAAGAATACCCGTGATGGAAAGGTTGGCTGGAACCCCCCTCCTCCTATTTTAAATGCCAGCAGTGCACCCTTCTCCTCTTTAAATGTTTATTTTTTTTATTCGTTAATCTACCCCACCAGAGCATAAAACACATTTTGTGCATGCATATTTGACCTACTTACACATTCGAATGAACCTGCATAGGTAGAGGGTGAGGCACAAGGAGATGAGCCCGCGCTTTCGAACCTACTCAAAGACCTAAGCCGGGGCCCCGAATTTGCACGTGTGGTCAAGCTGGAGCATTCGGAGATTGATTTGAAGGATGGAGAAGAGTCTTTTGTCGTGACTCGCGGTTAAATAATTTGATGCTGTAAAAATGGGGTTTTCTTTTTCCCTTTTTAAACTTTACCCTGAGCTGCTTGACAAATGAACTTTTTTTTTTTTTTAAGATTACGAAGAAGGGCGAGGGTAGTCAACCAGGGAGGTGGAATTAGGAACAAGCAGAGTTGCTTTCCATTCCAGAAGAACTGTTAACTAGTAAATATGTACTTGGTCGCTGGAATAATCTGTCTTACCTGACTGAATCATGTCCTGTACGAGAGATGGGGAGCTTTGCTTGAACGAACCGCTTGCCACCCTTCCAGACTCTACCCATGTCTGCATGGCATGCATGCATGCATGCATGCAGTGTAACGCGGCTTTTTGAGGCGTCTATTTGCATAACAGCAACATTAATCGACGTCATCATACATAAGGGTATAGCTATGAGGTTAGATAGAGCTTATGGTAACCTTCTCTTTCTGTGAAACTAGGATGAGGCTATACTCGAGAGCATAGCTCTTTCGAGCTCCTTCGAACAAGTTAAATGTGTTGTTTTTAAAATAAATCAGACAATTTACGTCCAACGGATATGACTCCTCGAAGCCGATTTCATTTGTTTCTATTCCTGCCTGACGGAGGTGGTTTTCAGTCAACAAATACCGCCGCCAAGATTCTTTTGGCCGAGGGCTTTAAGGCGTTACGAGCTATTCTGTAGTTATATTAATGGCGATGACGATAATGCAGGTGATTCCACATAACATACGCTGTAGTACTAGTTGGTGCTAGTTGGTGGCTCAAGATCTAACTAATATTAATAATAATTATTCCGTTTCTCATCAGTCTGGCCAGGCCCACATAAAAATAAATGCCTTTTATTATTACAGGAACAGCGTAGTTAGTGCACTTTGCATGGAACAAGATGTCACCTTTTGATGCGTAAATTTCTCCTATTAATAATTATTCGCTGTGGCGAGCGCTACGGTGACGGTGGCGTCCACATCTATTATTATTATTATTATTGGCGAAGAGAAGCGCAAATTTTATACCGTGTGCATTTGAGTTGTAACCAACCAGCTCTGTTCCCTGCTGGTCTCTTGCGGTGAATAAATTTCGATTGCTGGAGTGTGACCTCAGCTTGTCGGAGAATATCGGAACTAAAATAATACTGAAGAGCTTCTTTGATACCAACTAAGCGCTGTGCATGAGAATTAGGAAAAATTAAATACAGAACAACAAGCGCCAACAAAGCCTATAAAATGGTATGAGTCATATATAAACACTGACATTGCAACCGTTCATTGGTCATGGGATTTCTTGATATTGCCTCCGAAAATTCTCCGCAAGATATCGAGAATAATGCATGTTTCATCTAACGCTTTTGCTATTATTGTTGCCCTTTGTTACTAGTTTTCTTTGTAGTGGATTCCTTCCTGCCTACTCCGTACGATAGAAGCTGCCGGCAGTTCCCGGGGGCTTGGAAAGAAGGCATAGGCAAAACCTTGGAAAAGTGGACTAGCTTATTATGGTAGTTAGTTGATGCTGGAGAATTGGCCTTCCCGCTAGTAACTTAACTTACTTGCCATCGTTGCGAGCTCAGTCCGGGGCAGTTGTCAGCCTTTGTCTTGGAAAGGATTTGTCGCAGAATCATCATCATCATCATCATCAAGGCGCCCGGGACATTTCAAAACCCACCCAAGATTTCCTCCCATGTTGGTTTTGGCGTATGTGAGCAGCCAACCTGAGCAGTGATTTGTCGCCGATTGGGGACGGACTTGCTCCAGGCGGCCCCGCGCGTGGTGGAACCCCGGCCGGGAGCAGTGGAGTTGGCCATGCTAGACCCATTTAAAGTACAGAGCACTAGTGTCATCAGTCAGAGGGCGGGTACCGTAACTCGGGATCACATTCCGGGAAATACCCTAGCGCACTTAGACTTTAAAGCCGGGGCCAGGCCTATTTAAGCCCTAGTTAGTTGATGAAGTCATCATACAGGCCAAGGATGCCGGGCAAAGCCTATTTCGCCAATTTGCTGCCCCTTTGTAAAACTTCATCCCTTTTATAACTTATAACTACCGGATGGGTTTGCCAAATCTTCTCGTCTGACTGATACTCATCTCAACTCAACTCGCTCCGTCCAAGTCACTGCGGGTTCATTATCCCGTCTTATTGGTAGATTGATCTCCTCCTCCCTACGACATTGATTCACTCTATATACTATCTAATCAACTCCTCCTAGTTACTGTACGTCGACGACTGCAACTTCTTCTATCATAACATACACACTCTTCCCATTCGTTGTCTACACACACACCATGTATTCGACCTCAGCAGGACCCACGAGGATCATAATGACTTGCTCTGCCCCATCAATGCTGCGAGGCGCCCTGATGCGTCCTCCAACCTCGACTATGAACACCCTGAGAGTCAGCCCCATGCTATACCATTACACCGCCGCCTCAAATCCTAGCAACACAAGATATTTCACATCAACTACTCGTCGGCGTATTAAAGAATTCTTTGCTGCTCCGAAGCAAACGGATCATATTATCGCATCGATGACGACATGGAAACATCCAGTGTAGGTTTATCGTTGTTTTTAATTCGTTTGTAATATTATTTTCGTACTCAAGAAAAGAGAAGTCACTAAAAAGTCCATTCCTCTTTCTTAGATTCACTGAACAACAAATGAAAGATATCGCCATCGCACATCGAGAGGCCAAGAATTGGTCGGATTGGGTTGCCCTAGGCACCGTTCGTGCCCTGCGCCGGGCTACAGATCTCGCAACTGGCTATAGACACCCCTTAGCCGGGAAACAGGAAAAAGAAATCCCAGAAAAATTCCAGATGACGGAAAGGAAATGGATCGTCCGTTTTATTTTCCTGGAAACAGTCGCTGGCGTTCCCGGAATGGTTGGCGGTATGCTTCGTCATCTCCGTAGCTTGAGACGCATGAAGCGTGATAACGGCTGGTAAGTGGCTTGCCTTCAATCCATTGATTGTGCCCCCAAAAGTCACCGAGACTAATTAATCCGTCTGTTGTGTTCGTGTTCCAGGATCGAAACACTCTTAGAAGAAGCCTACAATGAGCGCATGCACCTGCTCTCCTTCCTAAAACTCGCAGAGCCAGGATGGTTCATGCGACTAATGGTCCTAGGAGCCCAGGGCGTCTTTTTCAACAGCTTCTTCATCTCCTACCTGATTTCCCCGCGCACCTGCCACCGCTTCGTCGGATACCTTGAAGAGGAGGCTGTCATGACATACACCCACGCAATCAAGGACCTCGAAGCGGGCAAGCTCCCCAACTGGGCTAATCAGCCGGCTCCGGATATTGCCGTCGAATACTGGAAGATGCCAGAGGGAAAGAGGACAATTCTCGACTTGCTATATTACATCCGTGCCGATGAGGCGAAACATCGCGAAGTCAACCACACGTTGGCGAACTTGAAGCAATGTGTGGATCCGAATCCGTACGCGGCCAAGTACGATAATCCCGACCGGCCCCATCCTACCAAGTCGGCTGAGATCGTCAAGCCCACTGGCTGGGAACGGGATGAAGTCATCTAAATCCGGGGCGAGATCTTCTTATCGCTTTGGCCAATTCGACTACAAGGCGCCCGCTGATCTGGACTGGCTGCCGTGGCAATAACGACCCACCATTTCTACTAATACAGTAAACCGATAACTTATCGTCGACCGGGGAACTTAGAACACGCCTAGGCGAAGCCTGTAGTTTCTTTTCTTTTCTAGTCGTTTTTTTTTTTTTTTTTTTTTTTTTTTTTTTTTTTTTTTGACACTTGCATTTTTCTGTGATACCCCGTCTCTCATCTCCATTCATTTTACAAATAAAATAAACGGCGACAACATCATTTAAGATTATCGGACGGGGGAAGTTTATTTTGAGCGGTTACAAAAACCCAGAAAAAGGGTGGTTTTTTTTATTAGGGTTCCTCTGAGAGTTTTTGCATTACTGGTTCACCTTTGGTGGGAGGGGCGTTGCTGCTGCTTTTTGATTCTATATATCTATATATCTATATATTAGATGCTCTTTTCATTCTTTTCATCACTCTTGTTTTTCTGCAATATAAATGAATCCAAGAGTTTCAATGTCACAAGAGTGTTGTTTATACAGGCGCCATTTGCATGACTGCAACCGCTGCAAATGTTGTTATTAAGCTGGCAGACGACTTCTCCCTAGAAAAGCATAGCGGAAAGGCAAGAGATAAATGAATGGCACAGCAAAACGCAGATCAAAGCGAAATTTTTTTGAAACACACAGACACTGGTCAACAGGAGCTCAGCACCATTCCCAATGATCTATCATGGATGTAGCTGGCAATGTGTATCAAGGGGATCCTATCAATGAATATCATGGTTAATAGAATCAATTGGTCACGCCTAATTTTGCCATGTGGTTAAGAATCTATCGCAATTCCAAGTCTTTCAAGTCAGGGATTTTGAGCAGCTTAGGTGAGTGAGGTGATTAAAATGATCATCTCTCAAAACCTTCATGGACAGTTTCTGAATGTGATAGAGGAGATCATAATGTCTAGTACAGATTCTTTGAGTTCCTTTTCTGAATTTCTGTGACTAGGCAGTGTTTTATTGAACTCCAGCCCGATGCTATTGAGACAATTGGGTGTATTGAATCAGGATTTCAGCTATCCTTGAACTCCTCTACTCCGTAGAGGTATAAAAGATGGGTAAGATCTATGCCATATTCAAAGAGTAGGATAACCACGAATTTATTAAACAAGAAAGATGTTTGTTACAACTTTAAGAAATGTATAAAGCAAATAATAATATAGCAGAAATGCATAGCATTCTTTCATAAAGAAAGCAACTCAAGGAAAAGAACACACGCAGGGAGCATTTGCTGGCAACTCTATCCAATTCTCGGCTTCGGTCAATCACGTGTCAGCTATTTCAACCTCGCTTCTTCTTTATCTCAGCGGGCTCAGACCTCTGGCTCGGTTTGAACGGGTTGCAGCATTATTATTAACTAATCCGGCATGACACTAACCTACTTTTGATACAAGTCATGTGCTCAGAGCAGATTTACAAGGATTTTTCAGATTCTTTAACTTTGACTTTCTATTACTATATATCCACATATCTTTGAGATTTGAAAATCACCTTAGCTTATAGCTAAAGAGAAGAAGAATAGAAATATTTCTTTAATATTTCAAAAAAATCTATATTTAAGATAGATGTATACTCTTGAAAATGATCATATTTTTTGATCTCAGAATTTCTAAGAGCTTTTTTTTGTATGAGGAATTGGATCAAAATTCCTGTGTTCAAAAACATACTAGTCAACTTTGAGGTGATACTTCTATCCTAAGAACTTGAGATATGAATATAAAAATCAGATACGTCGCGAGAACATTGTTATTCTAAGGTTCTAAGGTGATACAGAAATGATGAATCTATGAAGTTGAGTTGGAATTCTCTTCCATACTCAGGGTACTGAGCAAATCCTTCCCGTGTTGCTAACAATCAGGAACTGTTTCTTCTCAGACGCTTTGCAAGATATCATCACTCACATGACCTGATTTTACTATTTGGGTTAGCTTATTGCTTATTTGAGATTAGCTCATGACATAATCATCAATCCAGTGTTAAAACAGCAATGGATATCTGGAGAAGCGTCTGAGCTTGCTGAGATAACTTCTTCTCCGCCCGCCCATCGCGACAATTCCCTCTGCTAAAGACCCTGAAAAAAGGGGATTCTCCAGACGCAGAAACCATGTCTCGATAAGCTCATCTCTCATTTGTGAAAATTCCACTCAAACCTCGAATAGTAGCCCTCACCCTCATTTAACCCCCCCAACCGCTTGGCTCTTGTGACTCTCCCCTTTCTTCCAGCGTCCGTTAGCTTCGACCGTTGCTGGCCCAGCGGTTGCGCTGAGTACTGAGTTTCTTGCCTATCGTTGAAAATATGGGTCTTGCCTACTGGTTCCGCAGGCTTTACTCGCTCGATACTCTTGACACGCGCTTTGTCCCGTCGAACACGCCGCTGAAGGCCGTCCTTGCTAGTGAGCCCCGGACAGCGTCCGTGGATAATGGGGTTCTAGGACACGCGGATTCGAAAGAGTTTGGGAGCGGGAATGAGGTCTGGGCAAAAGCGCAAACTGAAACACAAACACAAACACAAACACATGCGCAATTGGGAGAAGGCCGGGTCAGTGCTCTTTCTGGCACTTCGCTGACGACATCCCCGCCAAGGTGGAATACGGTCGAGTTTTATGTCTACTACGTCGTGATTCTTACTGCGGTGTCAATGATGTTTAAGGCTGTTTATGATGTTTCGAAGGGTGAGTTTGGGCTTTTTGAGATGTTGCCTCTGCTTTTTTCGGCTTTCGTGGGCGGAGGTTTCGCTTGCGCTGGGGTCTTGAAATAGATCATCGGAATTGGTTATTGAGCTAAATTGTTTTGTCCACTGTGGTAGAATCTCACCCGATGTATTCGAAATACTCGCATCTTTTAGACGATGGATGGATTATGGGGAGGAAAGTCGTGAGTCCAATACACGCCTTTGGTTTATTTGACGGAGCGGGAGAGATCATGTTCCTGTTCGATACCAATGGCTGACGACCCCGCGAAGGACAATTCCGACTCACAATATGGGACCTTTCGTGATAACATTCCGTACCTCGCCCTGCTCTTGGTGATCCATCCTTTACTCCGACGAGCAATTGACACCTTCCTTCCTCCGACAACAAGCGCGAATTTGTCCTCACCTCAATCTGGTAAAATTAAGGATGATGAAAACGCTGGATATGATTCAGTAGCTGCGGACTTGCGGCTCAAACGGAGAGTCGCTTTTGATTACTACTTCGCGCTGGTATTCATTGCCGCCTTGCATGGATTTTCAGCTCTCAAGGTTCTAGCCATTCTCGCCATTAATTATAATATCGCCACAAAACTACCACGGGACAAGATCCCAGCGGCGACGTGGATTTTTAACATTTCCATATTATTTGCAAATGAATTGTCGAATGGGTATCGTTACGCAGATATTGCAAGATTATTTACATCGACGTCTGCTGCCTCAAGTGCAGGGGAAGATAGTATGCTCCTTTCCTATGGGAAATGGCTTGACAGTTACGGTGGATTGATCCCAAGATGGGACATTCTTTTCAATCTCACAGTTCTTCGGCTCATAAGCTTTAATCTGGATTATTATTGGAGCCTCGATTATCGATCGGCGAGTGCTATGGAGGTATGTCATTTAGTTTCCAACAGAATATAATGTCTGGTCCCTCTCGCTGACGCACAAAAGAAGAAACAACTTGACCCCTCGGCCCTGTCTGAGCGGGATCGTGTGTCTATCCCTGCCCATCGAAGCGCGTTCAACTCGACAAACTACGTCGCTTATGCTCTTTACTCTCCCCTCTACCTCACTGGTCCCATCATTACCTTCAACGACTATATCTCCCAACAGCGCTATCCACCCGCCTCCATTACGAAATCCCGCACTATTCTCTATGGAGTTCGTTTCTTTCTCGCCCTCCTTAGCATGGAAGTAATCCTACACTACATCTACGTCGTCGCCATCTCCCAATCCTCTCCAAACTGGTCCGTTTACACGCCTTTCCAGCTCAGCATGTTAGGGTACTTCAACCTGCACCACATCTGGCTGAAACTTCTCTTGCCCTGGCGCTTCGCTCGCCTTTGGGCACTCATCGACGGCATTGACCCACCCGAAAACATGGTCCGCTGTATGTCAGACAATTACTCAGCTCTCGCTTTCTGGCGCGGCTGGCACCGTTCTTTCAACCGGTGGATCGTCAGATACCTCTACGTGCCGCTAGGTGGCGGCGGCAGTAGACCTGCCAAAGCTAACCCGAGCAACGGCAACGGCAACGACAATTCTGTGGCGTCTACTTCGCCTATTGTTGCCAAAGCGCGCGGCCTCCTCAACTTCCTGCTCGTTTTCACTTTTGTCGCGCTGTGGCATGACATCAACCTCCGCCTGCTCATGTGGGGCTGGCTCATCACTCTCTTCGTCCTGCCTGAAATAATTGGCACCGCATTGTTCCCCGCACATAAGTGGCGCGGTAGCCCGACGACGTATCGCGTGCTGTGCGGTGCGGGCACAGTGTTCAACATCTTACTGATGATGGCAGCGAATCTTGTTGGGTTTGCTTTGGGGCTTGATGGGTTGAAGGGGCTTGTTAGTGGGATTGTTGGTAGTGTGGGTGGGCTGGTGTATCTTGTAGGGGCGTGCTTGACCCTATTTGTGGGCGTGCAGGTGATGTTTGAGATTCGGGAAGAGGAGTTGAGGATGGGAATCAATATGAAGTGTTAAGCTTTTTATGGAGTCAGGTGATGGAAATGTGGGATATACATTTTTTTTCTAATTCATTCATATTTTCCTTAACACATTACATCGGATTTTCGTTGCATTGTATATATATTATACCAAGTTATGCCAATAATACAGCGCATTTTTTGCGCTTCTAATCATTTCGCCTTGTGCAATCACTTCTATGACCTCGGGCCGGTTGTGACATCCGTTCAGCAATCAAATTGAATACTCCCTTAATGCCACCTTAACCTCCGCGATTTCACATATCTAATGCCTTTTGTGGCCTTTGTCTGTCTCCATGCTCTGCACAGATACTATATCTGCTTTCCCGCAGGACAGGATTTCTTGAATTCCGACTCGAAATTCCCACTTTTTTTCGCCTTCAGTCGCCCTTGCTCTCAATCTTAACCCATGCCAACGATGATTGATATCTAAATAATCCCGTATGGACCGTTTCTTGCGGCTCCAAAATGCTATGGAACTGAGCTGGTGGCTTCTAAAGCTATTAATATCCCATAACTCCTGATGGATAGCGTAGCGAGTGCGGAGGAAATCCTTCGCATCAAGTTCCTAGTCCGGGGTTGGACCTCAAGGTAGAAGTAATGGGAGAGGTTTTGGTGTGAGTTTTTTGGGTTCCCTTCCTAGACCTTCAAACCACGTATCCGCCCTGCTATCTCAATATTATTGAGAGAGGGTGCCCATCGTCGTCTCTTGAAGACTATACCGTGCACGCCGTGCTAGTCGTCAGCACGCCTTAGTGGTAGTATTGTATGAAAGTGGCGTTCGCCGCTCTCGAGTAGAAGAGGAACTTCGCTCTCTGCAGCCAGGCCCCTCTAAGCATAAAACCGATCACACCTTGTCTCTTCATGGACGCGATAACAGTCCAATCCACACACCCGCGCGCGGCATTTGATACACTTTACCCTGCCCCAGTAACCACATATAGAACAGAAGTGTCGTGGTGGTTTGGAAACTGCTTGGTTCGCGTTGCTGCGGCCCGGCAGAGTTGTCGTTGCGAGGGAGGCGTTGTATGACAGTGGTGGCTCTGCGAGGAGTAGTTGCATTAATCTTTCTGAGGGCACGGGGGGGATGTAAGAGCGGAGGAGCGGGTCGTTATCATAGTTCGAGGCGATTAGCTCTTGGTTTGGTTGTTGTTTCTGTAGGGCTGAAGTGGAGGGGCGGGAGGAGGCTGCGCTGGGCGGTTCGGAGGGTTGGCCTGTAGTGCTGGCTGCCTTTTTGGGTGTTGCTGGATGGGATGATGTGCGCGGGGTGCTGGGTTTGCTGGATTTCAGTGCGGTAGAGCGAGCGGTGGCAGCTGCGGCTGTTGTAATTGTCGAGGAAGTTTGTGTTGCCAGACCTTGGGCTTGGGCTAGCGCGGCTTCTTCATCATCTAGGTAATTTCTGAATGTTTTTTGGGACATGAGGATACGCCGGACATTGGAGGTTGTTTTGCCTCTAGGTTTGTCTGTCGTTATGTTTTCTGGATGTTAGCTGGTTTATCATGGCTTCCCCCCTTCTCGTCCGCATATACTTTGAAATGCACAAAAAGGGGTTCAGTAGAAAAGCAAGCTAACCTTTCGCTGTCGCGCCCTTCTGCTTCGTTGGAATCGGAATATGTGTATCTTTATGATTTTCCCGATCAAGCTCCGCGAGATGTCTTAGAACCGCAGTATTTCGTCTTGATGATGACACCTCTGCCCTTCCAGCGCCCCCAAGATCACGTACGGCTCGTTTTCGACCTCCAGCAGACCTCCCGGTGTGGGCAGAGCTGCCATAGCGAGGCTCTGGGACGTATGCCCAGCCGGGGGTGAGGTGTGAGGATGAGGTAGGGAGGACTTCTATTTTATTTGACATTGGGTGCCGAAGAGTAATACGTATACGTCAGGTTATCTGCTACCAGAACATTTGGATCAGTACTGTAGGGCATATTATACCGTGGAAGCCGATCGCGATTACTGATGATGAGCAACCTTGAAGGTTGGGTCTAAATATTTAACCGCGCGTCTACCATGTTTGGTTTGTTTGCACATGGAGAGCAACCCAGCTGCGCTTATTGTTTTTAGTCGTCATGAAATTTCCCCCGTCTCCCCCCCATATGCGCATGATACCGGAGAAGATAAAAGAATAATCTATTGTATTGACTATAAAGCAAAATGAATATTACAGGTTTCTGCGGAGATAGGTGGAAGATAGGTGGAAGAAATGCAAATCGGAACACCGAGCCAAGTAGAAGGAGTTACATGCAAAGCTGAATCGGATATGTAATATGAATAGCAAGCCCTTTGAATTGAGTTGAAATGGAAAGACGCATATTTCAAGTCTCAGGAATTGATCCAACGTTTAGAGGGAAGATAGAAGGGGGAAGGGCGCCGCATGTGAGCAAAATCCGAGAACGTATCAGGCCATCACCGAATCCAGGCAAATTCATAGAAAACATATCTCACGAGTCCATCATTTCCTCTTCTGCAATTGGTCCATTTTGGACTCCAAATCGGTAATGTAGGCGTTGAGACGTTGCGTAGCTGCTTGCAAGGCCTATAATACGATCCCCCATCGGACAACACACAGGGGGCATATTGTTAGCTTCCAAAAATCACGGGTATGAGCGAGAATTGTGAATGAGCAAAAAAGAAAACAGAGGAATGAAATGGCAAAAGGTATTAAACGCATTATTAGTTTTAAAAGGGAGCCAATGATAGAGTGAGGAGAAGTGAGAACGATAGAACGTTCTTAAATCTTCCCATGCTCGTAGTTCTGGGAGAACAAAACATCCATCGTGCATCTCGTTCTAGTTTAAATGACGCGGAAAAAGGAGCCCGCCACACCGTTTCTCCATGTCTAAATTATGAATATTTTCTCTTTTTCGCTTCCGTCTATTTTTTTGGTCCTCTTTCCGTCCTTCTATCTATTTCCAATGTAGCAATGAAAATAAAAAATAAAAAATTAAATAAATTAAAAATGAAGAGCAGCTGTCGCAGGGGAGATGTATGGAAGTAAGGCAAAGGGAACAAGGGCAAAAATCTAAAACACCAAGACCACTTTTATGCTGTTTGCTTTTGGGGGATTTTGCCAATCTGCACGGGGTATATCTTGTAGGCTTTATTTTCAAATGCACTGACGTACGTAGATGTCTTCCGTCAACATCTCGTTGGACACTCTATACTCATCTAGAATATAGTAATATACCGAGGCACCCGCTATCGCAGTGCCAAAGAGGAAGCCGAATAGCCTATTATTTCATCCAATTCTGTCGTGTTAGCCAGATCTGTTGTTGGCGGTGCCTATGCATCATTCTCTCAACGTGGTAGTTCGGTGACTCACCCTCCTCTAAAAGCTCCTACAGGCTTTTGTGCAGGTAACGACCCTGCCTCTGCGCTGGCATTACCGTTCAGCAACCGTCTCGTTGTCGAAAGGGCTCTGCGTGTCGATAGGCGCACGAGGGGGGTGGAGAGTGTGAGGCGGAAAAGAGGCGACATTGCTCGTGTTGAAGACACCGACGCTAGCGGCATTTTAACGAAAGGATTCGCAGATTGCAGATTAAGACACACAAACACACACACAATGTCGTGAGATATAGATATGGGTTAGGCCTCGCTTCCGTTGAAGAAAGCGTGTCGCGGCCGTGTGAGAGATTCGAGGCTGGAAGAAGGTTGAGGTCAATGTTTGGCAGGTTCCTGTCTGGGGAAGAAGCTTGGCGGCTTTAGCTACGCTGTAACTTACGTACTGCGTAGGTGTGGAGGAATAACAGAGAATATGGAGCTGATGAGAGGTTCAATAATTCTTAGTCTTGGCCAGTATTATGAAATTCATTTGACGGTGAGTAAAGAGAAGAAGGAATTTATGACGTCGACTTTTATTTTCTATACTTTCTTCTTTTAGCCCATTTTCATTGTTTTGTTTTTCTCTAGTGAAATTGCCCCTTAAAACCAACCCTGGTTCCTGAATGCTCAATGGCCAGTTGACTTTAGATTCGACAAAGTACAGTACATGTACAGTACATACAGTGAGTGACAATGTCGTTAGGTTCTCCTCGTACAGGGAGTTGAGCTACAAGCATATGTACTGTACGTAGCACTGTAGTTACGGAGTACGGAGTACATACATTATTAATAATATTAATATTACCTGTACTCCGTACATGTACATGTTGAGATACGAGGGACGCGGCACTAGGAAAAATGTTTCACGTGGCTAGAATGGTAGGAAGAATATGAATCAAGAAGGTTGAAATGTCTAGTTATACATAAATACCCATCACAAATAGCATAAAAGCAGATACAGCGTATTGGTTACATATGTGATATTTAATTATAATATAAGTTCCAGACTATGACAACATGAAAACAGTGGACGGTATAAACACATCCAAGAGCAGGGCATAGAGCAGGGCACATCAGTGCAGTGCACAAGCACTCAATTCTAATTCACCACCGTGAACTCATTGAACAGATCTGCCAGCAGATCGTCTTTACAGCCTTCCAAATCAGGAACCCCCAGGCTATATGTGCTCTCAAATGCATGTATACTCAACCGATCGAAGAATGGCCTGAGTACCGTGTCAACTATCTCGTCTTTGGCCGTCTCCCGGCTCAGCTCCGAATTAAGCCACGCCTTTTTATACCCGTCACGGCCACTATCGTCATCACCATCATTTCCATTCCCATTTCCAAGGCCATTCTTTGGCGAGCGGTCAATGCTGTTTCTGCTCGTGGTTGTACCTAGATTGCGTGCGATTCCATCTGCGAGAGCAACAGACTCCCACTGGTCCGGCGGATAGACAGCATCAATGGTATCGGTAACAAATAGCCATTCTTGGAGCTGGAAGTCGTCCGGTGCAATTAGGAGGAGAGTTTCAAGGAGTTTGCAAGCCTGTAGGAGTGAGTAAGGGTTATGAGTCTCGGACTGTTGGCCTGAGCCAAGGGCTGAAATCGCATCGTGGAGTTCGCTGTTTATCATCGGCCAGAAGGATGCAAGGTGGATGGCGGAGGTTTTCAAGACTAGGGCTCTGAGCACCATATATACTTCCGCTCGTGTTACGGAAGAAGGGGAAGATATGTGAGTAGCTGTTAACAGATCTTCAAGCTTTTGGTGGACATTTGCGAGTTCTGCACCGAAATGGTCTTCGTTAGCGGCTAATATTAGCAAGGCTAGTCTGCGTAAATTCAGCTGGGCCTTGCGGTCAGCCTCAAGTCGTGCAGCTGTAGCACCTACGCCAAACATTATACCGGCGGATGTTGGGGTTGTTAGGCGAGAGTACACGTCGGGCAATCGTTCTTTGTCTGTCAGGACCCAATGGCGAAGCAAATCAAGCCAGTTCGACCGCACAAGCCCAAGTTTTGTCGTGAAGAATTTGATGTCGTTGAACGCGTCGCCCACATCTTTCCGCCAGTATTTAGAGGCAACAGGAATCTTTGACATCTGCTGGAGAAGGTCAAGGACGCTTTTGTTCACATTTTGGGGGAACAGTCTCGAATGGAAGAGCGGCGCTATTACGTTCGCCGAAATATTTGACATTGCAGTGGATATCCTGTCTGTTTCCCCTAGAGTGGTAACCAAGGCAGGCATCACTGATGCGAGGATGCCAACTGTATCATCAGGCCCAACGAACTGTTGGCCTTTGGAAGAAGGCCTCGATGCACGCTCGCTATCTGCCAGCTGCCGCGATGATGAGGTGGGCTCTTGTGATGAACCTAATGGTTTGCTAGTGAGTATCGCTATTAGGAGGCGTAGGAATAAATCCTACATATACATAGTTAGCTTCAACCAAATTTTAAGAAATTACGGCTATATTACAACTTACCCCAAGATCCTTCCTCGCTCGCCTGTCATCACCAAAAGTAGTCCGCTCCATCTTCTCACCCAAAATTGCAGTAAATTCCATCAGTCGTGGCAAGATTTGTCGGTGAGGGAACGGGTTAGCTAATACATCCCGAAGAAAAGTGGTGCAATCCGTCCATATCTCGTCCAACACATCATCATCTAGTGATCTAGCATACGTCACGAGAAACGTAACTAGATTTGCCTCGGATAGCCTAGAGGTCATAACTGACTTGCGACTAGGTTCCAGCGCAGTGGGGTCGGTTCGGCTGTAGATGGAATTGAATATGGCTGGAATGGTTATTTTTGGTCGTGATCCATCTAGCGTATGAAGTAGATTAAACACTGATCGAGCTTCTGCCATGTCATCTGCTGTGACTGCATTGTGCCATAGTTGGACTAATGTCTCCAGACAATCCAAGGCTTCGGCGTTAAACAGATGCTCTAATATACGCCGCGATCGGTTTCTCATTCTCAACGAGGTATATTGGAAAGAAGAAATTGATTCCGGGTCCTGTGAGTTGCTATGGCGTCGAATGTTGCCCCACGACCAGATTGAGAAGCATAGCCGGACAGTATCTTGAAAGCAAAGAAGAACAGTCAATCTGTCATTAGCAGTAGCGCTCCGGGCCTGGTTCCCCTCCGAAGCGAACACACCGGAAACCATGGTTCCGAAAAATCCTTGGGGTTGGTCTGGACTTTTTACGGGGGAAACACTCTCTTCCTCGAGCAGTAGGCGTTCATGAGCCACAGCAATACAATTCTCCAACCCGCCAAGTAAAGCAATGGTGACGTGCTCCGAACGCTCCCCGAGAGATCCATTGGTTTGCTTGAACACAAGCTGGAGCTCATTATACGAGGCAGTTATCCGTTGACATAGACACTCTACTAACGTCAACAAGATTTGGAAAATAGCCCCGGAGTAAAATGGTAGGCACTCCGCAAGGAGTTGCACCCATTTCTGCACAGCATTTAGCGAGGAGGTGGAACTGAGCCCTTTCAGCAAACATTCTAATAATTGTGGTGACGGCAAGGGAGTTGTAGCGCCTCGTAGCTCCTTTTCAGATTTCTCGCCCGTTAGCGATATGCGAGAGAGATTTGGAAGAGCGTCGAGAGATGATTTCCTTCGTCTGTTAGACGAAGGAATGTGCGATTCTAAAAATTGATGAGAGAATCGGATTTTCAAAGCAACTAACAAGGTGTCGATCATAACAGGTTGGAGACTACCCCTGTTATGGTCCAAGGAGAAGAATAACTGATCAATTAGGAAACCGTCCAAATCCATCTCAACGAGTTGCCTAGCACCTGGTCCCGTCAAAAGTTGGCGCATTACGGTAAAAACCGCCAATTGCATCCGCTCTTCTTCAGGATGTAGCTCTCTGGAAGCCGTTATGCGTGGTGAGAGGGCTCGAATAGCAAGATGTATTAAAGTGGCCTGAATACTTAGGCTCTGGGCATCATCTAGATGTATCACTGTTATTTTTTGAACCCAATATTTGATATGGTCGAACTTACCATCAGCTTCAGAGCTATCACGGCGTTTACCAAGGTCCAAAGCGGTGTTTGTCATTAATGTAGACCATCCCATCCGACTCAACGAGGCTATTGCACCGGAAGCAGTCTCGAATAGATATCGACACTGGTTTGCATCCCCAGGGTCTTCTGGATGGCTACGCCGGGATGTATCTTCGCGATCCAATGCCGTGAGGTATGAAAGATCGGTGAGTTTCGATATTATTATGCGAAATACCCTAAAGAGATACACAGTTAACGTTAACGCCGGTTAAAAGAATTAAGAAATCTGCATTTCAGACATACTTGTGCACAGATGAAAGATCTGAAATCCATTCCTTGACTACTAGTGAAGCTTCGCTGACAACCCCTGAGAGCAAATCCAATACGATAAATAACGGGCGATCGAGCATAGAAGACTGGTATAGAGATCTCGGGTCTCTTAAACTACTACTACTATTCGTTGGGTGCTCGCTAATAGAGCGTGCAATTGAAGGATCAATGCTAACTTGCTGGCTATGATTCCATAGGACAACAAACTTTTCAGCTTCCTGGACTGTTGTGATATGAGATGGATTGGAATCCTCCGCGCCGATCATGAGGGAGGCAATCGAAGCTTCAATCAAATGATCTTGCCAAGTCACGGAGTGCAAAAGCCATAGGCATCGAACCGTTTCCACGTGAAATTTAGGGCTCAATGGCGAGAGAAAGGCCCAAAGCTTTTGAACCAACGGTGGGATAATATCAGATACCTGCTCATAAGAAACATAGAATCCGGGCCCATGGATGGAGTAGAGAGTCGTCACAATAGAGCATATAGATGAAATCATGACAAAAGGTAATTCCGTACCAGAATTGGCGGCCAGCTTGCGATACATGGCAGAGAAGAGGTTCCCATCTTTAACGACTTGGGATTTGCGGATTTTATTGAGTAAGGATATGAATATGTTAACTCGGTCTTTCAAACCGGAGTGATCTCCTGATTCCAATTCAGCAAGCACCAGAAACTGGGCTTCCCGGAGAAGCAATTCGCCTAGAACCCGGTAGGAGAAGGGCAGTGGCGGTAATTTGAGACTTTCTTTACTTCTCCTATAGAAGTCAAGTATGGTTCTGACTATCTCTTCGCTGGCAACGCCCCAGGGGGTCTCCAAGGGCTGATCATTTCGAGTTGGATCTCTCACAATTTCATCGTGAAATACTCTGTCCGGTATCAATTCCAGGAGATGTTTGATAATTAGCGAGGTCTCGTTAAGTGCTGTAGATTGAATATGGTGATAATCAAGTCCACCTTCAGTACTTGACGAAATAACTTTCATCTTAACCAGTAGTGCCAAGAATAATAGCGGGACGTGGGCAACAAGCATTTCTTCCTCGGCCATATTGAAATGAGAGATAATAAAATTCGCGAGGTTAAGGTCATTTATGGCATGGTTAGATCGAGTTTGAATAACAGATGGTTCAATATGAACAAGGGAAAGGAGCTCGGAGAATATCAGGCTACTTTCAACCCCGTCGAAAAAGGCACTTGCACTTCTAAACACCTCGTCGAAATTCGCAGTTGAAGAGGCAAGCTGTTCATATTGCTGGACACTACGCATAACTGCGAGGAATATTTCTGGGACAACTAGCCCTCCGACTTCCCAGCGATCCATCAAAGAAAGAGATATCCTGAACGGTTTTGCTCTGTCTGGAGGGTGAAGTGAATTGCGATTTATCATCGCCTTGATGCTTTGAACGAGGGGTTTTAAACCGAAACGACTGAAGTACTGGGACTTCGCGTTTTCGTAATCAAAAACACGGCTCGCTTCATGTCCGGATGACAACGGTAGATCACCTTCGCCCTGTTCTTGAGCGCCGTTGGACGCGTCTGGTCCTAAAAACCATGCCCAGAGACGGCGATTCAAACTCATGTCTCTCCTTGTCACCACACCGGCGGCTGCCGCAACTAATATCTCGAGATCATTTGGAGTGATTCCTTTCTGTAGTACGGGTGAGTGAAGAGGTAAGTGAGTAACAAGAAGGTCCAGAAAGTTTCTCTGTACAAGAAGCTGCTCGTCAGCGAGACCTGTCGCAAAGCATCGAATTAACAGTCCCGGCTCTGGCGTAACGATGGAGTCTGTAATGGAAAATAAGTCAGAAGCATCGTCTATGTCGCTGTTTTCCGAGCCTATCAACCACGGACTTGCTCCGCCGAGTTTGGGAAGATAGCGGTTCAAATACGCAAGCACACCATGTCTCCGGCTTGGGTTGGTTATTGAGGCGAGAAAGAGACATTGCCAGAAGTACTGGCTACCAGCATCAGGGCTCGAATCTGACAAAGAGTCTTTCTTGAGATTTATATTTCGAAACTTGTTCACTATCCGTAGAGCAGTTTCGAAATCTTCACTTGTTTCCTCCTCTAGGCCTGGCAGTAACGCTAGTATTATGGATTTTAATGCTGGACGAAGGGCTGATGGGTCCAAATCAACTATATAGGCTTCGACCAAGGAGAGAAAAGTTGGTCGCACGGTCAACGACGCGAACGACAGCGTAGGGGCGATTCCAGGTAGGTAGAGTGCAAGATCTCGAGACAGGCGATCCGGCTAAAAGGGTTCATTCTAAGTATATACGTTTGAGAATACTACAAATGCAGAAAGTTTACCTTAAGGATAGAGAATATGTAGCCGTAAACCTCAAGGGCCTTCTGGTGAACTCCGGATGGAAGAGCTGGGTTGAGACATTGCGCCAATCTTCGTGCAACAATTGTTTTACTTGGAACGATAGGTAGAGACGGCGGATGAGATTGTAGAGCCTAGCCGAAAGAGACATTGAGTATTTGCAGCTAGATGTTCAAAGGAGCATTGCATATACCTTCAACAACCGGCTTAGGAACGAGATGTAGTCTGCCCATTCCTGTAGGGCGGTATCGAACAAAGAGAGCGCTCGGTCGACGCTGGAGGCATAACGACGGTAGTTTTTGTCTTTTTTATATATCTCTAAAAAAGGTCAGTAAATATTCACCACCGCAGAGCTGGTCGACATACCATCCACCCCTTCTCTAGATTTCGGTTGGGATGCTTCGGAGCCGGATGGAGACGAAGATCGTGTTAGATCGCCCGGATCAAGGCTCATTGTGCCGAAGTGGAAATACTGTATCAAGGAATAGGTTGGCCGTCATCCTTCACAAGGAGAAGTGGTAGCTAACTTTTGTTGTGGAATCGACGGAGGGGGAGCTCGGAGAAGAAGCCAAGTATCTGCTAGAAACCGCGGAGCTGATGTTGAGGCTCAATTTCCGCGCCTAAAATTAAACGCGGTCCCAAAACGCTGACATCACCATCTTTCACCTCTGCGCAAGTTTCGACACCACCACTCGAAAAGCAACATAACCCTTTCATACTGGCTGGATATAGCATAGTCGTTACATCTAATATTTATTCGATGCGCACATACTCTAATAACCGCTTGTAGCCATGTGTAGCTAGGTTGCTTGCTACCTTATCGTCTTTCGCGGCTCAACCTACTATTAACTTGCCCTACAAAATGGTCTTCACATAACCTCAGCCCTTCATCGCGCGAAATGAACGGCCGCAGATGGATTCAAAGAAGAATGGTGATAAGTTGCCAGGTATCGACATGGAAAACTCATCTTTGAGCATTCCAGATCCGTTACAAAACAACATGGATACCGCTTGTTCGGGAAGTAGCGGGGAGACCGCAGAAGTCCCTCCGGCTCTCCCCCCTCGCCCTACCATCGTCAGTTTCGAAAAACAACAAGTTACAGCGGGATCGTCTTCGAAAATAAGACCTTCGTCGATGCATAATTTACAGTCAAAACCTACGACTGCCTTGTCCATAACAGATATCAACACTCAGAACATGCCTGATGGCTCCAGCGATCTATATGCATCAACGGCTGGGAAAGTCGTCCCTGGGGTGACTATAGGGTCTAGGTTAAGTGGCACTTATCTGAGAAGCCGCAGGGGAAGCGATGCTGGCGATTCTATAAGTGTACGGAGCTTCGTCCCTGGCGGCGAGAACTCCGATGACGCTAGTCTTTTCGGGGACTTTCCCGTAATTGGAGGCGAGGAGTTTTCATGGACTGAGGGTGGGGAGCATGCGGGAAATCGAGACTTATTGGAGTCTGAGGATGAAGAAGTGGACTATGATTTCGAAAATGAGTTCGACGCCGTCGATGAAGTTGAACCTGATGGTTCCAATTCAAGTAAGCCGGTTCTTAATTGCTCTCAAAATTCCTAACGAATGTAGAATGAGCACTGATGTGTTATAGAGCGCATTGTCGAAGCATGGAAGAAGAAAAGAAAACATTTCCTTATTTTATCGCAGGCAGGAAAACCAATATACACAAGACACGGCGATAGTGGGTTGATTTCCGACTATATTGGCATTATTCAAACGATCATATCCTTCTACGAAGAGTCTGGAGACGCCCTGAAAAGTTTCTCGGCTGGGAAGGCGAGAATTGTTATTTTATCTCAAGGACCATTATACCTGGTTGCTATCAGTCGCCTTTTCGAGAGCGATACCCAGCTAAGGATGCAACTGGAGGCATTATACATGCAAATTCTATCCACTTTGACACTTCCAAGTCTAAACCACCTGTTTTCTATCCGACCATCGACAGATTTACGCCGCCCTTTGCAAGGAACAGAGTCTCTTCTCTCATCATTGGCCGATAGTTTCACTAGAGGCTCTCCGTCGACTCTCCTCTCTGCTCTCGAATGCCTTAAAATCCGAAAATCACATAGACAAACCATAAACAACACTCTTTTAAACACTAGGGCTGAAAACCTATTGTACGGGCTTGTCGTCGCAGGGGGCCGGCTTGTGAGCGTAATCAGACCAAAGAAGCACTCGTTACATCCAGGAGATCTACAACTGATATTTAACATGATTTTTGAAGCCGATGGGGTGAAAGCTGGTGGCGGAGACAGCTGGATTCCTGTTTGCCTGCCAGGCTTTAATAGCAGTGGCTATTTGTACATGTATGTCAGTTTCCTTGATCTGCGTGGTGATGAGAACCATGCTGCAAACCAAAACACGAACAAGGACGACTCCGTTGCCATAATTTTGATTAGCCCGGACAAGGAAAGCTTTTACGCACTTCGGGAGATGCGTGATTCGGTAGTCGAGGTAATTAACCCGTTTTTTCCTTTAGAAAATCACCGTTTCACCATAGTCAGACCATTATATCTTAGGGAACTGATCGTTGTATCTAGCAAATGGCGAAAAACGGCAGCATAAACGTAATTAAAGCCGCAATCGACAAAGGTCGACCTACCACCACGGACATCATACCTGGAACCGTCTTACGGCATTTCCTCTACAAATCAAAAGCCAATGTCCAATTTTCGATGGCCTCATATCATCCGGACTTCTCAACGATTTTGGGGAGACGCAGGTCTGTAAATACATCCTAAAATCACTATTTTACCCACCTAGCGAAATCTATACATATTCTTTCTACCGAGCGAGGAAAAAAAAAATGCCAACGAAAGTTAAGGCCATAGTAACTAACTACCATTGTAAATGGACACGTTACTCTCCCCAGACTCTTATCAACCTACCATTCCCTTCATTCTAGTGTTCACGCAAAACATGCGCACGTCAGGGTCGAGCATAGGATAACGAATTCCATGAATGCCCTTGCTTGGATTACGCCTGTATTTGAGTTATATTGTGTTGCCGGACCGAATAGTAATCGGAACGCTCTTTCGCAAAGTACAAGCAAAATCGCTCAGTGGGCACAGCAGGAAGGAGAGAGATTGTTTATTATTGGTGGTGCTGTGAGTCTTTATCTTCACTTTTTATTTTTTTATTTTTGCATTGATGGAAAAAAAAAAAAAAAAAAAAAAAACCCAACTAATGGGAGCTCTTGTTCTATTAGGTATTTTAAAGCTATTTTTCTCGTCAACATTTCATACACTTTCTTGTTATTCGCCTTGCCCTTGGAGACAGCCCTGACGCAATATCCTTCATCGTCCTCAAAGATCCTGATGGGCGTGGGTTGGGCCGGGACGGAAGGAGTTGGTAGTATTATAACGGGATTGTTATGAAAGATTCATTTTTTACCATGTATGGAAATTCAGGGGCGATTTGTCTCCAAAGGTACAACCAGAGCGCTGAGATATCAATAATTCCTACTACCAGACGAACCGAAAAAAAAAGGGGTTGGAACTGCTTCTAAACAAAGAGATTACACGCTCTGAATGTAATGTACATACATCGCCCTTTGATAAAGTATAAGAAAAATAAGAAAAATAAATGAAGAACCCGAGAGATATATATATAGGAACATGGGGTATCATGAATATTGTAAAAGGCTTGCGCCGCGTAGCAATGCATTTTTTCGATGCCACACTTTCATCGCCCCAGGCTTACTTGCCCTATGGCGTAAGATATACTGTCAGCGGTCTATTAGTCCGTGCGTCTATCTAGGTATTTGTTAAGTCTATTTTATGCTGGGAAAAAATGATAAATACGGGTGAGAATACACAAAATACAGCAGCGTTAGACAGGACGCCCGGGTGGATTCTCTGAGGAGAAACGTTGAAGGACACCACCAAAAAAATTGGGAGAGACGAACTGGAGAAGGGGAATGTCCGAGTATGAACCGCGATGCAAAAAAAATGGAGTTCGTTTTAGATTGAAGCCGACATGACGAGCGGTCCACGCTATGTAGGCATCATACCAATGCCACCACGGGAGCCTGATCCGGAACCTGAACTTGCGCTGCGTTTGGTTGGATGCGTAGACGATGATTGGGCCTTTTTCTTCGAACGAGAGTTTCCAGGCTTTCTACTTGAAGTTCCGCTAACACCTCCACCACCGCCCGCACGAGATTTCGTATTTTTCCCACGAAATGAATTTCTACCATATCTATTATACGAGCCGGATCCTCGCTTTGATGAGCCGTATACCTGACTGGTATAATCACTAGTTGTAAGATCAGAATTCCGGGCGGATTCTAGTTGAGACACTGTCGAAAAGTACTATTAGCTGCGAAACTAATTGACTGATAGCAAGACCAACTCACTGCGGGCATTAAATGAGGCGACTTCGTCGTCTAGTTCGAAGTAAGAGCTTTCTTCCCCAAGCGGGCCGTCTGCAGCCCTTGTGTCACCAATAAAATCATCAAAGTCTTCCCCAAGGCCAATTTCGGAGTCGCTACTGATGTTGATGACGATCTCATGATTCGGGTCTGGAACCAGAACTTCGTTCCTATCTCTCTCTGCCAGAAGTTCCTGGTATCGATGTTCTGCTCGTCGGATCAGTCGAAGAAATTGGATTCCATACCGATCGACTTTGTCAGGATTAATGTTGGGGATTTTGAGGAGTTGGTTTGTATCTGCTATTAGTTAGTATCTTATTGCCATCACCCCATTATTAGGAACATACCTTGCGGCAAGCTGATGGCCATTTCACGCAAGATAGCATCGGGAAATGGCTGATTGCGAAGATTCTTCTTCATCATTATCTATGATGAGATCAGGTTAGCACATTTGAGAAGGTGGATGAATTATATAGCATGTAACCTACCTCATGGCAAGCCTCTTTGGCATAAAACATAAATTCGTCAACTATAATACTCTGAAGAGAGTCAAGCCGAGATAGTTTTCCGTCATCGGTGATTGGAGGTCCCAAGTTTTCATCATACGATCGACGGGGTACTCCAGCCTCACGTACAGGTTCGAAGCCATCACTTTCATCCTCATCTTCTTCGGATGCATAGCAAGCTGTATACCCTCGTCCAAGCTTGCGTCGACGCAACGATTCTTGGATTGGGGACGATACATTTGTTGATTGTGGATACTCATTCCCTGCAGCACGGACCCCGGTTCCGTGACTTCGTGTCGTTTTCGTCTTAAGCTTCTCGGTAGCCTTGCCATTGGGCAAAACCCGAATCGGGAACATCAGTTTGTTACGCCGGGCAAGAAACTCGCCTGCCTTTTCGCCAAGCTGAATATATTGAGTGGCAAAGCGCGCTTTGTTGAAAACATTTTCTTCCCTCAAAGCCTCTTCGCAGATCAAATGGGTAAACATTCGCTGCACGTCAAGGCGATCTAGGTCAGCTCCAATGCCAAATTCGGGAAAGTATTTATCGGCTGGGTCCGAATATTTCATTTTGGCACCCCTCAATATATCCACAGGGTAGAAATATGTCACCTGTCGGTTGCTTAAACGCCCGACGAGTTTCACAGCAGAAGCGGCGAGATCCGTGAAATCCCTTTCTTCAAAAGGTAAATCCGCTTTACAGTTATCGCAGGAGCGGTTACAGTTTTCTTTTTTGAACTTCTCATTAAAGTAGGTGAGAACTTGTACTCGCCGACAATCAGTCCAGTTTTCGCAAAACTGAACAACATGGCGGAGCATCCGATGCTGGCGGCTTTTCTGCTCGCTGCTTCCCTCCCCCTTGTCTATCATATGGCGTATGGATGCCGTATCTTGAAAGCCATAATATAGGTAACAGCCTGACCTTTCGCCATCGCGACCAGCTCGTCCAGTTTCTTGATAATACCCCTCTAGGCTTTTAGGCATTGAGTGATGTATTACGAAACGAACATCTGGTTTATCGATACCCATTCCAAAAGCAATTGTGGCCACAATGACGTTGTATTTTCCGCGCTGCCAATCTCTTTGAATCGATATTCGGTCATTAGAGGGCAGACCAGCGTGGTAATGGACCGCCTTTATTTTGTGCGTATCGCGAAGCTGTTCAGCCACTCTTTCACAGCTTTGTCTGGATAGGCAATATATGATACCCGCTTTACCACTGTATGATCCTTTGATAGTTTCGGCTATGCTTGCAACAACATTTGTGCCTTTGGGTTTCCGGCGGACCTCGTATATCAGATTCGGACGATTGAAAGACTGGACGAATACTTCGGCGTCGTGCATCCCAAGATTGTGGATAACGTCAACCTTGACATTTTCTGTAGCGGTGGCAGTAAGTGCCATGAGCGGGATTCCCGGAAACTTCGTTCTGGTGTTTCCTAATTCCTTGTAATCGGGCCGGAAATCATGACCCCATTGGCTGACGCAATGAGCTTCATCGATGACAATGCGTGCCAATTTACATCGGCTGTGCAGGTGACTCAGGATGTCAAGTAATGCTCCATTCTTGTTCACCATCTCAGGTGTGACGTAGAGTAACTGTATGAGTTTTTCGACGTTGGCGTTGCGCAGGGCCCCATATATCTCCATTTTCTCTTCTTTGCTCGCATCACCGTTTAAGACAGATGCCTGGATCTTGAGGTCTCGCAAATGAGCAACTTGGTCTTCCATCAAACTCAAAAGAGGGGATATAACAACAGTGACTCCTTTTGTCTTGCCGCTCTGGATGACAGAAGGTAATTGGTAACAGAGAGATTTCCCCCCCCCAGTTGGCATCAAAACAAACACATCTTTCCCACTTAGCGTAGCATTGATGGCTTCCAATTGGTTAGGGCGGAACCCAGGGAGGTTGAAACGATGTCGTAGTGCGTGTTTGACATCTTTAGACCAAGGATGTTGTAATGATTCGGGAGCAGGTTTCTTGGCAGAAGATGCTGTTTCACGACGTACAGTTTGACCCCCCAAGGAATATTTGCGTACAGACCCTTGATTCTCAAAATGTTCCGCTGCTTCGAGCATATCAAAATCGTCGGCGTCATTGTCAAAATCTAGCATGTCAGAGGCGACAGGTGTTCCCATATTTCTGGAAAAGAGATTGTCGTTGTCTAGCATAAATTCGTCATCGTCATTTCCATCAAAAGCCGACGTTTTGGGGGTAAAGCTTGGAGGAGTTTTAGGTTTCGTGGATGCCTGCGGGAAAGATTGTAATGGAGGATATGAGATATTAGGGCGGCAGGGAGGAGGTCCGTGAGGCTGGAAGGACATTGTAAGCTTGTCAGTGCATTGCTTTGGAAATTGTGTTCCTTTGATTATGATTTCATGGGCTGGCGGTTTAGTCCCATTGATGGCTGTCGCATTGTCAACTGCAAGAATCCCTGATTGCTCAATTAATTCCACTAATTTAGCTTCTTGTTCTTGCCCCTCTAGTGCAAGTTTTCGAGCTTTGTCGACATCACCAGAGGCATCCGGCAGAATCGCAGCTCGTTCGGCGGACTGTATTATCCGCTTTTTAAGTGCTTCCTGCTTAGCCCGTAATAAAGTGTACGTTGTTTGAGCCTGTTGGAGGCTTTCAAGAGCTCCAATCTTAGAATTCAAGATTTTATTTTCGTCAATCAAATCAGAGGCATCCATAGCATCCATAGCCCGTTGATATGCCATTTCTGCATTCCTGGAACGATCAGATTTAAATCTTTCAAGAAGGTCCTCGACAGAACGAGAAGGAAGAGCGAGGAAATTGACTAGGATAGGATTCTGGCTTCCTTGGTGGATAAAGGTGCCACGAGAGATAGAACTCCCTGAGACATTGCTGCGGTCTTCTAGTCTCTGCGCATTCGAGACAGGAGTGTGCTGTTGGACAGGAGAAGCAATGGTTGATGGCTGACAGCCAGTACTCTTCGGACTCGTTTGGGCAGCAGCCGGTGGGGATTTCTTTGATTTATTCTGTCCCTGCCAACCCTCTTTCTGCTTAGATAGCTTTGGATATAGGTTACGTCCGCTCAATGAGTAAGGTGGAGATCGGTAACCTTCATCGCTGAGAGCCGGGAAAAGATCAACTCCGTCGTCTTCGCCCTCTGAGTCACCAATAACCGGATGCAATAAAGCTTTCTTGGCCGATTTGTCACGAGTAGAACTAGAAACAGAGTCACGCTGCTCTTTCATATCCAGCGTTAATGGGGATCCCGGCGAGGGACTCCGCGATAATGGTTTTGTAGGGTACTTTAGGTCTGCTTCGTAATCCCCGCTTTTTCTTTTCACTCCACGATTGCCTAATGGCTCGGGACGAGATGCATAGTCTTCTCTCCATATCCGTAGTGGCTCTCCAAAGGCTTCAACGGTGGCCGACGAGGACGTATGAAGGAGAGTGTCACCCGTTAGGTCTATGGCATCAACATGTTTGGCAGAAAGCGTGTAATCGCCGGGGTAGGTGGCTTGACGAGACAGAAACCTCGGACTGGTTTGCCGTGGAGTAGAACGTGTAGCGTTCCATACCCTAGCTAAATATATGGTCAGTGCATGTTCACTCACGAGTAAGGGCTAGTTCATCGGGATTACAAACTGTGCTTTTTAGCTTGAGAAGTTGCCTCATTGGGGTCAGGAAAGCTATGGTTTTCTTCCAGCACACTAGGCGTATCTGGCGAAGCTGGAAATTTCTGTTTGATGCTACTCAGCATGCGCGGCTTCGTTGAAGACAAGGGAGCAAATTGAAGCCGGGCCATGTCCACATCCGAGATCCCAAACCCAGTCTCTGCCTTCTCAACCTTAGCATTCTGAGAACCTAAATCGTGCCCTATGGGTTCTAAGACAGATATCACTGTGTCATTGGCAGCATGCACTCCATCCAAGGGATTTCCAAAGTCAGCAGCACCTTGCCCTGCAACACTGTTTCCAGCTGCGGCTTGTGCGCGTGGTATCGATGGAGGTATCAAGGGTCCACGGTTCAACAGCCAAGACAGGTGATCTTGTAAATTATGCTTTGTCATAGAGTCATATCGTTGCTAGCTCGTAGGGGGAGGGCTCTCGGGGACAACTGGGGGAGCTGGTGCAATTCGTCATCAGCACGGAAGATGTTTGAGCTTGATAGTTATCTCTTCAACAAGCGTGTTGAAGTAATGAGGACGCGTTGGCACGTGATGTCAACCCACTTCCCGATGTGGCTTAATTGTTGTGGGGCAGACTTTACACAGCGTAGAGGGGAAATTCTTCTGAGGCTTTAACAATCGCCATTCATCAGTTGACAGTAGTACATATAAATAATAATAAGATCACTATCATCCACACTGGAATCGCTACTCAAAAGTTCCCGTTTTGGTTTTTAGGGCACATGAGTCATCCGATCCACTTTGGCTTTCCAGGTGGTTTCGGCCAATGAAAGTGTAACTCCTTTTCAATTCTGATTTTTACGGCCAATCCAATGGCCCAATCATTATTCTAGCTCGCACAAGCCGGGGACGCCCATACAAATATCTTTTCATACTTCACGCAGGACTTCAGTCAGGATGGCCAAAAAGGACAAGAAGTCCAAATCAGCGGAGCAGAAGGCTCGTATAGCCGCAAAACAGTCTAAAAAGGCGGCTCAGAAAGAGAAGAAGATCAAAGCAAAGGGACAGGCTGATGACAGTGATGCTGAAGATGTCGACCTGGATGCTGTTTTGGCAGCATATGCAGAAGAACAGGCCAAGTTCCTGAAGGTCACAGAGGCCAGCTGTGGGCCACCATCGCCCCGATCTTCCTCTACCTTGATCGCGTCACCCGCAGGTCGAAACGAACTCTTCCTCTTCGGAGGAGAGCATTTTGATGGCACCATAGCCACCTTTTACAATAACCTTTACGTCTACCAGGCTGATAAGCATGAGTGGCGCGAGGTCACTAGCCCAAATAGCCCTCTCCCCAGGAGTGGACATGCTTGGTGTCGTGGCGGAAATACAGGTGGAATTTATTTATTCGGAGGTATGCACGGACTGTATTATGCAAATATGCAAGGTAGAATAAAATACTGACAGAAAATATAGGAGAATTCTCCTCACCAAAACAGGGAACATTTTATCATTATAATGATTTCTGGCACCTAGATCCATTGACAAGGGAGTGGAGTAGAATTGAGACAAAGGGAAAGGGGCCACCTGCAAGGAGCGGGCATAGAATGACTTATTTTAAGGTAGGCCGCCCTTGTCTGTATTATTATCATGTGGTTGTTAAACGTGATAGTTTATTGAAGTAAGATGTCCAAAGTTTTTTGAATATACGTCTAATGTATAATTTCACTTCGGTTCTGACTTTTTCCCAGAATTATATATTATTATTTGGCGGCTTCCAGGATACGTCCCAGCAGACAAAGTACCTTCAGGACTTATGGATATATGACTGTCAAAAGTATATGTGGCATAACGTTATTCTTCCTCCCGCGTCCCAAAAGCCAGACGCTAGATCATCGTTTTCATTTCTTCCACATGAATTCGGCGCGGTAATCTATGGAGGATATTCTCGAGTAAAGGCGACCGCTGCGGTCAACAAGCAACAGAAAGGGGGGGCGCAGCGTATGATCCTCAAGCCATTTGTTCACCAAGATACCTGGTTCTTGCGCATCACCCCACCCCCTCCCGATGCCCCCCACACTGCAATTCCCACGATCCGGTGGGAGCGGCGGAAAAAACCAGCGAATCCTCCAAATCCGTCGCGTGTAGGCGCGACTATGGCATTCCACAAGGGAAGAGGGATTATGTTTGGCGGTGTCCACGACGTTGAAGTAACTGAAGATGGAATTGAAAGCGAATTTTTCGACAACCTTTACGCGTGGAATACGGATCGAAACCGCTTTTTCCAAATGTCGCTTCGCCGACCACGAGTAGCAGGGAAGAAGCAGCAGGCTGCTGCGCAGGCCGCAAAACGGAGCCGAGGCAGAGCAGATGAAGAGGAGCTGCTGCGCAACCTTGCTCTCCTTGAATCGAAGGTAAATTCAACCAAAATAGAATCTCAGCCAATGGATGTTGATTCTTCAGAAAAAGAGGGTGAGGATACCGGAGAGAAACGAAACTTGACAATTCGCTTTGAAATGCCTCACCGCAGGTTCAATTCTCAATTAGCAGTGCTGGATGATACCCTGTTTATGTTTGGCGGCACCTTTGAGAGAGGGGATCAGGAATTTACATTTAACGACATGTATTCTATTGACCTAGTAAAGCTAGATGGTGTGAAGGAGATATTTTACAGGGAGCCCGAACATTGGAACGATGCCATTGCAGTCGACAGCGATGAGGAGGACGAAGATGAGGAAGAATCGGACGATGGCGAAAATGAAGATGTGGACATGGAGTCAGTAGAAGTAGCGTCGACTGCAGCGACAAGTGTCATCGCGGAACAGGCGCAGGCGGAAATGGAGGTCGAACAAGAACCAGAAACTCTAGTCAAGGATTCTCAACCTCACCCTCGACCTTTTGAGTCTCTGAGAGATTTCTTCGCCAGGACCTCCACGGAATGGCAGGATATTTTATTGTCGAAGATGACCGCTGATAAAACTGGAACAGAAATGAGTGTGAAGGAACTCCGGAAGGAAGCGTTTATCCTGGCTGAAGAGAAATGGTGGGATTGTAGAGAAGAAATCACAGCTCTGGAGGACGAACAGGAAGAGGCTGGCATTGGGGAAGTCGTCAGTATGGCCGATAGAAGTGACGTTCCATCTGCAGGGCGTCGGAGATAAGGGTGGGAAAGAGGCTATGGTATTCTATCAATATTTTCCACATATGTGGATAATATGTCTATGGATATATATAACACAGTACATCTAACGTGCTCTTCTTTCTGACATATTATTCCGCAATTTCACGCAGCACTGAAGTTATCACTTCAAAATCCTTCTCTTCGTTCACCCTCCAGTTTGAAATTGCAATTCTACACGCCGGCTTGCCGTCCCAACTCGTTCCGGACACATATATTTTTGAAGCGGTATTGATTTTGCTCACCAACACCTGATTTAAATCTTCATCCTTTGCCCTAAATAGAACAATTATAAATGTGTTCTGCAGAAGACTTTCCTTCTCTGGGTCGTGAGGAAGAACTGCATAGGCGGGATGCTCAAATAGCCAGCCAACAACCGACCTAGCAAGTCGGATTTGTCTTTCCAACATATCCCTATACCCGTCCTTTCCATATGCAACTAATGTCGCATACACCGGCAGCGCTCTAAGGCGTCTGGAGTTCTCAACGCCATTGTTACACGGAGGTGGGATCCCGCCGCCACCAGCACTTAGATAGGCAGCGTTAGGATTCCGGCAGACGTCCTCTGCGAGGTCCGCATGGCGGGAGAAGAAAAACCCGCAGTCGTAGGGAACGTTGAGTAGTTTGTGACCGTCTCCTGTAATTGAGTCTGCTAGCTCAAGCCCCTGGCATCCTTTCCAAATGTGATCAAATTCCCCTCCACTTTTTAAAATCCGTCCAAACATCCCAAAAGCGCCATCGACATGTAGCCAAGCGCCGTACTTGTCACAGAGCTGCCGTATCTTTCTGAACTCTTCCAATCCCCCTGTAGCAAAATGCCCCGTGTTCACTTCGCCACAGGACACCGCAACAATACTTGCCATATCACTTCTGGCCAACTCCTTTTCTAAATTCTCAAAGTCGAACTTAAGTGGAACCCAACCATCACCAGCAGCACAAACGCTTTTAACATTTGCCCGACCAATACCTAGAATCCCCGCTGCCTTTCCAACTGACGAATGGGGATATGTAGATAGAACTTGTAGGCCTTTTAAGCCAGCAGCAACCAACACCTCCGCCATGCCATGCTCGCCCACGCTTTTCATAACCTCCCGAGCCGCACCCTCCTTCCTCTCCACGGCTACCCGAAGAATAAACTCTCTCCCCAGCGCCAGTCCGAGTACATTGCTACCCGTGGCGCCCGTCGTCATAGTCTTATGGGTCCATGTTTTGTGATCCAGATCGAACATATCAAGCAGAAACGTCAATGCCCGATCCTCCACATCCGTCGCGACGGAGTGGTCTGGAAGGTGCGCGTGGACATTCTGGTCATAGGCAGATACGATATTGTCAGCCAGCAGGGCAGCGGGTGTTACGCCACCTGTGACAAAGCCATAGTAATTGGCGCTTAGGCTGCTGCCGTTGAAACCGGGAGAAATATCGTTGACTATATGCCTTTTTGTCTCTGAAAATCCCAGGCCGGCGCTAGGGAGCGGGGATATCAGGGAGGAGCGGACGTGGGAGAGGGTGGTGGATGTGGGGAGCGGGGAGGATGTCCAGGGCGAGATGGCCTTCTGCCAGATTTGGGAAGGGAACTCTTTATCCTCGCGGGATTGGAGGGGTTGAATGCTCATGGTTGGGAAGGTTTAATCGATCACTTACGTGTTTATATTGTGTGTATGTTGCACCGTGTATGTTATGACACGCACATATCCCTTCTGCTTGTTATCCGAGAGATATTTACTACAAGCTCCTCTGGACAAAACATCACCATTTATCGGCTGGAGTCAGCGCTAAGAAAAAACCTTGCCCTTTTTTGCCTTATTCGGCCGAGTTTCTCTAGACACGGCGTTGTTTCAACCATGGTATTATTAAATGAGTTATAATCTCAGCAGCAGTTTATCTGTTAGATGTAACTAGTTAACTTATGTAATAGCGCCATAGACCATTGTCCTCAATCATATAAGATGGTGATAGCTTGTGGCCCAAAACACGAGGAGGTTTGAATTATTTATATGTACTCGTATAGATAACATCGCCTAGATATGCATATCCATACCATAGCTAGACCGACAGCGATCTTGGGTGAGGTTTCGGAGCCCTACAAATAACTTACTAACCCCGCGCCTATCTACTTAACCTTTGGTCCATTGGCTAGGTTATTTATTTAAGTTACCAGTAACTAACTAGTTGTTCACCCCTCAACTCTCCCAAATACTACGCGCCGCGAACACACAACCATCTCCTAAACCAGCTGTTCCCAAAAGGGATCCTCTTGAGTTCTCAGCTCAGTATCCCCGCTGCTATCTGCTAGATACTCTAGCATCCTCAGCTCGTTCCCATCATGTGGCTCGCAAAACTAGTCAGGTCACAGGCCCATTTTGTTCCAGGTGGGTGGCTTGGGCTGCTTTGTTTTTATCCGCAATAACATTTGATATTGCACAGCCATACACCCATATCCTATCGAGAGGCTATATAGACGCGAATAACTGATATTTTAATATACCATTCGCGCAACGAACAGGCAAATTGAAGGTGACTGAACTTTTCTGGGATGTCCCTCTGGATTACAATCGGCCCACTGAAGCCACCATCCAACTTTTCGGGCGGGCTGTAAGACGCCGCGAGCCAGGGGTTGATTTGGCTCGAGATGAAAAGGTCTTACCCTGGTTTTTATACCTACAAGGTGGACCAGGGATGGCATCGCCGGCGCCACAGGACGTTGGCTGGGTGCAAATGATGCTTGATAGGGGATACCAGGTATGGCATGATTTTGAGAGCATGCGCTGCTCATTATGCTTCTAACTCTCGTCTGCGGGCTGGATAGCTGGAGCCAATATATCTCAAGAAGATACTCTCACTATCGGCCGCGATATGCTCCTTTGGATGGCCTAGCTTATTGTTTCTATAGATTCTCTTACTTGACCAACGAGGGACTGGATTGAGTACTCCAATTACGGCTGCTACTCTTGGCCTCGTAGGCGATGCTGTTAAACAGGCTGAATACCTCAAATTATTCCGCGCAGATAACATCGTTCGGGATTGCGAGGCTATCCGTGAAAATATTACTGCTGAGTACCCGCCTGAAAAGAAGAAGTGGAGCCTCCTTGGCCAGAGTTTTGGCGGTTTTTGCGCTGTCACCTATCTTTCAAAATTGTGAGCTGCTGGTTTATGATCTTATATCGCTCTTGCTCATTCTGAAAGTTTTTGTTCTGGAGGCTAATTCTGGCCTGTGAAGTCCTGAGGGCCTACGAGAGGTTTTCACAACCGGAGGTCTCCCTCCTCTCAGACGGGGACCCGAGCCTGTACTTGAGCGGACGTACGGTAAGTTTTTGAAGGCTCTGACTGGAGCGAGCGGAACAACTGAGATGCAATAGAAAAGGTCCTTGAACGAAATGAAGCGTACTACTCCAAGTTCCCCGAGGATGTTAACAGAGTTGATCAAATCGTACGCTATCTGAGCGAGAACCGGGTAGAGCTACCCTCTGGAGTTCTCACATCCGCCAGATTCTTGTCACTCGGGTTATCATTCGGCATGCGAGGTATGTACATATGATATATCCTTGTGTTGTGGCTTACATGAACCAATTTTGGCTAACTTATGAAACAGGCGGCTTACATTCTATTCACGGTATGAGAAAAGACGTAGTGGAGTCACATTCAAGTCTACTCACTGTTAATGTGTGCAGATATCGTGCTAAGAGTACACAACGAACTCGAAACGTTTAACTTTTTGACCACACCAACTCTTGCATTAGTGGATAATGCTACTACCTTCGATAATAATATCCTCTATGCGGTTCTTCATGAAGCTATATATTGCCAAGGGTAGGTAAACCCCTTTGCGCGACGATCTGCAGAGCAAAAATATAAATGATTATATAGGGAGCCGTCGAACTGGTGTGCGGATAGATTGCTATCTAGGTTCTCCTCATATAATAACAAATTCGGGGGGAGTTCGTTGTTTTTCACTGGGGAAATGGTGAGTTAAAAGCGCACCCGCCCCTTGGATGAAACAAAAACCCAAAATTGACGACGGGATTTAACACACACGCAGATATACCCACACATGTTTGAATCTTCCAATGAGCTCAGGAAAGTCAAAGCCGCTGCGGACATCATTGCAGCGTACGACGGATGGCCAGATCTCTATGACGAAGTACAACTAGCCAAAAACGAGGTACCGGTATTTTCAGCAACCTTCGTGGATGACATGTATGTGCATTACGCATTGGCAACGGAAACTGCAGCGAAGATCAGAGGGTGCAAGCAGTTCATTACGAATACTATGTATCACAACGCGATCCGTGCGAACGCCGATGAGTTGATTAAACAACTTTTCGCTCTGAGGGACGACACGCTCGATTAGGTCATGAGTCTTTGTTTTGTACCTTTTTAATGACCTCCAGCCATAGAACATAGGCAGCTGTTTATAACACCTCATATTTTGTTTGTAGCGTCGACATGTTCAGTGTGGGTCTTTGTATAAGTATGCACATATATATCAATCAATCAGCTCCCTCGCAAAATCAATCAGCCGTAGCCGACGCGCATCCCGCGGATGAAACTGTGCAATTTTCGCTTTCACCAGGAACCTAGACGCGGCAGTGTCTCGCTCTAACTTGATATAGGATGACGTACCAGCCGCCTCCACCAACGAATCAATTAAAGCATGAACCTCTTGCCCAGCTGCCTCCCGCTTGCTGCCTATTCCGCCTCTGTGACCATCCCCATCCCCACCCCCACCCCCACTCGGTAGTCGAGAAACCAGCTCATCAATCCGCTGCTGCCTCGAATCCCTTTCCACCTCCGCACCAGCAGGAGCGTTAATCCTCCTCTCCTTCCCCTGTGTCGTATACCCCGCCGCCAGCGTGGCATCCGACACCTCAAGCTGATCCCCCACAACCGGGCCGCCCAAATTCTCCGCAGCCAGCATCGCAGCTAAATGGTCATCAATAAATACCCTCAACGCTTCCTTCAGCGCAGCCGTCTTCTTTTCTAACTCGACCTTGCGCCTGCGCTGCTGTTGCATGAACTCCTTCGCCAACTGCGCCGGCCGTTTCTCGCGCTCCTCTGGCCGTGCGGACTGGAGAGTCTTAATGCGGTCATCTAAACCTGTGCTAATCAGTTGCGCGTCGCGTGCAGCCGCTTGTTCGGCCTTTAGTCGCTCCCGGCTTGCGCTGAGGTCGTGTGCTGTGGCATCTATGCTTGATTTGAGATCCAGGATTTGACGAGATGACTCGCGCAATGCGAGGAGGGTGGGCAGGGGGGAGTCTGGGTGTGGTAGGTCTGGCACGGTCTGTGAGAGGCTTTTGTAGGCTTTTGTTGCGCGCCGGATTTGCGCAAGGCGCATGCGGGGCTCGAGGCCTGGGCGGGGAAGTCCGTGTATAGTTGAGCGCCGGAGCTGGAACAAAATAAATGTTTTAATTGCTAGGTTTCAGAGAAACGCGGGAAGAACTCTACTGTGCAGATGAAACTATGAGACAAGCAAAAATTGACTCAAACTAACCTGTTGTAGAGTATCTTCCTGGCGCCTTACTTGAGCTTGCAGTTGGCTCAGGGTCTGATCAAGCTTCTGATTGTACACGCGGTGGTCAATTGGATGGCGGTCGCGTTCTTCTTCGAGTTTGTGATTGGTTTCTGCAAACTGGAGTATTTTCTCCAGGGTATCATGTTGCAATGCCATCTTCCCAGCGCGCGTTCAGATCCCGTCTCCGTTCATACCTGGGCACTCTCCGTGCTACGGAAGCTTCCGAAGAGGGAGCAAGATCCACGTGACTAGTTTCTTCGGCTTAGCTCAGCAACATTAGTCTCATTTCGGGCGAAAGACATCCTCATCAGGCTTAGTGCGGCTCGCTCCCCCACAAGTTTAGCCTTTTGCGGCTCTGGACCTTCCTCCAACCTCATCTCCTCTTGTTCGTCGCCTCCTCGCGATTTTCTCTCTTCTCAACTCTCATCGGCAGCAGCATCGCGTCCTGCAAGTAGTCATCGTTCTTCATCGTAAGAGATATTTGCCCATCTCCCATTTACTTCTTGTGCCCGTTCCCCTTCCCCCCTTTCCCCTTCTCTCCCTGTCCTGTCTTCCACTGAAAAAAAAGAAAAAAAACTCTTGCGCCTATTTGTCAGTCATTTTTGCTAACCCCTTTTTCCACGTCTCAGTTGCTAACAAAGACTTCAGGTTTCGCGTAATATTGGGGTCTGATCTGGGACAAGGAGGCCAAGAAAGAGATATTTCCCAAACGAAAAGAAAAAGGAAGAAGAAAGAAAAGAGGTCCAACAACTTGCGTGTATCCTCCTGTTTGAGCCTGTTACTTTGTCCATCAAACTTCCAAAATCCTTCCCTGGCTGAAGGTACCTTCTCTACCACCACTTACCACCATATCACAACCCCTCCGTCTCCCCTGTGGATCAAATTCTTATCCCAGCATCTCCCAAAATTTCTCCTGGAGCCTTTCGCTCAATACTGCTGAAACCAAATCCAACCTTCTCACCTCAATACAACATCTATCTCCATTTCTACGTCGACTCCATTTGCCTCTCCGCACCGTTTCCACCATCTACTGCTACCACTATCCTCATTCTTTGACTCTCAGCCTATCTCCAAGCACCACCTCCTCTCCAGCCGACCCACCAGCACCAGCAAGTTTTCCTTGGGAAATCCCTGGTGTACATAGCCGATTCAGAAACAAAAGAAAACAATTTAAAAGAAAAGATATTCAGATCCTACTTCGATCCTTGTTTTCCCAGTGTAGGTGAAGCAGCAGAAAAAGAAAAGATATCCAGACCCAGAGCAAGAAAATCCCCGACGAACACCGTATTTTAGCTCAGCAACCCCGATACGAATACAAATATGTCCGCCTCTCCGACTTCCGCCGTGGCGTCAACGAAACGTCCCCTAGAGGACCCCTCATCTCCATCAGGACCCACCGATCAACCCGACGCCAAACGTCCCGCCCTGGATAAGGTAGTAAAGGGCGGAGAAGAGGAAGAATCTAAGGTAGTTCGAGAAGGTGACAGCTCTGCGACGGAGACCGCCAAGTCCGATACTGCCACTCAACCCGCAGCTGCTGCCACCGGAGAAAATGGCGTAAAGGACGAGCAAGGTGATTTAGTTGTTCCCGATGCTCTTCATGCCAATGGCAAGAACGCATCTGCTGCTCAGATACTGGAGACCCAGCCCATTCAGTCCACAGCTTCTCAAAATGACCGTTCATCATCGCAACCTCCTTCCCAGCAGGCCACTCAAGATGAGAGTGGATGGATCCATATCCGAGCCGTGATCTCTAGTGCTGAGGCGGCAACCTGTATTGGCAAAGGAGGTGAAAATGTTTCACAGATTCGTCGTCTATCTGGTGCCAAGTGCACTGTTAGCGACTACTCTCGTGGTGCAGTGGAAAGAATTTTAACCGTCAGTGGCATGCAGGATGCAGTTGCTAAGGTATGCTCTCAAGACGGTTGCTGATTATTTACCCAGTTTCATTTTCCTCAATATTGCAATCGCTGACATGTACCCCGACAAAAGGCTTTTGGTTTGATTATTCGTACTCTTAACAATGAACCCCTGGAGGCCCCATCCACAGCTCAGTCAAAGACATATCCTCTCCGCCTGCTCATTCCCCATCTACTTATCGGCTCTATCATTGGAAAGTCTGGAGTACGCATTCGCGAAATCCAAGAGGCTTCTGGTGCTCGTCTCAATGCTTCCGATTCATGCCTTCCTCTTTCCACAGAACGAACCCTTGTTATCCTGGGTGTTGCTGACGCAGTTCACATTGCAACTTATTACGTTGCAGTGACTTTGGTAGAACAACTGACTGAAAGATTTGGCGGACCTGCAGCTTCCGCTTATGCCACCCGCAGTGGTGGTCCCGCTGGTGTCGTCCCTGGAGGTATGCAGGTAGTTCCGTACATCCCCCAACCAGCCGGCGGACAATACGGGCATCCAGATACTTTCAAGAGACATCAACCTCAAGCAAATCGGGCTGTATCCACCGGTGGGTACGGCGTACCGTACGTCCACGGCCAGCCGGGCCAGCCTCAAATGCCACACCAAGCACTTCATTACGGTTCTTCCTCCCGTCCCGGCTACACTGGAGCTGGTCCTCATCAACCAGCACCTTACGGCGCTCCCCAGCCCACCCAAGTCCACGGTGCACCAACTGCTCAACCTGCTGGAGGAGTTGTCCCAGGAGCACCAGTGACACAGCAGATCTTTATTCCCAACGATATGGTGGGTGCTATCATTGGCAAAGGAGGCGCCAAGATCAACGAAATACGCCACCTCAGCGGCAGTGTTATCAAGATCAACGAGCCTCAGGACAACAGCAACGAGCGCCTCGTTACTATCACGGGTACACCCGAGTGCAACCAAATGGCTCTCTATATGCTTTATTCCAGACTTGGTATGTAGTTTTATCTGAGCTAGTTTGGTCTACTTCCCCCCCACATGGATAAACTTTTGCTAACCATGACATTTCGCGTACAGAGAGTGAGAAGCACAGAATTTAGAACACTTACGGAGCTATCTTCCCAGCTTTATGTTTTCATCTTTATTTTCATGTTGTTTCATGTTGGTTCCCTCGCCTCTGGGAGTTGATTGAAAAGTAGTTTTCCACAAATTTGTTACCTTTCTTATTCTACTCGCTCTCTGTAGCTCCCGTTGCATGCCACGGCTTTTAGTGTCGTGTGATTTGTTTTGTTCTATTTTCCCCTTCTTATATTTCCTTTTGTCCCATTATTTTTCAAACTGACTGATTTATTTTTTCACCATCCCATTGATTAAATCTATAGGCTGTTCTTCCCTTTTCTTCGTTATTTCTTCCGGTGTATTTTTACCCCGAACAAATATTAATGGCAAATCTCACTACTAACTCGATTACCACAAAAAATCGTTAATTGGTTTAAACCCCTTATCTCACAGCTGCGAGTTCATGGAGAGAAGCTTGCCCTGGCACATGTCTAGGAGGTTGGAACAGTGATTGTACGATCCGATTAAACCAAGAGAACTACTGGACAGACGGATATATACAAATATATATCTGTATCAGATCTCTTAGTTCGCCAGTGCATGCGACATGACGCCGAGGTAGCTCTGTACAGCTACGCATTCTCCTTCCAAAATTCCAAAAAGAAATAACTTTGTCGCATCCAAAATTTTCAAAATCCGTTTTTGAGGGAGAAAAAAAAAAAAAAAAAAAAATTACATCGCCTGACATGGCACCCCCTATGTACCTCTCCACTTATCGCAGAACATAATTTCTTTTGACTCTCTCCATTTCCTCTCATCCATCATCGAGATGTACAGTTTCCACAAAATCACACATGCTCATTTCCCACGCTCCTTCCTTCCCCTTCCCCTTCCCCTTTCCCACCCCACCTTTCCTCTCCCCGAGTCCGAGGACTCCCATCCTCCTCGCCAAACCTAACATACCTCATCTCCAACACCTTAATCCCAGGCAACATCTTGGCTCTGACGGGCGCGAAGGCCTTCTCAAAGTCATCCGTCCCCATCGCCGCCTCATGCTCCTGTATGCTCTCCCAGCCAATCACCAGGATAGTCAGCTCCGCCTCCCCGGAGGGGCTATCGGCATGCTCCACCGTTCTGGGCCTCTCTACCCATCCCAGCGATAACCAGCCTGGCGGGCCTTGCTTTGCTAACTTCGTCCGTGATGGCGATGAGGAGGGCTTTTGCGCCTCGTGGTGGTGCTGGTGCTGGTGCTGGTGGTGCTGATGCTGATGATGGTGCTGGTGATGCTCCTTCGTGGTAGGATCATCCTCTTCGTCATCAGAGGGACAGATGCCTAGCAATGCGGTGCGCAGGTTTGATAGGGAGCTTTCTATGAAGGACTTTTGCTCGAAGGGGAGGGCACTGGGGAAAGGGAGGATGGCGAGTTCGACAATTGGGGTTGTGGTGAGATCTTTGAGGTGGACGGGTGGGGTAAGGGTGGTGTGGATTGTTATTGGGGCTGAAGATGGGGCGAGAATTGAGGAGATTTGGCTGAGGGGGACGGAGGAAGTTGCATCCTTCCATGCTGTACTTTGTGGGAAGGACGCGGGTTTCCTGTTAGCTAAGGTGTTTTCTAGGGGGGTTTGTAGGATATTGGTGAGACAAACAAGAAAGATAGGAAAGGCTACTTTTCTTTCCATCGACGAATTGGGTATATATACAAGGTAAGAGGGTGGGTTGAAAAAGCAATGGAATGTGCATGCATGCATATATCATATATTCTCTTACCAACAAGCCAAACGATATCATTCTCATCCTCCACAGTCCGGCCCCAGCTTGAATACAGATAGCCGCTGTGCAGCTTCACCGCCTCAAGGGCCTCCGTGAAGACCCGTCCCTCATAATTTTCGGGGTCCTCAGGCTTCACACCCTTTTTGAAGGTTAGGTAAATGAGCTCTGTGACGGCCGCGTTTGATGCCATCTGCTCACTTTTTACTCTTCTCTGGTTTTATTCAATTCCCTGGCCCCGAATTCCTCCTGTTATTCTCTCCCCTTTCAGTGTTCTTTTTTTGTTGAAAGCGAGACGGATCGCGGAGTATATTTATGCTTATGGAAATCCGATATTTGGCATTCGGCAGTTCGGCAATGAAATGTAATGTTCGGGGGGGGGGGGGGAAATGATATAGATGATATATTTGATATAGGGTACGGATACGATGATAGGGCTGGCAACAGCGGGCGATGATGTCACCTCTTGGCGGCTGGAGATGATAGGCCGAGATAGAGTTATTGTAACTGTGGTCTATTATATATATTTTTGGAGTTTTAGAGCATCTCAATTCACCACCTACGTAGAAGTTAGAACGGGGTAGTTTGGGAGCAAGGAAAGATTTCCTTCTTTTTTTAATAGTGTTATTATTAGTAGTATTTCATGGATCCTTCATTCATTTCTCCACACAAGCAAAACCCTGCTAAGCTGCCCGTTTTAGCGCCTCAAAACCCCCACAGGCCACCATCGGCCGGAGTTAAATTCAACACACAACCAACCGCGATCATATCATCGCTCGCCAGTTCCAAAAAGTATCGAGACAGGAGATAGATAACTAAGGAAGAGAACATACATACCTAATAACAATGATTCTCCTCCAACTTCCACTCCCCCTCATCACCTTCATCTTGGGCCTTTTAACAGCACCCGTCCTCATTCCCTTGCTGGCAGGAATATCGGCAAAGCTAGCCTCTCTCTGTTTGAGCACGAGCAGGAGAGTCGTCAAGGAGGACGATGATGATCAAGTAAAAGAGGAGCATGGCCTCTACAGTCTGGACCATGGGGTGCTGAATTTGCCCAGCCTGATGCCGGAGGAGATGTGGATGAACATGGGATATTGGAAGGTAGGTTTCCCTTTTTCTTCCCTTTTCTTCTCTTCTCTTTTCGTTTTCCATTTTTATTTTATTTATTTTTATTTATTCTTTATACCCCATAGCCCATAGCCCATAGCCCATATATATATGCCTTCAGATAATTGACTATTGTCAAGAGCAAATGTTTATACATCACCCTGTTGAAAATAATTTTCCCACTCTAGTTGCCTAATTTCATGCTGGACTTTTTTTCCGACATAGATATCTAGCCCCTTGCTAGCCCCAAACCCCCTAGAAACAAAATGTCTTCCTTCTATGTATACCCAAATGTTACGATGGCCAAGTGAATAAAAGAGAAAAGAAAAAAAATCCAAAAAGAAAGGCTAATTAATCAAAACATGTGTGCCAAAAATTTACTAATCCCTCTCCTTTAACATGAGTTTAAAAATGAAAAAGAACACGAATTCTTTCCCAGGCGCCTGTCGCGCATTGTTGGATAAGATCCTGCAAACAGCAGGTTTTGACGATGGGGATTCGACAAACGTTGCTGTCAACGCTGACAGTCTGGTTGCCAGTGCCACTGGTGTGGACTACCCGTCGCGCACAAATAGTCGGCCCACGCATACATCCCAAAGAAGGGAGCGGAACACCGATAAAAAGACGGCAACAAGCGGAGTAAGGAGGGTTATACTAGATGTTGGATTTGGGTGTGGTGAACAGACTTTGTATCTGATGAGGGAAAAAGCGGCCGTTCGCAAGGCACATGGTGGTTCTGGGGAAGCGGCTGGGTTAATTTCACATGATGAGAAGGATGAGAAGGATGATGTAGAAACCACGCCGTTATTTCAGCACTACATCGGTATCACCCTCGAGAAGATGCAATGTGCATTTGCACAGTCCAGGGTAGCGGAAGCTGCAAGGAACTGCAATACCTCTGCGGATAAAGACAGTGGCTCCTCGCAGGATTGGGGCAAAAGAAGGAAGCAGCCGATAGGCGGGGTTGTCGAACTCTTCTGCGGAGATGCAGCGAAACCACATGCATGGTCGGAGGAAATTCAGCGATCTATCTCGACTGCGTTTAGAAAAGGCGAGTATGCCGAGGAGGGGGGGGGAGATGATGGGGGAGAAAAGCCAGCTGAAGAGCGCTATGTCCTTGGCCTCGATGCGTTATACCATTTCAATCCCTCAAGACAGGAGCTATTCGAATATTCATATTCCACCCTCCAAGCAACCATACTCGCATTTGACCTCTTTCTGCCGCCAAAGTCGCACTCCTCATCACCACTCGAAACAGTTAAAAGGAGCTTAAATACGTTCGCCCTCCGGTGCCTGACACCGGCCCTGTCTGCTCCATTTTCAAATTTCGTAACCATAGCCGAATATAAACGCCTGGTAGAAAAGGCTGGCTATGGGCCTGAACACATCACGATAGAAGATATTACGGAAGATGTATTTCCCGGGCTCGCGCAGTTTTTTGAAAAGAGAATACAGGAGATGAGCGCACTGGGCCTGAAAGGCTTCACCAAGTGGAGGGTTTCTGGATGGCTATTTCGTTGGCTTGCCGGTGGACAGGTGCTTAGGGCGGGTGTTGTTGTTGCGAAATGGAAAGGTAGCCCAGCCGCCTAGGAACCGTATGAGTACGGATGATAGCCCTGGTCTCCGAACCCAGAATCTGAGGTATCAAAGTTGCTGAGTGGGGAAGATTCTCCTATGGGTGCTTGTGGATATGGGAGATTCAGGTCGCCGGTATTAATTTCGGGAGGGAAAAGTTTATCCCACTCATTCTATAGAAGGAAGAAAAAATACTATTAGCAATTCCACGTTTCATGGGAGGTGGTCTGAGGAAATTGAGGTCACAGGTTCAGATATCGGAGAGGATCAGGATCAGGGCGAAACATGAGAAGGGAATTATCAAATTGGAGAACTGAACCAATGACGGTGCAATATAGAAGCACCAAGCCAAACTTACCCAGTCAATATCTAGCATTGGCAAATCCTCCTGAGTACCACCCTTGGTGAAACCTTGACCACCAGCCATCGCCATTCCACCAACAGGGGGTGGCGGAGGAGCCAATCCGGCGCTTCCAGACGCAGCGCCGGGAAGGAACCACAACCTTGACGAGCCAGAATCTTCGGAAGTGGCCTCTGAGTCGAGACTCTGGCCCCGGGCGAGGCGTTGAGCATAATCAGGCATACAGTGGGGATTATGGAGTGACTGCAGCGGTCCATAAAAGAACTGGCCAGATTGAGCTTGCGAAGGTGTTTCTGAATAGGCTGGGAGATGGTGGAACTGAGGTGGTGGCGATGTCTTCTGCTGCTGTTGCTGCTGTTGCTGCGGCAGCGGCAGTGGCGGCTGCCACTGTGACATTGACGTGGGTGGGTTACGCATGTTTGGTTGCTGGTATGGCTCACTTCTCTGCGGATAAGCTGTCATTGGTAGAGCATGTGATTGGGAGGGTGGGAATAGCGTTTGGTTAGTGATAGGCGCAGTTTGAGGGCCGCCAAGGGTTGAAGTGACAGAGATATACTGCCCTTCATGTCTCGGTGGCTGACTAGATTCAGATGTTTTCACTCCTTCTAGCCTCCGAACACTAGGCCTTGCATGGAGATTCGACGCTTCCTGCGTACCCTGCATGCTGACAGGAATTCTAAGTTTTCTTCTCTCGCGATAATGAACCATTCTCTGCTGTAATTGGCCTAGGATCTCGCGGGCTTTTCGATCCCGATGCACCAAGAGTTTATGTCTGTTGTTCGCTGAGTACTTCTCTTGTCCAGGTTCGTAGGGGGAAGGTGTCGTCTCAAAAGCATAGTACAAACATCGCCAGATGCGATCGGATTCCTTGCGCAGCGGATGTTGGTGAACTTCTACGAGGAGTAGGAAGGCAGTGTGCCATTGGTTGAATGCGCCTAGAGACCATGTCCACTGTGTGTATTCTGAGTTTGTTTCGAGCTCAATCGCATCCTCCAGCTGTTGCGTACCACTTGTTATTATGATTTGCCTTAGGCGATCTGGAACAACCAGGTCCATGCTGTTATGGTAGCGATGCAATAATGCGATGTATGAACGATTGAGATAAAACGACAGAAGAAGCTGAGCAGCCTTTTGTATCGGTTTTGGATTGGGAACTTGAAATAGAGGGCAAAACTTCGCTGTTGCAGCCTGACGGAATGCTTCAATCTTCCCCAATACATGTGTCAAGCTTACTCCCTTCTTCTCTATTCTGAGCCTGTCCACGTTAATGATCCGTTGCAACTCATGACATTCGAAACGGATTCGTATGTAGGTCATATCTGTCCATTGAGATTTGTCAGTAAGTGGTACGGGTGATGGGACACATAGGTCCTTCTCATCGATGTTTAGAGGGAACTTGGTGGAAAAGTTCTCTCTGCGGATGGAAAGACGGGGCCCGTGTGATTCGCTTGTCCGAATATCCAGAAAACATAGATGGTACCAGATCATCCTCCGAACGTGAGTCTCAATGGGCCCAAGACCATATTCTTCTGGGTCACGGTGGAATCCCATACACTCAGCCAAACGAATGGCAGTCCCTACAAGAACCGAATGGGCACGCGAGACTTCTGCTCGACACATGGGAATCTAGAAACATAATCTCAAATCAACACCAACAAAATATCGGACGGTCGAGGGAGAGACATGAAAGTAAAAATAATAAACATAAAAAAGACAAAAGCCATACCATATACATCACCAAAGCCTGGAGCGTCTGGGTTTTGGTGGTCTTCAAGAAGTTCGCTTTCCCCAGAGCCATTGCTGTTGCTAACTGGAAGTTTTCTATGAGTTTCTTTTGCGTGACCCCAAAGGTGCTTAAGACCGAATCCTCTGCCATACTTATTGCAGCGGAGAACATTGCGGCAAATATAACTGCCTGTAGGGAGTTTGCGGGCTCAAGCCCTCGAGAAACTTCTAGCCAGAAATTCTCATATTGCCTTTCAAAAGTAGGTCGATGGACAATTTTGGCTATAGGATCAACCGCTTCCCAGTATTGTTGTAATAATCTGTTGGCGGCAGCCCTGGATGGAAGGAAATCTGCGAGCGAGTACCTCCGTTCTCCACCCCCTCCAAAAAACATGTCCGAGTTCGGTGCAATGTAAGATGGTCCCGGGGTGAAAAAGGAGTCGTCGGGCTCAGCAATTGGTCCCGGGAAGCTGGAGGGCTTGGGTATTGGTTCAGTTGTGGTTTTGTCTGACACGGATAAATCTCCAAGGGCCATGGTAACCTGGGTCATGGCCATGTTAGCTTAAAAGGGTGCATCTACATATTGCATGGTCCTCCAGCGAGTTTGGGCTGCTTCTTAGGAAAAGTTCACACATATGGCAAATGTATAACCAGGCGCGTTGAAGTATAAAAAAAAGAGGCACAAACCTCCTCTGCAATTTTGGGACGAAAAAAACCGCCAACACGGTCCGTCATCCTCAACTTCCCGAGTTTGAACCCAAGGTCGAGAGCGTCATCGTCAGACCCATCTTCATATGCAGCATCCTGAACTGCCAGAGAAGTTGGCTTCAAGTTCTTCTCGTCCTCCGGGATAGCATTCGGTCCCTCATTCGGGTTTTCCAGAAGGCCTCCCAATGTATTTGAATCAACCTGTCCCTCCCGGGACGAAGTCTTCCTGTCCACCACATCCTGTTCTAAAGAACGCTCCAGCGAGCCCATCTTTTCCTTGAGCTCAGCAAGCTTTTTCCGAGCGCTCGGGTCCAGGGCGGGAGCCAAGAACAAGCAGTCCCGCTTGGTTTTCGCACAGTTACTGCACGGGTGAAGCCTGTCGCACTTTAGTTTCCGCCGGCGACATTCCAGGCACGAAGTGATCATCCGATTGCGGCGGCGTATGCGAGGAGGTGCGGAAGTGGTTGCGGTGTTGCCGCCTTGAGGTGCGGCAGATCCACCTCCCGCCGACTGCGATCCCGCATTGCCACCCGCTCCACCATCTCCACCAACTCCATCCCCGCCCCGAGTATAGCTATCATTGGTCTCGACTTTCGCGGGGGAATCTTGTGTCGAGGATAAGACTGAGAGTGACTGCCGGGAGTTCTCAGCAGTCGTGGAGCGACTGTGTTGCTGGGACAGGCCCAACGCCGAAGGATTCATCAGATGGAAGAAAAAAGAAAAAAGCAAAAACAGAGGATCCAGTAACAGAGAAGTAATACCGGAGGGCGGAGGCCGACGACAAGAATCGAAGACATGTTACGGACGTTAGCCAGTCTCTGCACCACAGACAGGCGCCGTGCTGGAGATATATAAGAGAAAAGACAAACCACGACCACAGACGAGACCGGATCAGGAATAGCGCTGTGTCCAATAGGATTTGATGCGATGTCGTTATGTGTCCGCAGGCGATTTCAACGTTTATTTACGCCGTGCAGGCGGGGGGGCGGCCAAAAGCCAAATCTAACTTGTCAGAACTCCAGGCAGCGAGATTACATTACTACGAGTTTTTTTTTTTTTTTTAAATTTTATTTACCAGCGATGTCACGGCGTGTTGGTGCCCATTTTTGACTGTCGAGCTGGACGGAAGAAGCATTCTCGCCGCCTAGACGGAATATTCAAGAAGCCATACTCTGTACAGATATAACTATGCTGTAGATGATAGAGAAAAGTCACAATATTTACGATGGTAGAGGAATTGACCAGCAACTGATGGTTTATTATTTCCAGAAACTCCTACTGGACTGGAGGACCAAGCTATTATTTAAATAATAATAATAGTGTTTACGCTACGTATTTCCCTCAAAAGCACGTCTATTGGCGCAGGCTCTGAGATTGCCCTCTTTGGGCATAGCGAGCGGGTGATCGAGAAATTGAGTCCGTCCCATTGAGTCAAAAAAACAAAAAAAAAAAAGAGACAAAACAATGCAACCTCACGGATGGGGGTTCATAGCGGGGCGGGGGCTCACGGGAATTCCAACTCACTCCCACACAAGTCGATTCTGGCCTAACTACGGAGTAGAGGTTATATATATTGTTACTCTCTTGACCCAGGGGTATGACAATGACATGGAAGCGAATGCCTTACTCCCTCTTCGCTCAACGAGCCCTCTATAGCGTATGCAGGGCGGCTCTCTGATCTAGCTCTCTCTCCCTGGAAAATATGAAAAGGAAATATTAAACAATAATGAGAAGATATCACCTTTCGAATCGTCGACGCCCTTTGATTAATTATTAGGTTGCGCCGCTCACGTACAACGTACGTTATTCAGCTGGCTGCATCTTCGCGGGCCGGCCGGCGGCCTGCTAGTACCAGGTCGGTCAGGTCTCCTCAGCTCAGGTTGAAATAAACTTTTAACTAATATTTTCGGTCTGCCTCGCGTTCGAACCGACGCCCGACGACCCTGTTTTCTCTTCATGATCCAGTTGTTGGCGGGCATCGCGCTTTTCTGAGGACGAGCGAGCACCGGCAAACTCGGGGCGCGAGCTTTAACTCCGGCGAAGCTAATCGACCTTGGCTAATTTAACTTCTTGATTCAGGCGGTGATGATCGTCGAAACTTGGGAACCCAGGTTACCCTAGGACGTATCTTGGACACTGAATAAAAATATTGTTGTTCTTTTCATCTAGAGGGCTGAACATCTCAATGCCCGGTGGGTTGAAGAACAAATCTTACTATCAGCCATACAGTGAAGCAGAGGGAAAGAAACCGTTCAATCCAGACTGATATAGTTATTGATTGGTACGCTGATGACAGCAAGAGTTTCTTCTCCTACCGCCCCTTTCAACTCTTCTAGCCGCGTTTTAGTGTAACTATGTGCCTTGATGTACGGAGTAGAAAAAGGTTGAATAAATGCCGCTCGATACGCCAACACAGCTAAGTGCATTCAATGCTTTCACTTTTACTGACAGCCTACGGAGTACAGTGGAGACAAAAGTGACCTACTTGCGCTAGGGTTCTAATGGTTCGCTACGGTTCAGGTTAAAATGAAGTCTTGCCATCACACTTAGACAGGATGAAGAAAACCATTCACTTGCCACTTATGTCAATGGTGCGAGGGTGTGGTACGTAGCATACTGCTATTCAAACGTACCCTGCTCGAGTAAGGAAAAAAGAAAACAAAAAAACACTGACAGCTCAGAACATAATAAAGTAGGGTATAAAAGGGAAGAGAAAAGTAAAAGAAAAAAGATAAGACGGGGGGGTTCATTCTATTCAAATATCAAGTTTGGTTGATTGAGAACAAGCAAGCCTCTGACAAATTAGAAATGAAACACTGGAAAACCCTTCCCATCCATCCATCCCTCCTTCAAAATACAAAATATAGCAGGAGAACACATGTTTTTCCTCCAAAAAAAAAAAAAAAAAAAAAAAAAAAAAAAAAAAATCATATCTCATCCATCCCTCTCACTTTGGCCTTCCAGCTCCGATCCACCAATGCCGTCCGCACATGCTCCACAATCTCCTGTCGGCGTTTATTCTTAGCCATCCACCGATGCGTGTCTTCCTCTGCCCCAAGTACTAAATCACCAGGCCCACTAACATTCTGCAGCGAGCTCTTCTTCCCAGCACTGCTAAGCAAACTAGACCGGAAATGTACATGAGCCCTCGTAGCAGACTCAGGGGTATGGTACGCGCTCCTCGCTCCAACTGCGCCGTCCACGGAACCCCGCGAGCCGGGCGTGACGGGTAGCTTGGAAAGCCCCCGCTGTCCCCGCGGCGGCGTGAGGAATGGTGAAGCTTCACGGCTTTTGGATCTCGCAGAACCTGGGCCCGCTCCACGACCACTTGCGGCGGAGACGTCAATGCCAAGCCTCCGAAGTTGAGCTTCGAGAACGTCAATGTCACCGCTTTTCTTCTCGGCCATGTTGGTCATGGTCGCGATGGTTGATGTGACAGCTTCGACGGTAGGTCGTGCCATGGACCTGCGTCTGGCGGAGCCGTTGATGCTCGTACCGTCGGAATCTGGTTTGGCGGAATCGGCGATCTTGGCGCGGATGATGGAAATCTCTCTCTCTAGATTGGCCATTTTCGATTGTACCGCCGTGGAAGCTTGTCGCAAATCTTGTTGCAACATGGCCTGGTCGGCTGAGAGGGGCGCTGAAACGATGGCCACAGTGTCGACGTGAGCGTCAATAGTTCGTCGTAGGCTCGCGCACTGGCCGCGTAGAGTCACGAGATCTTTGCTGAAGAGCCGTTGGCAGGTTTCCAATGATTCTTCGACTTTTTGCAATTGCTGTTGCTGTAGTGAGGTATCTAATGCCTTGATACCTGCCTCCAGTTTGTCGACCTCGGATAAAAGGAGCTGCTCTTCTAAAATATGACTTGGCTGCTCACTTTGCAGAATGGTTAGCCAGTCTTCGTAATTGGATTCTTTAGCTGTGCGTTGATATAGCAAGAACGCCGATAGAGATCTTGAATTGATCCCTAGGGTGTCAATCATCGAGTTGATATCGCGGTATAACCGCTCAATTTGCCCGGGTATTCCAGGCTTCAAACTTTTTCCTGTGTAATCCTGATGTGAAAGGAAGGGATCCAACGTGGGTGCTGGGGATAGAGGTCGCGCTAGATCAGCCCGGAGTTGCTCATCCTCGTCATCCTCGCTCAGTGGTTGAGATTCAGCCGCTAACCGCTGGGCTTGGCGGCTAAGATCTTCCGTTTGGTCTTCATCATCTGCTGGTGGCGTGATTTGTTTCGATAGCATAGAACTCTCGAGAGTCACTTTTCTTTGAGCCAAAGCACGACCAGGTGCGCTAGGTGCGCTAGTAGATCGCAAGCCATCTCTTGCTAAGGATTGCCCTAGGAGAGCCCGACGGACTGGGCTCGGTGACCTTGGCGCTAAACGTATGCGGCCATCTGGTAGCCCAGGTGCGGGGAAAATCGGTTGTGTAATTTCTCCGAAAAGTTGCCTTGATTCCTTTGGCTGCTGGACCGATGACGGAGTCTTTGTGAACACAGAACTACCCGGACTTCCCAGAATAGGCCCACCAAATGAGCTTTCAGGCGACGTCTTAAGACTTTGAACGCGCTGTTCGGCGGGCTCTTCTACGGGACTAAATTCACCAGCCACTTCTTCTCCGCTATCTTCAAAATCCGCTGATTCCTCTTGATCAGATTCTGCAGGCAACGCAACTGCAACTTCTTTCAAAGTCTCTGCCTTCATTGAAGAGATGAAATCCGGTGGCAATGGTGCTTCCTCATACGAAACTTTGGATACGTTCGATGAAGAAGCTGATGTATCTCCAGGGGCGTAAGTGGCTCTGCTTGTTGGATCTGGGGGGAGGGGGGGCTCAGCCAATTTTGGCATTGGTGCCTCCTCCTGGTCACTAGGTAGTTCGACTTTGACTGTAGATTCCGATAGGCTACTTTCATCTGGTAATGAAGGAGGCGGTAGTGAGGACTGTTCAGGGGCCTTAGGTGGTGCGATAGAGGCCGGAAGTTTTCCAAAGAGCGATGTTGAATCCTTCGCTGGAGCGAGCGGCGAAGGTTTCAATGGCTGCGTCGCACCAAACAAATTTGTGGGAGTTGGTAGACCTCTTAGAGGTTTTTGAGCTTCTGGGATAGATGGTTCGGGAGGAGGGGGAGGAGGAGGAGGGGAGGCGATGGTAGGTAAAGATAGCGGAGGAGAAGTTGTAGGCTGGACAACGGGCTCTTTCTCAGTGGCCTGATCGAAGTTCATCAAACCCGCAAAAGAAAATGCCCCCTTTGTTTCCTCTGGCTTATCTTCATCCATGGTGGTCGTCGTGTCTGGCTTGAATCCAGAACGCTGATCGAATGCTCCGAAAGGGATGGCTGCGTCGAAGCGGGGGCAGGCGATGATACAGTGTTCACAGAACCAAAAAGCGGCTGTCCAGCTTTCGCAAATGGGATATCACCAGCAGGAGGTTTTCCGAAAATGCTCCCTCCGGAAGGCTGAGTAGCTTTAACAGTAGCAAAACTGTCACCAGCAGCTGCAAATGAGCCGAACCCTCCACCGGAACCACTAACTGGTTTTCTGGAGAATTTACTCGTATCTGTACCTGTATCGCCAGAAGTACCGCTAAACGCGCCAAACCCGGACCCAAATGGAGATGTAGTGGTTGTTTTACCCACGAGAGGTGGCTGACCGAACGGAGAGGATCTCTGACCCAACAAGCTTGGACTGCCAAATGAAGGAGTGAGTGAGATAAAACCACCAGTTGGCTGGCTGGGTGATTGAGACTGGGTAAATCCCTGTGTACCCCAAGAAGTTTGTGAACCAAGCGCAGACGGGGTCCCGAAAGGAGGCGGTCGATTGGCCCCTGGCCCCGAGGGAGACCCAAATGGAGACGTTGACGATAGTCCGAAAGCAGATTGTCCGAGCAAGGACTGTCCGAAAGGGGATTGCCCAAAAGCTGGCTTGGGTGTTTGAGGGCCTAACATCGACGAGCCTAAAGCGGTCTGCTGTGGTTGTGCTTGTTGTACCGGTTGTCCACCCCCAGCTGCGACAAGATCATGATATGGCACGCGCTGTCGAACCGACTCGGAATACACAAACCACCAGGACGACAATACCCCATCATTATTGAGAACGAGAATCATGGGTAGAGGAGTTCCAGAATCCTGAATATCTTCTCCAGGAATGGGAGAGGAAACAGTATCTTTACTCGACAAGTCAATTGCAAGCCCAACAGGGGAAGTATTTTCCGAATCATCTGTTAGGGGAAGTTCGGCTCTCCTTGAATCTTCGGACATTGTCGTAACAGTGAATGCATCAGTGACGGGTGTACCCCCTTCCTCGGCTAGTGGTTTGCTAGATTTCGTAAAGAGGCCTATATCTGTTGAAGCGGTCGAAGAGACAATCAATACATCTTTGAGATCGGGCTTAAAATCTCTCAAACGGCAGATAAATTGGTAGGCGGGGTTCCGCTCAAGGCCCCAAGGTGGGCAGACCTCCGGAAGCTTTTGGAATGTATAATTATCTGGTGGTTGGCGATTTATAATGTAGTATGTTGATTCCGGTTGACTTTCGGGTGAAGACGTTGGGGTATAAACAATTAAAAAGACATTATTCTCGAGCCACGAAATAGAAGACACTATTTAACGCAGTTTTGTTAATAATTCCGGCCATGCTTAGAATCATAAGAGGAAGCATAAGAGGAAGTGTGTACTGACCATGCTTATCCCCATCCAAATCTGGAGGTCGAGGGATCTCCGCCTTCAGTTCCCCTTCAGGAGTCATTTGAGATGCAGTTCCATTCCCCAATCCAGCCACTAATTGCTTCCCCCGGTTACTCCATGAAACACAGCTCACACCGGCTTTTAAAACAGGGCCCGAGGGGCCTTGAACCAGCTGATTAGTTTGCAAATTTGCCATCAACAGCTCGCCATCCGTAGTTACAGCGGCAAACAATTCTGCAAGCGCGGGGTTTGGAGCCAGAGCTCGGAGCCTGGCACCATTCAAAGCAAGAGTAAGGGCTGATTGTGAGTTGCCTTGCATCAACGCCGCTACTTCGTATGCAATCAAGCCACTGCCATCTGCAGCAGCTACAACAAGTACATTCTCGTCTGCGGAGAATGCCACATGCGACACTTTTTGTGGGAGCGAAATTTGTAGTTGCGGTTGAAAGGGCCTAATATTACTGTCTCCAGTCGCATCGGCGGTATAAGCCTTTCTGACAGCATCTGTGCTTGCTATTACAAGACCTTCAGGCCCAGCAGCCGCGAGCAGGCCTTTTACAGATGCTACGCTCAACAAAGAGCAAGTGGGGGGAGGAAGAGCGTCGTTTGGCCATGGCGTGGGGAGAAGTCTGACTTTCGAGTCTCCAGCGATGGAGAGGAAGCCAACTTCCTATTTAACATTGGTATGTCAGCTACACTGCCCCACAAAATAATAATAATAATAATAATAATAAATAGAAAAAAGAACAAAAAGGTAAAAGGAAGGTAAATCTTAGGTACACCATACCTGAGTCTGGATTTCCTGTAGCTCAGGGCCGAGTTGAACGTTTCCCGCCTGGGTGCTGCCAAAGCCTGCGGCTGGCTGAGAGGAGGAAAAGGCCATTTTCAAGATTTCGAAGTCGGAGGAGACTGCGCGGTGTTTAGAGTCTAATGAATACCTGGGCTTTGGGGCATTGAGAGCGGGTGTTTGGGCAGCACGGAGATTTGCAAAGGAGCGTCGATGGAGTGCACCAGGACTCCTGTTAAAGAGCTGGAGAGTTGGTCCGAAAATCTTGCTGGCGCGCTCCCAGAGGAGGGGAAAAAAGAAGAAGAGAAGCTGAGTGAGAGGGACAAGGCATTCAGACCATAGCCAGTCTCACGCCTGGTGGGAGAGAAGAGGCGCAAGAAGATATTTATCTATCCAGCAACTAGCAACCAGAGTTCATGTTTTTTGTTTGATGTTTGGCGGTTGACGCTGATTGGGCACGTGAAGGTCTCGGTGCAGGCAGCTCTAGCTTCGTCACTTCAACATCGACGCCGCATCACATCTCTGTTCAACGATACCCAACTATACCCCTAGCTACCAGCTCTCAACTCAGTCTTGTGCCTATTTATTCTACCTGGCTTGCTGGAGATACTCTGCTGCGATAACCTTTGCTTTCCGTATTTTATCCCTCTAAAACAGAACCGCCAGATACCTGCTGCCGCTGCCGGTTGAGCCTCCAACCTCACCATGCCAGGCTTCGATTTCTCCAATTACAACCGGAATGCAGCTCTCCATGCAAAGGGCGTGCCTCTTCCAAAGGCTACGAGCACAGGTACTACTATTGTTGGATGCATCTTTGATGGTGGTGTGGTGGTAAGCCTGTCCAAAATCATCAATGCGTCAACTATTCTACTACAAAACACCCGCTGATTCCTCCATACAGATTGCAGCTGATACACGAGCTACTAGCGGTCCCATCGTTGCTGACAAGGTATTTATCGATTTCGATTTTATACAAGAAGCCCTGAATGATCTCTTTACCTGCCTACCACACTTCCCTTACGTGTCAAAAACTTCCGAACCAGCCTGGTATTACCACCTGCTAAATCAAATCTAGAACTGTGAAAAACTCCACTACATCAGCCCGAAAATCTGGTGTGCTGGCGCCGGTACAGCGGCAGATACCGAATTCACCACCGCCCTCATCAGCTCCAATCTCGAACTCCATGCTCTCTCCACAGGCCGGGCCCCGCGCGTCGTCACCTGCATGACCATGCTCAAACAGCACCTATTCCGACACCAGGGCTACATTGGCGCTTATCTCGTCGTCGCCGGCGTTGATCCTACTGGTGTCGGCCTCTTCACCGTCCACGCCCACGGTTCCACTGACAAATTGCCCTACGTGACGATGGGCTCCGGTTCCCTCGCAGCCATGTCTGTGTTTGAAACGATGTGGAGGCCGTCGCTGAACAGGGATGACGCCGTGAAACTGTGTTCGGAGGCGATTAAGGCGGGTATTTTTAACGACTTGGGCTCTGGAAGTAATGTGGATGTGTGCGTAATCTACCAGGATAAGCCGACACAGCTGTTGAGGAATTACATTAAACCCAACGAGAGGGGCCAGAAGGAGAGGACTTATCGGTTCGCTAAGGGGACGACGGCATGGTTGGATGAGAAGGTTATTACTAAGGCAGATATCGGGAGATATATTACCGTGGAGGATCTTGGGAGTGAAGGGACTGTTGTTGCTGAGAAGATGGAGGTGGATTCTTAATCGTACCCTTGGTTCTATATGATTTTTTTTAAACCTCACAGCGCTGTTAGTCTCTTTTTATATGTTATTCCTAGACGAAGATGCTCTTCTTTTTTATATTCGGGTTGCGTGTTTACAGGGTTGATTTTTGCCCAGTTTTATTCGCCTACGTGGTAGGTGTTTGATGTAAAGTGGCGGAAAATTCCACATAGACGAGTGTGTATGTCAACATCCAACTGTAAAATATAATTGCTGCCTCTCTATGGAATCTGGCCATAAATCTACCTAGGTTGATCCGCTCCGGGAACTTATACAACTCAAATACCCACTCATGCTCAGGCCAGTTCCGCATCCAAAAGCGCATTTGCAACAGCAGTGCCTTCTACCTCTTTAATCTTCTGCATAATAAACGCATATTTACGTTTCGGCACCGGTTTACCCGCTTCACGGTACCGCGTAACGCCAGCCTGGAAAAGTGCTCGAGTTAATATGGGTGACACAGGTCCATGATGCTGGACGATGAACAAATACACCCATTGAGTCAATCGCCAGGATGTCGTGGGCGTCACTGTCGTTGTGCAAGAAAACACGAGTGCGAGGATATGTAACATGCGCAGACATTCGATGGGGTTTGGGTATAAACAGGGATCTGGTGGCGACGTTCCAGGTTCTGCTACAGCATATGTCACTGCCGGTTGCTGCCAGCAGCGAGATAGAGCGACTTTTAACGGAGTGTGGCGCCGGAGGAGGCGCAGGACGGCGCTGCGCGGGATCGCGCCAGCTTCTGTGAAGCTGATGATTTGGTGGATAAAGGAAGGAGAGGTAACGTCTGTGATTTTTGCTAGTCGATCAAATGTTGAATATATCGCTCCGCGGTTCCGGGTGTACATGGAGAAGTAGGGGAGGATTTCTTTGATTGTTTTAGGGCTGTGGGTGGGATCAAGGAGTTTTGCTTTTATGGCCGGGTCGAGGGAGCTGGGCCCACCGGTATGTCCGCTTTGTTTGCTCCAATAAAACTGCTTTCGTGCTTTTGCGAACTCTATATCGGCAGCGTTTGACAGCACAAGGTCCGTCGCAGGCAAATCGCGTAGACGAGAGTCTTGGAGGTATATCCGCAGCCGGGTTAGAATATCCGTGCCTCTGAATGCGCCTAACGTTCGATCAAGGGAAGATAAAAGGCGACGAAATACACTCCGACGTCGGAAATCTAGTATTGTATAGCTGGCGGAGGCGTGTCCCAGAACAGCTACGACCCACATCTCAAGCAAACGCTTAAGTCGATTTGGTGTGTTTAAGCCATTGTTTTCCAAAGGCGGTGACGCCAAACTCGAAGCAGAATCAAAGTTACTCCTCGAAGTAGCAGAGAATAACACTAAATCATTATCTAGACGGGAGAGTGTCCAGTGCCAGATATAAAGCGATTGGGCACTCCACTTGTTATATACTGGCGAAAATACTAACAGTTCGGTTATTCTTAAAATGTGCGTGACCGCAGATTCGGGAGAACATGAATCGAGGAGTGCCTTGGTATAAGAGAGGATTTCGTGTAGGGCATCATTTGGAATGTCTTTTATCGTTGATTTTGGCGCAGAGGCTGCCATGAGGATAACGCGCCGAAGAAGAACATCCGCCAATAAATTCGAACCAGAGGTCCCAGGGCCGTCTAACGTATGGATAACATTCATACCAAGTTGCGAAAGTCTACCTGGCGGTGACGCTTTTAAGATCTCTTCTACCCACAATGCCATTGTTTCCCTGCCAATATCAGACGGAGTCAATACAGGAGACGACTTGAGCCCATCCCAAATAGCCTGATAGCATGAAGCAACATCGCCTGAGTTGGCTTTCCCAATGGTACTTTTGCCGTGTTCCCGAGTTTTGGTTTTGATCGACGGTATAAGCTTAATTATTTTACAAATCTCCTCCACAGGGACAAGACCAAGCATGATGGAACGCTTTAGGAATCGAAAGTGAGCGTATAGCCTAGTCTTCCTCTCTGTATGCATGACACAGTGTTCGACCAGGGTAACGTAATTCTCAGCTGCAGGAACATTCAGGAAAGGGTCACTGAAGAAGTCATATAGGTCATCAATATCCCATCTCCTGGATCGACCGATGCGGTTCTGAACCAGAAGGATCTCGGAGAGAGCTGTTCGACTGACGAGAGGTCGTTCTCGCAGGTCAAGCCCTAAAACAGCAATGTGTTGTCTGAATTCATCTAACGAAGCTGACCGCCACGCCGACGAGGACAAGTGCTTCTTAAGAAAATCATAACTTGGAGTAGAAGTAGGAACGGAAATATCAGGAATCGAGTCGAATTGTGAGGTTTGCGCATTGTCGGCTCCCCACGGGTGGGGAACGGGAGGCGCGTCATTGTACAGATATGGAAAAGCCTCTGCACGTTAGATTAGTTTATAGGCGTATGACATCTATTATTCCTTCTGTTAGCCAACATACCTTGCGCTTGCAGAGACCACGGATTGGCCTCAATGGGATGCACGTCCGAGTTCTGTTGTGCTGGCTTCCCAAACAGAATCGCGGGATCTACCGCCGGTGAGGAAGATCCCATGAGGGCCAAAGCGGCGTGCCTCCGCCTCGAGTGTCGTTTTTGAGCCTCGAGAGGGCCGGGGACAGAGCTGCCATATCTTTTGTGGTGTCTTGTAAACCGGGAGAAGCCTTCATTAACGAGCTCGTCGCTAATCCAAATGTGATCGGGCCTGGCAGTACCATGCTGCTGAAGAGCCTGGTAGAGCCTATGCCGACATCGAGACATGCGGATGCAGAGTATGAGCTGTCATATAAAGCAATTGGCTTCTTCCAAGGCCAATTGGTTCCGTCGTGCGTGATGGAAGTGAGGTTTGATGCTGTCTCTGCCTGTCGTTGTCGTTCTCAACGATGATTTTGAGCTCGTGCTTGGCATGCTGACTCAGCTAGATATTGTCACAATAGAAATAGCAGACACGAAGCAGAGAAAGAAATATGACTTTCTATCTAACTTACTACGTATATACATGTACTGTACTCCGTACAAGTATAGCTCATGAATAGAGATCCCACAAGTTAGTTAACGCTTAGCCGCTAATGACTCTTTATTGGCATAAGTCTACACATAACTAACTCGACAGCTCTTCCTAAACCAGAAAGTGCTTGAGGAATCTACCCCAAACTATCGCTTCGTCTTTTATTCCAACTGCAATAAATAGGCCACAGAACCCTGGCCGCGCCGTCCTCAAAGCCAATGGGACATCCGTCCTCCTGCCGGAACTCCGATGCAGCGCTCATATAGCCTGTGTCAACAGTATTAATGGCAATACGGTGCTTGATCCAGATCTGGGGTAGTATCTGGAGTCTCTGTGGATGACTTTAACGGAGTTTTGCGCCATACTCGTAAGGGGTAGTAGCTCACGACAGAGAATAAGAGGAACGAACGCATTAAAGAGTGCGCGCTTATCATGTCTTCGTAAGGGATTTCTTGTAGTATTTGTGTCTAAGAGGATTTACCACCATTCTCTTCCTCAACTATGTCTCTGCTAGGGCCTTTCTGTGGAGGTTGTGCTGCTTCGGTAGCATATGTCTCGCCCCTAGTGCACCTTCGTGTAAAAACTGACTGTCCTTCAAGTCTAGCTGACCACGAAAGCCCCATACCTCCCCTTATCCTTGCTTCGTACCTACGGAGAGTCAATGGCCCCCAAGCACGGAAATAATTATTGTCGGCAGACGGCCCATTCACTGTTTATTGAGCGCCTCTTAGAATTGGTGAATAATTTCTAATTTTGTACATTTTAATCTACAACTGATTGATACCCAAAAATTTACACCGCTTATTCTGGCCCTTGTTCTAGAATCTAAAATATAGGACGACCTAGACCTTAGACATGATAGATGGATACGCGGTGAGGAGGAACACAGGTACGAGGTCCCGTTGTATAGTACCTGTGATGTAATCCCGCTACCACCATAGGAGCATACGTGTTCGGTGGGCGGCGAACTTCAGTCGATGCCACAGCGTTGGTTTGCTCTTGTATACGAGTATACAAAGCGTGTTTTCCATGAGAACGAGGTACAATGCCCCGTTTCGCTGATTAGGCGGGCTGTCCTCGTCTGTCCGTGTTCGAATAGGCTGGTGAGGAGGAGGCAGCGGAGTTGCCCGGTGTATATGGTAGGAGAGGGTAGTACCAAGGTCTGTGAGGATATCGGATCAAAGGAAGCAAAATATATGTGCATATGTATATATATATGGCATAGCCAACACGGAAACTAAATTTAAATATCTGCTCACATATCTGAACGACTCTGTCCAAGGCCCCACAATCCAACTTCAAGCATGGCGTCTTCACCACCCTCGGCCAGTTTCCCATTCACGTTCGCTGGGTGTTGATCACCGAGAACACCAGCGACACATCGCCACCCATCCCTTCCTCCACCCCATCGCAAAACCTCGTTTTTGAATTTTTCTCCTGCCTCTCGGTCGGTCGCCAGCTTTCCTTCTTGGAAGGTTTCAGACCACAGCTTGCTGGCGATGGCACGGTCAAAAAGATAACTGTAGTAGCTGGCGCCGTAGTGGAAAAGGTGGCCAAAGTAACCTTGCCAAGTTGTCTGGGAGTCGACGGGGTCGAAGATTGTGGCATGTTGTGAGTAAAGGGCGTGGAAGATTTGAGTGGTATCGAAACCTGGCTGGAGCGGGCTGGCGTCGTGATAAGCTTGGTCTAGTAGGGCCATCATTATCTGCGCTTCGTTGTCCATGGCACCTTGTATACTCTCATAATTCTCGTGATTTAGGCGCATGGTTTGGATCATGTCTTCAGGAAGGGGCTTGTTGGTCTCCCAATGGCGGGCATAGAGCGAGAGCACTTCCGGGGCCATGGCGAAGCTTTCCATAATGACGGATGGGAGTTCGACGAAATCCGTTGCGCAGCGAGTGCCGGAGATGGTTTGGAAATCAGTACGGGCCAGCACAGAGTGGATGGCGTGACCCATTTCATGAAACAGGGTTTGGACGCTGTGTTTCGAGAGGAGCGAAGGCTCAGAGCCGCTGGGGGAGGGGTTCGAGAAGTCGCAAATTAGTGCGATTGTTGGGAGCTGATAGAGAGTATTTGTTCCTGGTCGTATAGCCGTGGCCATGCCATCGTTGGGATGTATATCAGCCGACATTGCCGCTTCTGAAATCTCTTCGGCAGATATCGCGCGAGAGCACCGGAGAGTGAAGTGGGTTGGGTTCGGGCTCTTGCCCGGTCTTGAAAAAAGATCACAATAAATGACTGCAAGATGGTTATTGGATTCGTCTAGGACATCTAAGCGTCGAACATCTGGGTTCCAAGTCTCTCCAGGAGACGTTTCCTTTGGAACGAGACGGACGCCATAGAGTCTGGCAAAAAGCCGAGAGAGCCCCTGCATAACAGTTCCCAATGAAAAGAATGTGGCGAATAGGCTGATCGCGCGCGATTTCCTGGAGACGTCATGCCTCGCAGCATATTTCTCAACGTAGTAGGAATGGTCCCAGGGAGAAAATGGGGGCTTGTCCCCTTTTAACGCTGTATAATCCTCCATTTTTATCGCATCCAATTTCCCAATCTCTTTCTGGGTGAGCTCGCGATTTTTAGAATTCAAGGCCAAGAGAAATTTCTTAACAGCCTCTGGGCTTTTGGCCATTTTGTCACTCATCGCCATGTGAGCGTAGCTTGGGTAACCAGTCAATTGAGCTAACTCAGCTCTCAATTCTAGCAGCCGCGTCAAACGGTGGATTTGCGCGTTCGAGCTCTTCCGAGATGTAAGATAGATCTGCTTTCTAGTATTCTCGTCGTGAACAGATTTTAAAGCTATATTCGGCGCCATGCCATCGATTGGGATTTGGACGTTTGACCACCTACGCAACTTCTCCAAGAGTGTAGGATCCATCCCTCGTAGGTTATTTTTGTCGAAAGATAACCTGCCAACTTTGGGTTCCATGCCGTGCACAAACCTAAAGCCCGCATCACTGATACTATTACATAGCTCGACGAACCGTTTTTTCTTCTCCGGGGGTAGATGGATACCAGATTTCGTAAAATCCCTAATTAGCATCTCGGCCGTGACCTTCTCCTCTTGGCTCCACTGGGAGGATATTTCAGGGTCCGACAAAGCCCGGTTGAGTATATCATTAAGACGAGTTTCGGTATTCAGAACGTTCATATATTCGAATATGATTGAGTATGCCTGTGTCGCGGCATCTTGAATGGCGGGATCCGGGTGGTTTGACCGCATAAAATCGGCCATATCTATCACCCGACAAAGTAAGTCGCTGAGGCGGTCAAGATCCCTTGCCACCCTCTTATGTCCATCAAGGGTTGATACCTCAAGTACCTTGGCCATAATTTCCTGGCATTTCTGCAGCGAAACGGAGGCAAACTTCAAGAAACCTTCCGGGGATTTGAGGTATTGATTTTGCAACAGCCCTGACGAAGAGCCGCCCTTCCGACGCGAGAATTCCCGCCAGAACGGCTGCGAATCAAATATCATACGTAGGGTATTATCATCGTGGCGCTTCGCGGCTTCGTTGCCAGCAACGGTATAATCCTGCACGTCTTTTATGATACCTGAGGCGGCATTGTTGTGGATGCGGCGGTTGGGATGTACGCGATGCTGCTGTAACACGCATCGTCGACAGGTCCATGGCCGCCGCCGGAAGATCTTAAGCATCTTCCGAGAGCGGTATCACCAGCTTGTCAAAAGGAAATAGAACAATGCGGGGCGAGGACAAGGTGGGATGCTGGAAGGGGGACGTTGTCAAGCAAAGAGGTTTTGGGGTCAATATTGATTTTCTGTTGTCTTTCATGTTCCCGGAATCAGGCGATCGCCAGTTCGGGCCGGGACCGGGACGGGGAACTTTTTTCCTGCAACGTCAGTCCACCAACATCCATCAATATTGGGCTTCGCCTTTTGCTTCCACGCATTGTTGAATGCCAATTGGACAGCAATCTTCGTTTTCTGCCGCATATTCCTTGCGTCTACTATTTCTAGCAGGTATGCGTATGCGCACTTCACCAAATCTACTACAAATCTAATCGATTGACAGAGGCTGCCATCGGAGCAGGTGCTCTTTCATTGCGTGCGACCTGATTTCATCCCAGGTGACATTGGACAAAAATGGTGCGGCTTCCCCCAAGGAGACAAATGGATATACATCATTGGGAGAGGATGGGATATTAAACTAACCCTATCTTCAGTCGCACCGCAAACCCATCTACGAAGATGAACCCTCCGCAGTTCCGGCGGAAGCGCCCCAATCCCAGCTTCAAGAGAGAGATACACAACAGCCAGCCTTTTCCACCAAGACGCTTCAAAGAGCATCTTCCACCTCTACGGCAGACATGTTATCCCAGCAAGTCCGCCAGGTCCGTCTCTTCCTGTACGCACACACTCTCGCCGCCGAAAACAGCTTCAACGACGCCCTTGCCAGCGTCTTCCGCGCTGAAAGCCGCTTCACCAACACGATAGCCTCCTTGGCTCCTCCACGTGAATCCGGCGAGCGCCTGCTACCGGGAAGCATTTACGTTCTTGTATCCGCCATGGCTGGGTCAATTATCTCGCGAAACCGTGGGATATTCTTAAGAGCAACAACCCCGCTGGCGGTAGGCACTGTGGCAGCCTGGACGCTTCTTCCCGTCACAATGCAGAATGTGTCGGATCTAGTGTTCGAGTATGAAAAGAAGATTCCGGGAGTTGCAGAGCAACATGTGCGGATTCGGACTGCCGCGGAGGAATCATGGTATACCGCTAAAGCACATAGCGCGCATGCTCGTGGGTTGCTAGAGAGCAAAATTGGACAGGGGAGAGAAAAGTTGGAGGAATGGGTGAGAAAGGGAAATTAAGATGTAAATGCTGCACGATTATCCTTTTAAGAGAACGTCCTCAGCTTCGTTACTTTGTATCGCTGTATCTACAGCCTTTGTATATGTAGAGTCATCATTTAGACGTGAATTTCAACACTTTTCTATACCGTTTCCGTATTTGTTGATCACGAAAGCCACATTCTCGTTATCGATTGTTTGGTTATATATGGGAAAGTGAAAAATAAATACAGTATCCTAGGATTTCAGAGTATACTAGCCCGCCAATTGTTTGAAAACATATTACTGAAGTAACTCCGTGCGCCTGCCCATGCCACCTACCTATATATTAATTTCATTCCGTTGTATCACTACCGCCCGTAGCGGTCGTCGGGGGAGGAGAGGCATGGTCCTCGCCAGTTTTTGGCGGAGGTGGGATTGGTGAAGCATATCTAGACGGCACGAAGTCCTCCTCCTTACTCTTCTGCTCACCTTCCCGGAAATAGTCATCAAAAGTTAAAGTTCCACCATGATGAGCGTGCCGCGGTTTACGTCCATGCCTCACTGGGGCCGCACTCGATTTGTTGGGGTTAATTAGTGGAGGGGCTAGAGGCGGTGGGGAAGCCATATTCGCAGGTACAAGGAAATGATTTCCTGCGCCGTTAGACGGAGCGGACTTGTTTGGCTCGTTGGATTCCTCCTTCGTTTCGAAAACAACCTCTCCAGGTTCCTCCACTGCCTCACCTAAACCAACGGGTAACCTATGCAGGGCTCCGTACCCTAATACAGCCCCCAGGGCACCTTCCCCACCCCAGCCGCGCCTTGGAACAAGTTCGACTTCCCTGACAACGTCGAATTCACGATTATATACCCATAGCACAAGACTTCGATTCAAATGGTCCTCAACAAGTTCGCCAAGAGCAGACTCCCCACGGAGGGTTCCGCTAGGCGTTCCCAAAATATAATCTGAATGAGGTAGAAGCCCAGCTTGATAGGCCGGGCTGAGTGGAGACGGTATTTCGGTAATATGCCATATATGCTGTGTCGTCGAAAGAGGTGAAAACTGGAAAGTCACGCCGAGGGTAGGTTTCTCTGAAGGAACCGGTACTGTCGTCGTATATGTTCGTTGGCCCTGATAAACGTTTTGGTCATTGTTAGAGCCATGGGGGTCTCAAGTAGATGTCCAGCGGGGTAATTTAGATTAGCACACCTTTGCACTCCAAATCTCGAAGGTAACGCTCGAACCTGCACAGTTGCGAATTTCTGTTGCGAAAAGGTTTGGGTCTGGATCGTCCTTCTAGGGGTAAGCAATAGAGTCAAGAAAGTGCGATTTAGACGGGAATAAAACCCTACAATTAGGTGTCCGTTGATCCCGATTACGAAGTCAAACCAGGGCTCCAGTGGGAGCTCCGGGTCTTTGTTCCGGAGGACCTGGAAGCCATGGGGGTTATCACGGAAGTGGCTGTGCTGCTGTTGCCCTGGTTCCGAGTCGAGGCGGGCAATGAAACGGTTGAGGGCGCCAAACATGGAGTGTATTTCAACTTCAAAATTGAAGGCGAAGAAAATTACGTTGTTAATTAATATAATTCAACGGCGTTGACTGCGTGGATAATAAACATAAGCCGGAATACGTATTGTCGCATTGGGTGTCGCAAGTTGAGAGCTGTCCTCGCCTTGAATTGTCTCGACAAGCTATGAAGCAGGATGCAAACACTGCAAACAAGCAACCCCACCGTCATTAAACATCTCATTCAACCATTTTCTCAATTATACTTACGCTCCCTTCGGAGTGCATTTCGGGAGCTGCGGCATGGATCATCAGGAGCTGGCATAGTAACAATCTAATTAATTTCTTGCTGGCATGGCGGGTGCGAACGATGAACCGCCCGCAGGAGTCCATCATTACTATAGTAGAGAAGAAGTCCCTTCGGACATCCAAAAGTAAGCCTATATTTTACATCTATGCAGCACGTATTTATGAGGAGCAAAAGTAAGTATTCGACTAACAGCATTATCCTAGTTACTGGGCTCAACGCTACAAGATATTTTCCAAGTATGACGATGGTATCTGGTTGACTGATGATGCCTGGTTTGGCGTCACTCCCGAGCCAATCGCAAAGTAAGTCGAGCACATCAATCTATGTAATGCACTAGCAAATTCACTTACTTATTGAAATATTTAAAGGAAAATAGCACAGCATATGGCAGACTCTGCTCCAAAGGACAGAAGCATACTTGTTGACGCTTTCGCTGGCGCTGGAGGTAACACCATCGCCTTCGCGCTATCCGGTAGATGGAAGAGAATATATGCCATCGAGAAAGACCTTGCCGTTCTTCAGTGTGCAAAACACAATGCCAAAGTGTATGGCGTGGATGACAAAATTACTTGGTTTGAGGGTGATTGTATGCAAATTCTCAAACATCAGTTGAGTGTATTGGCGTCCTACAGCGTCATTTTTGCCAGTCCACCCTGGGGAGGTAAGCCAAATGGTTACTTTCTTTCACTAAACCCTTCCTTACCTGTCATTCTAACTATTTGACTCAGGTCCAGGATATCGTGCTGACGACGTATTTGACTTATCGACTATGCAACCATACTCTCTGGGTACTCTGTATTCGGAGTTTTCTGCATTCACCGACCATATGGCACTGTTCTTACCGCGAACCTCCGACTTAAGGCAGCTTGCGACAATAGTGAAAGACGGAAAGAAAGCCTCAGTTATGCACTATTGTATGGACGGGGCAAGCAAGGCGCTATGTATTTATACTGGAGGCTTTAATGAGAAATGAAAGTGCTTTAACATTTTCTGTAATATACTCCGTACTTAGGACATAGTCAACTGGACATTGATTATAATCAAGATAAAGTGAGATTTGCAAGGTCGACTTCGAGATTTTGTCCGGAGTATTAAGTAGCCCATGAATTACCCACTGAATAAAACGTGCGTCGAATAAAGATCTAACACAGCCATTCCCCTATTATTATTCAGTGAATCGCGTTTGCGGAGACATCCATGCATGGGTTCCAAGTTGTGATTTAGATATCACGTGATTGAGATCTCCGTCGCTTGCATTTCATCACCCGCAACCTAACAAGACTCTTTATACGGGTAACTCTTGTTCAATACTCACCTCCGTTCTGGCTAACTTCTTGAACATCGAGACTTGCAGCTTTATATGGTGACAAGTTCGAATCTCGATGCCAAACCGACCATTTCCCTGCCAGTAAGGCAAGGCCGCGTGAACCTCATCGAGCTTCATGTCGACTTCATCTTCCCTCTCGAAAGCGATTTCCTCTAGCAAGCATAAAACAGAAGGACCTCTCCCTGCGAAAATGCCACATGCAACAGGGTCCGAACCGGCGGAGTCCGAAGATGAGGACTTCAACAACGTGATGCGCCAGATGAACGCGCCGACAAACGAAGTCTCATTCGACTTTCTCCAACGAGAACTGGAACCTGGAGAGAAGGCGGATGATGCCGTGGACTATGAGGATATCGATGATGATGACCTTCCGGACGAGGAGCTTGGGCTTTCAACTCTTGAAGACAGGGATGGGAAAGCGGCGGCGGTGGGCGGCGAGTGGGGCGGGCCGGAAGGTATGGAAGGCATTTTGACTGCAGGTGATTTAGCACAACAGCACCCGGACGGTGATGAGCTCGACGATCTATTTGGGGACGTCCCATCATCGCCTGCGGGTGGGCAGGCGGATCAAAATGACGAACTACCACCTGTTGGATCTGGAGACATCTCCGCCCTCGACGCCCTCGATGCAGTGCCTCCAACCAAAGAGAACGGGATAACTGAAACCGTGCGTGGAATGGACAGGGACTCTGTTATGGCTCCTACAGATATGGACGCAGCAACATTTAAAGAATACCAACTCCAACAAGCACTTTTTGCGATGTCATCATACGGACCTGACAATCCACCCGCGCCTCCCGAGAACCACGAGGAGCTCCTAGCTTCTCTTTGGCCCAAATTCGATCGAAATGCGATGCCACGATTTCTAGAATTGTTACCTCCGAAGAAGTCACATTTTGTAGGAAAATCACCCTTGAAACCGCCAAAGCGAATCGTTCCTACCAAACTTAACCTTGAGCTGGCTCAGGACCAAGAACGAGCATTTCGCGCTACTGGGCAAACCCAGAAGCGTGCGTTGGATTCAGAAAATCCTTCCATCGTCGTTATTACACCCCCTTCAGAAAGAACGGGTAGTTCGAGTGATAACATGGATATCGATGGCGACCTTGATGAGGAGCTTCCTGGTGGAGTCACAATGAAGGATTTGCAATTCATTTGTGCCGATTGGGATATAAAAACACCGGTTATCGAGGAGGAGGAGAAACTGGAAGCCGCCGTGGAAATTACACCCAATGAGGAACCCGGTGCGGAAGATGATGACTGGTTATTTGAGACGAATCGCCCAACCAAGAAACGTAAGCTGGACAAGTCACCAGCGGACTACATATCTTACGTCCCAATCGACATGCCCTTGTTTGACGACCCTGTCAGTGAGACTGCGAGGGTTGCAATGAAGATACATATTGATTTGAATGACCCGTATCTGCTACTTGATGAGCGCCCTACGGAGTCAGCTTTGCAAGCCCCCAAACGATTGGGAGCTGTGAACCGTGATGAAATGGCAGGGAGCTTTACGAAACGTTTGATCAAACGATATAATATTTCCAATGATGACGCTTATGATATGCTCAAAGAAAATCACCAGAACAAAGTCAGAAGCACTCTTGGGAGTGTGGCGCTTGAGCATAGTGTGCCCGCTGTTCGTCTTCAATGGCCGTACTACAAGACGAAACTTGCGAGGCAAGAGGCTCGATCTTTCCATCGCCCAAGTTTGAGCTTTTTCCCCAACTTACCTGTGTCCTTCAAAAAGCCTTCCCATATTAAACGCAAGCATCAAAGGGGCAAGGACGTTAAAACTTTGTACAACTCAACGAAGTCTCTGTCTCTCGCCGACAACTCGCATGTTCTTTTACTGGAGTACTCTGAGGAGCACCCGACTATGATGTCCAATTTCGGAATGGGCAGTCGATTAATCAATTATTATCGACGGAAGAATATGGAGGACCCTGCACGCCCCAAATCAGAGATTGGTGAGACGACTGTGCTATTGCCACAAGATAAAAGTCCGTTCTCCATATTTGGACATATTGATCCTGGAGAAACTACCGCTGCGATTGCGACTGCAATGTTTCGAGCCCCTGTGTTCCAGCAAGAATCAAAACCAACAGATTTCCTTGTGATACGGAACAGTACAGGGGTTGATGGGTCGAGTTATTATATTAGGAATATTGACAACCTATATGTCGCCGGACAGCAGTTCCCGTCAGTCGATGTTCCGGGGCCACATTCGCGGAAGGTTACCACGGCCTCGAAGAATCGCTTGAAAATGATATGTTACCGGCTACTTAGAAGAAATAAGAACCACAGAGTCAGTGTCGCCGAGGTCACAGAACATTTCCCTGAATCAAGTGACATGCAAAATCGACAAAAGATGAAGGAATTCCTGCAGTTTTCAAAGGATCACAAAGAGTGGGAAATGAAGCCTGGGGATCCTATCCCCGATGAGGATGTTTTGCATGGCTATGTTAAACCGGAAGACATCTGCCTTCTCGAAGCGATGCAAGTTGGCCAGCAGCACCTTCACGATGCGGGCTATGATCGCGATGACGATGACGCGGATGATGAGGAGAAGGAAGGTGAGACTTCCGAGCAGCAGCTTGCTCCTTGGAAGACAACACGTAATTTCCTACTTGCAACCCAAGGTAAGGCAATGTTGCAGCTACACGGAGAAGGAGATCCTACCGGCCGAGGCGAAGGGTTCAGCTTCATCAAAACTTCCATGAAGGGAGGTTTCAGGGCTATAGGAGAGAGTGTTGAAGATAAGCTCGATGCTCAGAGACTCAAAGAGCTTGGTGGCCACAGCTACAACGTTGCTCGACAACAAAAGTCCTATGAAGAGTCGATCCGACGCATTTGGGAAGCACAAAAGTCAAGCTTATCCTCAACGATCGAACATTCGGATGAGGAAAGTGACCTTGACCGCGATGAGCCAGATGAGATATTTGCCAAACCAAGGGCCAGGTCAGAACGGCCTACTCCAGGGCTGAGCCGACCAGATGACGAGACGACCAGCCAATTCAGCCGCATGAGCACGGCCAGCCAGACTGGCAAAATTATGAAAATTACTCGCAAAATACCTAACTCGAAAGGCGGCTACGATGAAGTCCAGGAGATTGTCAAGGATCCGCGCGTGATCAAACAATACGTCAAGCAGCGACATGAGGCCGAAGCGCGAAACTTAATGTAAGCAGTTTCATTGCCCAATTTCTTTAAAGATAAAAAGCTAACATTTGTAGACTGGGGGATATTAAACCAACCGGCGATCCTGAAACGGATGCGCGGCGGATGAAACAGTGAGTCTCTCTACAGTTCCATGTAAAAAGAAAGAAGAACAAAGAAGAACAAAATATCAGATTTGGAGTCACTTTTGTTCAAACTAAAGTTGCCATTGCATCAAATAATTTGCTGCTTTCAGCTTAGCCTAGAACAAAAACACCCGGTCCTTTTGCATGGAACTACCCACCTATGTTACCTTATTTTTCAAAAAACAAGGCTAATACAAGTTAAACTAGGCTACAATTCGAGCTTCAACGCCTTCAACGTAACAAGGAGCGGCGCCATGCCCGTGAAAGACAAAAAGGCATTACATCGGATAGCGCGTCACCCGGAGCTACGAATTCCCCCACTACTACCGGCCCCAAAGGAGGAGGAACCCAAAGAAAATGCGCAAATTGCGGCCAAGTCGGACACATCAAAACCAACAAAAAGTGCGCGAGATATTTTACTTAACTCCTGATAAACGCTACCCCTAAGTTTTTGCCCCTTGACGCACTCAACATTTTTCATGGCCCTGGATCCCAAAAGACTGCAACAAACCCACTCACCTTCCTGTACAGCAACATTATCAGTCTTTAATTCATCTTATCTATTTCACCACACCACATTATTTTGTAAACAAAACAACTAACATCTGGCCCCCTTTATTGCCATGGCCATCCAAACTCTAGGCTATGTCCTCTCTTAAACGGCACGATGAAAGTCGAAGACGGCCTCAGCGGGTCCGCCTTTGCCATGGGTGCACCTCCAGCGCTGTAGAAACGTTGCGAAAAGCCGCTTCACTCACCCACCCGCCCCCCCCTTCCTTTACGTTGTCGACATTTGATGAACCCTAGAGTCGAACTTTCGCATCCCCTCTCCTCAAAAGGTCGGAATTCAAGCTCTCAACCTGCGTCTCCGCCGGTACTCGACGTCTGCGCTGTTTCGTCAACCTTCGGTATCCCACCCTCCATCAGTTCCTTACCCGGCTTTGCTATTCCCACTGTGTATGTACCCTAGCCTGGAAACCACTAATTACTTCTAAGGGGCTTTGAAATGCCCCCGCACCTGCTTTACATTTCCTCACGAGATGGCGCATCAAACTTGTCATCGATCGTTTTTCCTTGAATTTATCCCGGAACCTTCAACTTTGTGCAGTCATATATTTGCATCATACATACCCACTGGCATTAATTCTTTCGATATTTGAGTTGGCTCTTTTTCTTCCGCGGTTCCTTTTGTTTCTTCCATGGGTGTTTACGAATGAAGGTTGGACATTAATTTTCCAGGGGTTCACAAGTAGGAGAGGCAATTTGGCATTCTTTTAGTTTTATTTTTAGTTTTCATTTTTAGTTTTCAGGAGGGCGGGTATACATTACGTACATATTTACCATATACAATTACATACCCCTAGTTTGCGGAGAGGGGGCAGTCGCGCAGGGTGAATTCAAGGACAATGAGAACATCTCTCAGACCCGTAATAAGTGTTCAATTCAATCTGAGGCCTTTCTAACAGCTTTTTCGAATGAATTAGCCGCGAAAGGATGACTGACTTCTGAAAGATCGAAATTTAAACTAAAAATAAAACCTTTGTCTGTTTCCTATTCCTTGATAAGGAGCGGGGATGAATAATGAGAGGACCAAGTGGTTTGGTCGAACGAGTGACAGTCAAACAGAAAGGACTCGCATTAACCAGGGTTAACAAACCAGGACTCTATGAAACGAGACAAGAGAAACTCATGGCAATATAGTAATGAAAAACGTTCAGCAAGCGACGGTGGAGGAATAGCTCATGCTGGTTTCGCACGAAGACCAAAGGGCTGCCCTATCTCAGTTCAACTCTCTCCAAGGCCGATCAAAGATCTCCCACGATCGGTCTCAAATCCGAGTAAAAAATCTTTCGGCCGTCGGTATGTATACCCCAGAAAGGCTCCCCGCTTCCTCAGATTGAGCGCCTGTCGTCCAATTATTTCGTCGCGCAAAATCTTGTCTCTGGGTCTCTTCTTCTCTTTCCTTTTCTTCTGCCATTTTTCTTGTGCAGCCTCTGGCCCCGGTTTTCCGTTCTGTTTCAATACTTCCTTCATGCTTGCAGCTTGAGGGCCATCAGTTTGGGCTCCGATATCCATCACTTGAACCGTGTGACTTGAATCTAAGTTATTGGCTACCGGATTAGGGGCCTCGTTTTCAGGGCAGGTATCCCCATGACTCGACCCATCCTCCATATCGCTAATCGGATCTTCGTCTTCAAAATATTTTGTATCTTCCCAGCTCTTCACTTTTGGAACAAACGGGGGTTTACGAGAATGCAGTTCTTCCCATCTAATACCTTTGAAAAAAGGATGGTCCTTAATATCACCCGCATCGTCCGGATAAACATAGTACCCCTGGTAATTTGTACTCTGTTTATTCGATGGCCGATTGAGGAGCCCACCAGGAAGTTTTTTTGAATGCACATAGTCGTTGAGCATATATTTTTTCGAGCAAAGGCGGTATTCCTTTTCCTGAAGCATTTGTCCAATCAGGTCGATTGCTTCGGTCGAAATTAGCCTGTCAGAAGGTTTGTCATGTGGAAAGTATAGTGTTTCCGCGTGTTTCTATGACAAGTTAGAATCTTGTTCCAAAATTGAAACATTCGCCTAAACGTACCAATATCTTAACTTTGGTGTCATGGCGGGTTTCTGCCGCAAACGGGGTGAACCCATACAGACACTAGGGTAGTTAGCACAACTTCAAGGAAAGTGACAGGCAGCTAATTACCTCATAGAGAATCACGCCAACGCTCCACCAGTCACAGCGCCCATCATATAGATCGCCGCGTATAACTTCGGGTGCCATATATTGACTCGTACCCACTACGCTTCTAGCAAGCTTTCTCTTTTCCTTTCTGTTCCTCCAGCGCAGGATGTCATCGTTCGGACCAGGGCCCCAAATTTCGGGATGGCGATCTTCGCTTGCTCCAGAATTTGCAGATGACCTTTTCCGATCCTTCTCATTCTGACGTTCCGCAGCTTTAGCAACTTCCTCCCGATCCTGAAAATCACCTTCAACATGAATACCCAGTTTTTTAAGCAAAGAATGCCTGTGATTGTTGAAGTATGACTGGTCATGGGACCAATGGCCATCGAAAGCAAGACCAAAGTCTGAAATCTTCAGATGCCCTGACGCGGATATAAGAAAATTATCCGGTTTCACGTCTCTATGTATCCATCGGAGTCTGTGGGCTTCCTCGATACAGAGAACCATCTCCGCCACATACCATCTAGTGACATCTTCAGAGAGGATATTTTTTCGAATCAGGAGTCCCAGGAAGTCTCCCCCAATCATATAATCCATCACAAGATACAGGTTATTCACGTCCTGGAAGCTCGCAATAAGTGGCACAATCCATCTTGATTTTTCGGAGGCAACCAGGAAATCCCTCTCAGCGCGAAGATGTCCCTCTTGACAGTTCCGCAACATTTCGGATTTGCGAATGACTTTCATTGCGTACACTTCTTTTTTCATTTTGCTTATATCTCTTCGACGTGAGGCTCTTCCGTCCACTGCAGATCTCAACGCGTCTATCGTACTAGCTTTGATATAACTTAAGTCACTCCTGGCGGGTGATTTATTGGCCTCTGTTGCTGCGGTCTGATGTTCTTCAGTATTCTTTTCCTTAACAAGGCGTACGACCCCGAAACTACCCTTCCCGAGGACTTTAATGACTTCATAGCCAGCGATAGAGACACTCTCTCCGTTTCTTAGAAAGTTGGAACGAGTTTTGAGGACACGCTCCTGGCGTAAGTACTCAGATTCCTGCCGATTCCATGCCTGTCTGGCTTTTGCTCGCTCTTCTAAAGTTAGTGGCAACGAGTATAATCTTTCTTCCAATTCGCGGTGTCGTTTAGCGCGTGGTGTTTCGTCCGAAAAAATGGCATTGAAATGCGTTTCAAAAAATATTTTTGCTGTTGCAGTAGCTTCGACTGTTAAAATGGAAGGAACAACAGGAGGTACCTGATCAGTCCGGCGTGATTTCTTGTCAAAACTAGTAGAGACCATAACAGCTTTATCCTGTGCTTGGTTATTTGCCTCTGAGCGTGCTAGTTTCGTAAACTGTAGTGAAATAGGTGAACCATCAGATGTTGGACTTGTTGACTGGCTAAAGGGGGATGAGCCGCTCCCACTTTGGGTGGCGGTGGAAGGATCAGAGTCATTTTGCTCTTCATGCCCTGGGTTGCCAGCCCCAGCAGCATTGGAAGGGGGGAGGGAAAACGCGCCAGAGATACTAGGTATTCCGGGCCTTGACCGTAGATTGGCACGATGAACTACTGTCGGTTGGCCAAAAGGCATTGAGAATTTGTGAGATATCAGATGTGAGAGTCCAGATGTGGAGTGGCTCCGGCGAACCCCGAATACCGGATGCCTGCCATTAGTTCCTGTATAATCAACAGTCTGTGCAGTATCCAGGTTATTTTCTTGATAGGGGCGAAATTCCTCTCGGGCAACAAACGGAGATATTGCTGCTAATTGCGAAAACGCTCTAGTAGGTCCTTCACGCATCGATGTCGTAGCTGAGCTATTTGTCTCCAATTCGCCGGAGGTTATTTGGGCTGATCCAGGTTCATCAGCCGTAGTGGTTTCAGCTAAAATGATGGGATCTAATCCTGGGCGACTTGGGCTGTTCTGACAAAAGCCTCGTCTCGTGGGGGATCGAAAGTCCCTGCGATCTAACTCGCTGTCAGTGGCGTGAAAGAAATTGAAAAAAGGATATTGGATAGGATGTAGATTAGTACCTCCGCTACCTCGAGTCTTCAGCATATATAACAGACTCGAGCTTTTTCTTTTGAGAAATGCCTTCACTTTTGCCTTGCCGCTAGGATTCGCGAGGATGCTATCGGGTGTTGATGCTGGGGAATCACTGCGCACTGCTTGTGTATCACCGTCGAGTATGATGACCTTATTCGACGCCAGAAGACCGAAAAAACTTCTGGACGTTCGTATCTTCCGCTTTTGTCCCGGCGTCATAATCCGTGTGAAATTCCACAGCCCTTCATTCGTGAACGAGTGTTAGTGAGGCGAGAATGGGGAAACCGAGTGCCTCTAATTTTGTACTTCAACGATTGAATAGTAAAAGAACAAGTATGTATAATAACGACTATAGTCTCGATAAAGCGGTAAGAATGTCAAGTAGAGCTAAAGCGTTGGTAAAAGTCAGATAGCCTGAAGTCACTGATGGTGTATCATATAAGAGAAGGACGGTCGCGTGGAATGTACGTTGCCTCTCGTAATTGGAAGTGATACCACGTTCGGGATAGGTAGGAACGATCCATGATACACAGATATCTCCAACAGTTACTCGAACGCGTGCCTTCCTGCAGAAAACGTAGATATCCTGGGCGGGCACAACCCAGATATATGACACCGTAATGAGGAAGGAGCGTCATTTCCAGGTTGTCCGTCGAATTGTCGATATATCCATGTGCATATGGATAATATGACCAACTCTGACAGCAGAATCCATTTATTGCTCAAATGACAAAAGCCATAGCCGCAGAATTGGCTTTCAGTTGCTGAATTTCGGTAAAGACATGCATCTTAAACATTTCTTGGGCCACACGCAATCAGTCAACTGTAGGAGGTTTTGGGAAGTTCGATCCCTATATCAACCTCATGAGGGGCTGCCAAGTTGACCGGTGGGAGATTTACATCGGTGGCCGACATGGATTGTAGCTCTTTCACCGCAGTAACATGATATGATCTCCTATCCTCCTTGGGTGTGGTCTCTGGGAGGCCAACGGTGGATTCTGTACCTCATAATCGGTATCATGGAGTGACTCGTTTAATATTGATAGTAACCGCAACAGCGAAGAGAACAGCAGAATCGATGCCTGCATCCTGCTTGTCCAGCTCTCGAAACCAGCCGTATCGATCAAGTTGGGCTTAACCAGAGCAGACTCCATGATGGCTCTGACTGTGTTAACCTGGAAGTGATTTCAACCACATCTCGCATTTGTCTAAGAATGGCCTTCTAGCCGGAGAAGGCTTTCCTAATCTGAGAGTAGCCATCAGGCCTCCGGGGAATGTTGGAAATCATATCAAAATATCTATTACGGGAGCCAAGGGTGAAAATAGAGGCCGTGAGCTCTAGTCAGAGCTTGATGCTAGGTCAGATATAAAGACATGGCGGGGAGTGTTGCAAAATATTATATTTGTGATATTCGTTCAACGTCACAAACAAAAGGGGGAGGAGAAGCGTGGAGGCTCAAAATGGAACTAGTCGTCACGTGGGAGCTCTCTTTTCTGCAAAAATCCCGAAAAAATGTCTGCTAGGCGAGTGTATGGACGTTGATGTAGAAGCACAGAAGCACTTACTAAATATACCCCAGTGGTAATATCGAATCACATATCTACAAGATACAGCGACGAGCACCGTGCACTATAAATGCATGCATGAATTGATCAAGTTTCCAGTTATGTATGCCAAAGGGAAATGGAATTTCATGAAATTTCGAGTTAAAATAAGAAAAGAAAAAGCAAAGAAAATCAAGCAATTTAAAAGTAGTACATACAATACCCAGTTCCTTTGCCAACTCCGTTATGATCTAATCATTCCTGATAAATGCCCAGCGCAATGTACAAGTTATCTAAGGTACTTTGACCTCAGGAGTCAGCGGAAATTGCACTATCAGAACATTAAAGGTCTCAAAGCAAGGAAGACAATAGGAAAAAAGGAGAAAAAAATCCCGGGGGAAAAAGGTCGAGGAACAAAAAAAGCGCAGCAATATAACAAAATGTGGCCTGTCCGATGAACAACTAGGCTGAATGATGAACAGGAAGCTTTTTGGACAGATGGTAGATACAAAGCAATCAGAAAAGGGAGAGAATACTAAGGGAAACAAGCACGGTGACTCTCCCTCTGTCTATTTAATGTCAAGAAGTTTGACATCGAAAATCAGTTTCGAGTTGGCTGGGATTCCTGGGAGCGCTTTCTTGCCGTATGCAAGATGTGATGGAATTGTCACTCTTCGTTCACCTCCAACTGCCATGCCGGGGATTCCAATGTCCCAGCCCTTGATTACTTCTCCGCTACCAAGCTTGAATGAGAATGGTGGCCCCTTTTTGTTTGCTATATGAGCCGACTGTTAGTTATAAGTCTCAAAATAGTTATCCAATAGTATGGAAAGTGAGGGGGCCAAACTCACCATCAAAAACTTTGCCATTTTCAAGTTTTCCGATATATCGCATGAATACACGATCTCCCTTCTTCGCTACACGACCAGATCCAAGCTTCTTGTCATCCAGTTTGACTCCTTGGACCTCCTTGACGCCGAGAGTGCCGGCCGAAGGCGCCTTCTTATCGCCATCTTTTTTCTCATCATCCTTCTTTGGAGGGGAAGGGGTAGGGCCCTGCTCAAGATTTTTGGCAAATTGAACTTTTTTGTCAGACTTGGCCGGTTCTGATGTCTTCACTGGGATCTCCACGGCCTCGCCATTGTTTTTCTTCAGCTTCTTCTGCTGCTTCTTGCTAAGTTTTGGCTCGCCGTTAGTAGTGGTCTCGGGTCCCGACTTGAGTGCTTTCGACATGAGGTCGTCCAAGTTAGCACCTTCATCATCGGAATCTTCTGCGGGGCGCTTCTTGCCCTTCTTCTTGTCCTTCTTGGCGGCAGCCTTTTCAGCTTCCTCTTCATCAGTGTCAATCTCAGTGATACGAGGGTCATCCATATCATCAAGCTCATCGCTCTCATCGTCCTCGTCCATGAGATCCAATTCATCTTCGTCAGGGCTCAGATCATATCCGCCGTAATCATCCTCGTCGTCGCTACTGTCGTCCATATCTCCATGCTCATGAGAGGGCATGACATAGTTACCAGTAATGTAAACAGAGTGGGTACCGGTGACCTTGAAGAAGATGCGCTCGTGTTCGCCAACGACGAAATCGAGGGGTTGTTGGCAGTTCTACAAAATGGACGTATGGCGTTAGTTCATCAATAAACAAGAAAATGGAGGTTTGAGTGAATCGCGAACAACCTTTGTAGGATCAAGTGTGCAAACAACGACCTCCTCCATTTCCAGTCCCTCAGAAATGTCACTGTCGACATCATCATCCCCAGTGGCCTTATCTTTACCCTTGATTAACTTAGAAATGGCCGCCTTGAGGTCAAAATCTTCTCCATCCGAATCGTCATCATCGGATTGATCAAGAAGATCTTTCAATGCAGCCGCCTCTCTAGCTTTCTTCAACTTGGCAGGGTCACTGGGCCCTCCGTTAGACTCATCCTCTGAATCTTCCATATCATCATCCTCGTCGCCATCCTCGCCATCATAATCCTCATCGTCAGAATCATCTTCGAGATCCATTCCTGGAGGTGGGCGGACGATCTTCAATGTAGCGCGTGGTGTCTTGCCCTCTGTTTCTGCATCAAACTCAGGTTGAGAATCGGGGTCGATGGCGGCCATGGTGACGCGAAACTAATGAAAGAGACATTATTTGATAAGTAAGACTTGAATAGAGGCTTAAATGTTATGTGCAAACATCAATGACCCAGCAATACATACCATAGCAGAGGCATCCGCTCCAGCAGGGATCAAGATACCGCCCGGCGGCACTTTCACAGCATAAAGCGCAACAGGGTGAGTTGAAGACATGTTGAACTTGACGGAGAGGCAGGAAGGAAAATCAAAGCTGTCAGAAACCAGGAAAAAACTCTATGGCCACAGCTCGAAAGAGGAATGAGACCAGGAGTGAAGAACGTAGTTGGTTGTTGTGCGGGAGAGACCAACACGGGATTTCAAAGGGCAAAAAAAATAAAAATAAAAATAAAAAGTCAACAGCAGCAAATTTATTAAAGTTTCTGCGACAAAATTTCAAGCCAATGATAAGCTACAGAATCTATAGAGTAGGGTATTTTTGACGCTAGGTTAATTTCAGGTTAGGCTCAAATCTGGACCCATTCAAACCATGCGCTTATTGGTTTTATGCGCCCGCTTGAAGCGTTAAAACTGCGCGACGGTGAGCGCTGATTAATTAAATACACGTGATCACGCCTCACGTCGCCACACACCTACCCTCCAACAACGCGCCTGCGTGTCGTTCTAACAAACTTGGAACTGCTTGCCTCTGCCGGATGGATGATTTCCAACTGCAGGCTTGTCGCATCCCTTGGACTGTGCACATTGTGCTGAATAGTGCTGCTGGATATGCTGTTGTCCTCTCACATGCCCCACTATGGGCTCTAGACTCGAATCAGGTTCTAATGCCGTGCGGAAGCGAATCGAGAACCGTGAGTAATACCGTTCTCTCTACAGGCGACCTTTCATTCCCTTCCGCTAATCAGTTTTCCATAGATGTATTTGACAATGAAGATGGGGAGGAATATCAGGGGTCAAGTTTTGGGGGGTTTGGCGACTATTTCCGACGGAAGAAGCTCAAACTTCAGAACCTTGACGCGGAACTCCGTGCCTCATCGCCGCAAAACCCACCTATATTCCGCGGGGTGGTAGCGCACGTCAACGGTTACACACAACCTTCTCTGAAAGATCTTCATCACTTGATCGTGAGCCATGGAGGAGGGTTTCTTCAGTATCTGGACGGGAAAACATCCGCCACTCATATAATTGCAAGCACTCTGACTCCAAAGAAGCGAGAGGAGTTTCGCAAATATCGCATTGTGAAGCCTGCATGGGTGGTTGAAAGTGTTAAAGCTGGACGCCTTTTGCCATGGGATAGTTTTAGGGTAGTGGATGAAGGGCAGTCCCAAAAAGTGCTGTTGTTTGGAGGCGATGGGCAAGTGCAAAGTCAGGTCAACACTCAAAGTCGAAGCTATAAAGATCAAACATATACGAGCTGGTATACGTCTCAAATAAAGTCCAAATCTCTTTATAATGACGATCATATGGAAATTACTGGCGCTACATCCTCAGCACACGGCATGGATGCAGGGACACCAGCGTCTACCCTACACAACGAGCTGCGGGGAACCCACTCCGATGCTACAATGGCCGTATTTCCTGCTCTTGATACCACTCTTGACACTGGTGTAGTTAATCAGGCGATCACTCGTTCTAGTTCCCGTGAAACCTTGGAGGATCCTGAACCGCCTGATGAAATAGGGACTGTGGATCAAGTTACACTTCCCAAACCCGTTTCTGACAAATATAAAGAAAGTGACGCTCATTCTTCAATGACCCCGGAGGAATATAATGCACAACTTCTTTCGGCTCCTCATATGCGAAATTCAAGTGTTGTTAACCCCGAGTTCATACAACAGTTCTACCGGGAATCCCGTCTTCATCACCTGTCGACGTGGAAAGCCGAACTCAAGGCTAAACTTCAGAGTGCGGCCCAAGAGAAAGGCATATCTCGGACGGCGAAGAAGCCTCATGTTACTGGAGCACGGAGATACATTTTGCACGTCGATTTTGACAGCTTTTTTGCCGCCGTGTCAATACGAAAACATCCGGAACTAGTTGACCAACCTGTGGCTATCGCACACGGCACAGGTCCTGGATCCGAGATTGCGAGTTGTAACTATCCAGCACGTTCGTTCGGCATCAAAAACGGGATGTGGATGAAAGCGGCACTGCAAATGTGTCCAAACTTGAAAGTGCTTCCATACGATTTCGCTGCATATGAACAGGCTAGTCGAGCATTTTATGAAGTCATACTCTCAATCGATGGGATTGTTCAAAGCGTTAGTATTGATGAAGCTCTAGTGGATATCACAGGTGTCTGTTTAGATGCTGGTGGTTCGGATGGTCGTGGCATCTCGGAAGGCTCGATATGGCGGGAACAGGAAAAGGCTGATGAGATAGCACAAAATCTTCGCAATTCCGTTAAAGAGCGAACTGGCTGCAATATCTCTGTGGGTATCGGTGGCAACGTGTTGCAGGCCAGGGTTGCATTACGAAAAGCGAAGCCTGCTGGCCAATTTCAGCTTAAGCCCGACGCAGTCTTAGATTTCATCGGAACTCTTGCCGTGAAAGATCTTCCTGGCGTCGCTCACAGTTTGGGCGCGAAACTTGAAGAGCTTGGCGTAACTTTCGTGAAGGATATCCGTGATCTTAGCAGGGAAAAATTGACATCTAGTCTAGGGCCCAAGACTGGGGCCAAACTATGGGATTTCGCACGTGGAATCGACAATACAGAAGTGGGAGTCCAAGCGCCTCGGAAATCGGTATCGGCTGAGATAAACTGGGGCATTCGATTTGTCAATCAGGCTCAGGCTGAGGAATTCGTCCAAAGTTTATGCGATGAACTCCATCGACGACTTGTTGAGAATCTCGTAAAAGGAAAGCAGCTAACCATGCGGATTATGAAACGATCTGCCGATGCTCCTCTGGAACCTGTTAAACATCTAGGACATGGCAAATGCGATACGTTCAACAAAAGTGTCAACTTAGGGGTAGCTACTAATGCTAGCGACATTATTGGACGGGAGGCAATTACAATTCTGAGAGGATTCAAGTTCTCTCCAGGTGACTTGCGAGGCCTTGGGGTTCAAATGACGAAACTAGAACCCGTTAAACAGAATCATGCGAGGGAATTGGATAGCAGCCAAAAGCAGATTAGTTTCAAACCGGCAAGTCCTACTCGACAACGCGAGACACCGATAGATCCTGATGAAATTAACACCCCTCGGAAAGGGGACACGACTAGCGAATATTTGCCCAAATCCCTCCAATCTGCTCCAGGTTTAACTGATGCCTCACAAAAGCCATTGAATCTTACTGGGACGCAATTTGTGATGCCAACCCAGGTAGACCCGAAAGTGTTGACAGAGCTACCAATGGATATTCGATCAAAATTTGCTCCTAAGCAGACACATATTCAGGGGATTCAGTTTCATGGTGAATCTCCACGTGCAGACTCACCCTCTCCAGCTGCATATCTACCGCCTCAATCGCAACTCGATCCGGACATGCTTGCTGAGCTACCTGAGGATGTTCGAGCGGAAGTCCTGGGTTATTACAAGCGACCTCTAAGTCCTCGCTCAGAATCGCCACAACTCGGCACACCACGGCATAGTAAAGCTGCGATCTCAAAAGCTATCAAGAAAGCCATTACTCCCACAAAAGCAAGAGCCGGGCGTGCACGTGGACGGCCTAATAAAAACCTTGCTGGGAATAGCACCCTGATGCAATCTAATTTCATTCTTACACGGCCTTCAGCCGATCCGACCTCCGTCCAGGCAGATGTAGCCTCAGCTGCCTCACCCCAAGCTGAAGCCGACGGCATTTCAGATGAATTCCTCGCTGCATTGCCGGATGATATACGTCGTGAGGTGCTCGAAGAGCACAAACGCTCCCGCCTCCAAAAGAGAGCCGGCCTCAACCTACCTCCCCCGACCCGCAGATCTCTTTTCCCCAAGCCCACTGTGCGAACACCAGAACAGAAAACGATCAGTCTACTCCCTCGCCCGGAAAAGGTAACTTTCACCTCTAAGAAACTCTCGTCTCTCCCAGAGTTGCGCAAGGCGTTGGACGAGTGGTACGGAGCCTTTGAGACGGAGGCCCCATATGAAGAGGATGTAGCGGCACTGGCGAAGTATTTAAAACGTGTGGTACTTGAGGAGAAGGATATTGCGAAGGCAGTTGCTGTGGTTGGGTGGTTAGCATGGTTGATCGGGTCTTCGACCGCTGAAGAGATTCAGCCAGATCAAGGTGGCAGTTCTCCGGAGGTCGGAACATCTAGCACGGCCAAAAATGCCCAGGCAAGAGAAGGATGGGTCAAAGCACTCTGGAGCCTTCGCGATAATATTAGCGATGCTGTCCAGGAAAGAGGTTTACCTCCAGTTGAATTCACTTGAACGTGGACTGGTTTAGCTGTGCTATCTATCTATAAACGCGCCTTTTGGATATGTTATTGTTTTCGCTTGTTATCTTTTGTGCCCATTCTAGGTAGCCTCCAAATGCTACATTCGATCTCTACCACTGCCTAAAGTCAAGCTCGTCACGATTATGAGAGAAGGGTCAAGGGAAAGATTCAGAGCGATTGACATACTGAAACCCTCCAAAACGGAATCGCAAACTCTCATTCTCGTAAATTTGGTCGCTCATACATGCTTCAAGAACACTTAACTCCCACATCACAAAATTCTTCCTCTCTCTCTATATCAAGATCAACGCGAATGGCGCCCTAGGCTCGGTACTGTCTGTGAATCCCAAATACTCCCTATATTCCGGGGCACCAACCACTTTCTAATTCCTGGGCTCTTCGATGCAGTGCGAGGATTGAACCCCTGATCAACCGCTCTGTAAGTCTCGCCGGGGGTCCATGCAAACGCTTTGTTCATAACGGGACCAGCTTTTGGTACATCCTCCTCCTTCCTATCTTCAGGGGTGAAGTTCGCGCAGGTCTAATACTTTGTCCGCTAAGGCAAGACATTCCAATTTTTAAGAGGAGGATGACATATATTCCAGAGACAGAATATGACCAGTCCTCAATCCCAGGGCGCTGAAAGCTTCAGTTTCTGCCAAAATAAGGGGGTTATGAATCATTACTTTCACTCCTTTACTTCCTCTATGAGTGATGTAATATAACGTGCAGATATACTTGTCTATACAGCCCAGCGTGAGCTAGAAGCAATTTTTTTTGTCAATACTGATGCAATATGCAGGAAAGGACAACAGTTGAATGTACATGTACATGTACATATGAAATGAACCCTCATGTCCTTACGAAGCGTTGTCGTCACCATAGGCAAAAGTCAACTCGGGAAATAATGAATGGTTCACGTAACTATTTCATCTCTACTCCAACATCTCAGGGAACCCTACTATAACTCCTTGTATTGTAACCGTGTGATGCGCTTCAGGTATAAGCTTGAGTTCGAAAATATGGGATTGGAGTCTTGCTTATGGGATGGCTCATGCTAATGGAGGTCCCTCCCCGTAAACTGCAAAATCTTCGCCCTTGTACGATGGACATGTAGTTACCTAAATGTCATCAACTGATGAGCTTAATCGATTGTATTCCCTAGATTTATCGAATACAGCACCGGACAATGTCCACCTAAGTCCGTTCTATTGTAGTATCGAGAGGCTCCATATAGCCCCCGAGGCTCCGTTATTAAAGCTCCGGCACCTACCCATAGCTCAGGCTTGCGTCGTCTAGTTATCCCAGCCACAGCGGACACCTCCGTCAACACCGGAACTATTACCGCAGGCGCAGTAATTCCCCCAACTTTTCATTCGCCTGAAGGAAGATGGACTTTGTGCTAATACACGCTCGTGGGCCGGTCGTCGGCTCCAAAAATCATGCCGTGATTTTCAAGCTCTAAGGCACATCCAGCCTCAACGATCGATTTGGAACATGGGGTGAACTGCCAGGGGATTCTGTCCAGAACAAGCACTGCATCCAAGTAGCGGCCATTTAATCCCCGTCCGCAGCAGCGCTGAAGACCATGAGATTTCTCTCCCTCGCAGCCGAGATCGTTTCATTCAATGGGACCCAGCTTCAATGCTCACGGGAGAGATATCCACGTTTTGCAAAAAAGATACATGATTCGGCTTCTCAACGCCATCCACCTCAACATACATCACAGACCGACCAGGAGCCAAAGCCAATAACTGATGACTGGTATGCAGGGAAAGAGGCAGCTTCGGAGGGAATAGACTCAATGCATGTCGTAAGGCGCGGATTCCCTGGGTGTCTAGCTCTATTTCCGCTCTTGTCTAGGGAGATGTGGCAGTAGGTTGCAGCGAAGGTTTTCTTTTTTACATGCGCGCTGAATAGGAGCCGTAATCAGGCCCCCTAACACGAGGCAAGGGTATTTGTATATAGGCCACTGAAGACACTGCCAATGTTTCTCAAAAGGCCTGAATTACCTCGAATAAATATAAAAGTGATGGTAAGTGATATATGGCTACAGCGTATAAAAAAAAAAGAAAAGAAAAAAGAAAAGAAAAGAAAAGAAAAAAAAGGGAAAAAGAAAAAAAGAAAAACCCCCGCAAACTGCAAACTCCGGCCTGCCTGATCGCCTCAGGGGCGAGCTCTGTCGTAGCCGATTGCCGAATTCTAATAACTGCAACTTCTCCTCCTCGTGAATTTTAAAACTATTGTCCTTCGGATCTGCGAGGCAGCGCTCTCCAGATGCCAGAATTCAACTGCGAGTGTGGCATTGTCCGCCTGTCGAACAGACAAGAGAGGAATCAGTTCAAGTTGTGAAGTTTACAGCCGGACTGTCAACAAAGCAAAACTCCAAACTGGGCCAGAATCCAGACATTTTGCCGGGGCTCCCGGTTAACCACTAATAATATCTTGTGGAGAGAAAAGCTTTGCAAATATTTAAGCTGAGAGAGCAGATAGCGAGCTTTGGTGACCCCCACAGTGTCAATCACAGGGCGGAGAACTGCTGAGAGGCGATCGATGGCTTTTTAAACTCCGCGACAAGGGCGGCGGGGCCAAACGTAATATTTATGAGCCATTTCGAGGGTATTTTTGGACTAAATAACCGCGGCTTCTTGTTCAGGGGTGATAGATATATAAAAGCGAAATTGGTTTGGAGGCGTTGAGAATTATCAATATAAAAGCGCAACTGCTGATACCTAGACCAGCGCTTTCGAAACTCGATCAACAGGATAAAAGCAGGATTGAATTTCTCTGCATCGACCCTCTCTGTAATTTTAAGAACGATATTGAGCTTGGATACCCACTTGGAAGTGAGTTTGACAGCTACCCAGCTAAATAGCTGCTTTAGTCCGCTGCTTGTCCTCTGTAATTCTCTCTCATTATTGCCTTTTGATATTTGATATCCCCCCACCATTGATATACTTATATTGAGCTTTCAATGGCCTTATTTCCATTCTCTAGTATATCATATTAATCTCTTCGTTTCTGCAGCAGTCGTAATTATGGCAGCGAATGCATCAGGTAAGGGAACCAGTACATCCCTAAACAGATCTTTCCATCCCCACGTTTTCGAGCTGTATCGAACTCGCACCAACATAAATAATTGAGACCTCAGCTCCCGTCCACTATGCCGTGCTTCTCTTCCCAGGCTTCCAGGCCCTGGATGCTTTCGGACCCCTAGACATCCTCAACATCGTAGCTCTAGAGCAAGAGATACAACTATCAATCATCGGGCCAACCATGGACCCTGTTAGCACCAAGTCCCCAATCCCAAACTTCTACACCACCACCTCAACCTCCCACCAATCCGTGGTGCCAACACATACCTACGATGCTCCGCCAGAGAACATCGACGTCATGATCGTCCCTGGAGGATTTGGCACGAGGCACGAAACCATCAAGCCCACCGTCCAATTCCTGATCGAGAGATACCCGCGCATTCGTTACCTGCTTACCGTCTGCACCGGGTCGTACGTGGCTGCACAGGCCGGCATCCTTGATGGCAAGAAGGCGACCACGAACAAAATCAGGTTCGACCTTGTAGCGGCGAAGGCTCCGCAGGTAAACTGGGTGCGGCAGGCGCGGTGGGTTGTGGATGGGAATATCTGGACATCCTCTGGCGTCAGCGCTGGGATGGACGAGATGTTGGCGTTTGTGCAAGAGGTCTATGGGAGGAAACTGGCGGTGAAGGTTGCAACCATCTTAGAGTATAATTGGCATGAGGATTCGACAACGGATCCTTTTGCCAACTCGCCCTTGGTTGAGATGTATGGCGCCGGAGCTGCGGATTGGTATGACTTCAGGGCAGCCACGGCAATTGGAAAGGACAGAGCAAGCAGCCAATAGTCCAGTATGTTTGTGATATTTTGAATCAACAAGCGTGTTAGTATGAAGAATAACATGAAGAATCCCAAGCACACCAAACAGTAAAGGAACATATTGTTATTGAAGAGCTACCGAGAAGTAGCTGTATTCAAAATATCCAATGAGCACCCGCAACTACAACGGCTTTCCGAAATTATATAGAAGGTATATATGTATGTATGTATGTATATGTGGACGGTGATTAAATCCTGCTCTCCGCCGCCATCAGCCGCCTCCTATTTCGCTCCGCAATCTCCATCAACGCATCATACGCCCTCTGATCCTCTCCCCTTAACAACATCTCCCTATTGATAGGCGGAATTTCCGCCACAAATCCATACTTGTCATCAATATAACCATAGCAAAAAGCCCTTCTTCCTCGTCTCCCCGCTGCGCCTCTACGTTCACCCACAACACACCTCCCCCCCCTCTCCTCCTCATCTTCATCCCCACCCAGTAGTAATGCCTCACAACGGCCCGCCTCCCTCTCAGTCCCCTCATTTCTCCGCCAACTCGCCTCTTTAAACTTCACCTTGGCAGGTTCCACGCAAAACTCCACAAGCCGCTCTGGCCCCGCCCTCGCCAGCGCTTCAAACAACTTGCACCACGTATTCCCAACATCATCAGAGAAACATCTAAAAAACTTCACGTGTTCCAAGGACCGCGCATGCCTGGCAAAGAAATCAATTGTGCTGGGAGCAGTAATAAAGCAAGTATCCAGCACCAGCCTCTTCAGTGCCGGAAGTCGCTGCGTTGGAGGCAGAGAAAGGGGACAATAAGCAGGACCGCTGTTTTCGCTGCCAAGCGGCCCGTCCCGGGCTGCAATGTGCAGGGATGTGGCGCTCGATAGATGGTTGAGGAAGTACGTGTCCAGTTTGGAGGTGAAATCTTGATACTGGAAGCAGGTGTTGATGGCATAGTGGCCGATGTTGTCGGCGGTCATTAGACTGAGTTTGAAGGAGTGGAGGGTGCTAAGGAAGTGGTGGAAGGTGGGGGAGAGATAACTGGAGACGGGGTGCATGGGGCTGTTTTTGATTTCTAGGGATTTGAGTATTGGTGGCATAGGAGGGGATTGTAGTAGGCCTGCTTGCGGGGGGGAAGAAGCAGTGATATCAACAACATTCTTGCTAACAGCGTTATAGACGTCGCGCATCAGTGCTCTCCAGGGAGACTGCTCCTCCCACTCGGCGGCACCGTTGTCATCCTCCGTCTCACCGCCTATGGCGTACTGTTCAATGTACCAGTCACTGTCGTGGAAGCGCCAGTGGATGAGGAGGTGATTCAGATTCGGAAAGCGGGAGAGGCTCGACAGGATCTCCGCTGCGGATGTTGGAAGTCGGCATAACTCCGGTATATTGATCTCATTCTCATCATCCTTGTTGGAGTTGTTCTTCCGGTGACCATTTGCGAAATATTCGTCCTCCATTGCCAGTTTCATGGCCCTCGTATCAGTGAACCAGAGCTCTTTGGTAAACAAGATGTAATTCCTCGCGGCGTTGGTCATGCAGCGCAGGATTGAGGATGCTGATGTCTCATTGTTCTGAAGAACGAGTTTCTCGAATGTATACGGGAGAAGAGCCGTATAGTAGAAATTGCATGTCAAGCTGAGGTTGCGGAGATCTCGCTCGAATATGCCTTGTTTCCCGAGAGATTGATTGCGAGTCTGAACATCTAGCTCCTCGGGGGTTTTGTACGATTGGAGGTGCCGGAATATTAGGAATTGTAGCTCTGCGGAGAGGTTTAGGAGGGGACATGCCATTTTCTTGATGAATTTCTTTTCTTGGTTGAATAGAAAACACGCAAACTCGTCCATGCTCATGCTTTCAAGAGATCGTGAGGTTCAAGATACAGAGCCGCCCCGGATTAGCATGGAGTAGAGCAAGTCCATTCAATCTCGTATTACTCCCGCCTAATCTCAACTCGCCCAGCAAGGGCATCACAATTACCACACGAGGAGGATGTACGAGTCAGCAATCTCTCTGTGAGTCTCTGAGCTGAGTTTTAAGAGATATGAAAAGACTATTTTTGAAGAAGTTGTAGAAATTATTTAAAAGCCATATTTACACTGGTATATGACCCTCAATTTTCGTCAGTGGCCACCCTAATATTTTAGTGGCATTCTAACCATCATTCGGGAGGGGGGGCGCGTTCTCAATTATCCTCATAAATAGGATATAGCTTCTCGTTCTTATTATTTCCCCCGTACGTGCCTATACTCATTCTATTATTATCATCAAGATGGATCTCTTTGCTACTCTTGAACCCCCTATTGCACCTCCAGAAGCCCCAGAAGCCCCAGAAGCTCTGGAACCCCCTGCTACACCCCCAAAGCGATTAACCCGCGATCAACATCGAGATATCCTTCTCCTTCGCAGTCTTGACTGGACTTATGAAAATGATGCACTTTGAGGAGTAGTTAGAGCTGCCTGGGATGCTATAACAGTGGAGAAGCTGTAGGAGCTTATAGTAGAGATGCTAGCTCGCTGTTAGGCAGTTAGTTATACAATATGATTTCTACGTAGTCTATGCTATATACAATGATGATGAGAACGCGCTCCAAGCGCGCCAACGCGAGAATGCCACGTAGTTATATCCCCCCGGAATGATGGTTAGAATGCCACTAAAATATTAGGGTGGCCCTGACGAAAATTGAGGGTCATATACCAGCGTAGAGATTGTAGATTTAGCTGACGTGAGACTCGGAGTCCGTAAATAGACCATTGATTTGAGTATAAGATTTCTGGTTTTTTTTTTTATATATTAATTAATTAATGGAAAATCAATTAAATAGTTATCAAGCTATTTCTTATAAACCAGCGGTGATGCCTAACTAACTATATCCAAGGTGTGTGATGTCTATATAAATCTCTACTGACTGGCATTTCCGGCACACTTCTACTCCCCCCCCAGCGCGGGCCGAGCCAGCTGGCCGAAAGCAAGCGAGCAATAATGAACACGTCTAACTGTGTCCGCGCTTCAAAGATAGAATATAAAACCGCCGATGGAGTGTATATGTATTCTCTAGATCTACTACTATAACTAACTATTTGTATGTATATATTCCTAATGATCATTAAAGCCATCTCATCTCAGCTCTATAAATGCTTTGTATAATACACCGATGCCGCATTTAACCGAATAAACGCCAACTTGATACCATGATGAAAGATCTCGGGATGTATCCTTGTTTCGGATAAGCGTATGTATGTAGTGTAGTAGTGTGTGTTATCATCCTCTATTGCTGATGGTTAACAAGAACGAATAAACGATGCCAGGCCATTTATTGGAGGAAGGTCCAGGATATGATGCCGACGAAGGGGCTTGATTTCTTTTCTTTTCTTTTTCTTTTTCTTTTTCACTTGCCTCTCACCACCGCATCAAAGGCGCCGGCGACGTACTTGATGTTGTCGGTGGTCACTATAAACGATGGAAAGCCGGTTGAAGCGAGGCGGTCAGCTATGTGTCTTTTACGTTTCTTAATTTTAAGAAGAAAAAAAGCAAAGAAAAGTGAGAAAAATAAAAAATAAAAAATACTCAGTTACTTACGCCCTGAAATCGACGCTCTCCCCGAGTCAAGCATGTAGATATGATAGTCCTCCGCGAGGGTCTTGATCTGCTCCTTGGTCAGGCCGGTGTACGAGAACATGCCGATCTGATTGATGATGTGTTCCCAGTTGCCTGGCGTGCCCAGACGGCGTAGCTCATCGTACAGTGCGTGTCGCATGGCTTTTATCCTGCTGCTCATGATAGCCAGGTCTTGTTTCCATTCAACAACGTTGGCGGGATCGCCGAGGATGATTGATGCAACTCTTGCACCTGTTTTGGGTTGTTAGTTGTTAGTTGTATTATAATTAATGCTCGTTGGACGCTTTGGCCATAGCCGGATTGGATTGTCTTGTTGCCAAAAAAAATAAAAATAAAAATAAAAAATAAAAATAAAAAATAAAAAAACTTGTTCATTCGAAATACGAAATAACATACCATAAGCAGGCGGCGTCGAAAACTCCCCCCTCTGCAACTCAATAAGCTGGCCCCTAGCCCTCCGCGCCGCATCTTCGCTCTGACACAAGAGATGGAACGCCCCAACCCGCTGCCCATAGAGGCCCAGGTTCTTGCTAAAGCTCTGCGCCACACACAGCTCCATCCCACGGCGGACAAACTCCCTAATCGCCCAGGCGTCATTATCTAGATCCCCCGACGCAAACCCCTGGTACGCCGAGTCGAAGAATGGGAATATCCCCTTCCGCTGACACAGAGACGCAATGGCTTCCCACTGCGCTCTCGTCGGGTCCAAGCCCGTCGGGTTATGCGCGCAGGCGTGTAGCAGGATGATATCACCCCGCTGCGCGCTCGTTTCCAGCGTCCTGATCATGCCGTCAAAGTCGAAGGAGCGGGTTGGGGCGTGGTAGTAAGGGTAGAGAGCGATCTTGAGGGGGGTTCCGGTGGAGCTTGTGGCGACTAGGTTCCAGATCAAGTGGTGGTTTGCCCATGTGGGATCTGATAGCCAGATTCTTCGTGCGGGGCTAGTAGATGATGACGACGAGGAGACGAGACGAGGGAGATGGTCTTTCAGAAAACGGGCACCGAGGTGGTTTGCGCCTGTTCCTGAAATTGTCTGCAAGCTGGCAATGCGGCCCTTTGCGACGGGGCAGTTGGGGCCGAAGACCAGATCCCTCGCCGCGTCCACGAATGGCTGGTATCCTGGGATGGGAAGATATTCATGATCGAAAGTCGGATCGTCACACAGCAGTTTTTCGGCCTGGATTGTCAGGGTTAACAAACACTATTTTTCTTAAATCATGGGAAGCGCATTTTGCTTTTCATTTTCCCCGGCAGGCCTCAGATACCCGCTCAATGGTTAGAGTAACTACATGTACATACCTTTCTCACGATATTTAACCTCCAGCTCTTGGCTTCATTGTCTCTGTACACTCCGGCTCCAAGGCTCACTTTCTTCGGTGAAGTGTCCGCGGCAAATGTTGCCATGAGGGCAAATACCTCATCGTATGTAGGAATTTCCAAAGTGCCGAACAGGCTTTCCTGAGGTACAGGAGCCATTGTTCAGCGTGTTAATTGATATATTGTTGAATTATGTATTAGAAAACAAGCAAGAGAAATCCCAAGCTTTCTTTTTCCGTGTATGAGATTTGGAATGAGTGAAATAAATGAGTGGGAATGGGATCAATTTGCCAATCAGTAGTGAGTGTCAGTCTTCTCCTAAACGCTTCGGAGTCAGACCAGTAGTTAATAGCAGAAAATGGAGTGGAGCAGAAAAAAAAAAATTTTTATATATATAATATACTTCAACATAAAATTTTCCTTCTTCATTCGTTTCCGGCTTCGGCAATTCGGGGGGCGAGATTTGCCCTTATAAGTTTGTAACTGGGGGCCTAGTTATCCAAAAAACTCTCCCAGCGGCGGGGCGCAGAGAACCCTCCCGTACGAGCTATTTCGCGGTCAACACCGGGGACTCCGCGCCTTTTTTAGTCCAAAGGGGGCCTCCGGCGCGTGATCAAGGATATAGATAAGGGAAACATGATAATGATGATATGTGATAGGAGGATAAATAACTTAAATAAGACAACCTCTCCTAGCTTGTTATCAAAAAAAAAAGAAAAAAAAAGAAAAAAAAAGAAAAAAAAGAAGTTCCTTGGGTCGAACTCTAAATGCCGAGACTCGGCTATGACGCCTACGCAGTTATGAGGGCTGTGTTTCAATGTTCGGTGCAAAGGAGCGCATCCGGCTAGATAGCTGGCGATTGAAGTTACAAGTTACAACTAACTTCCGGCTCCCAACAGACAAGTTCGCAACAAGCAACCGGCCTTTATTACTGGTAACATGTACATGTACATACATGTCCATGTACGAGGGTATTTTTTTTGTTCCGTTTATATCCACACTCCCCACCCGCGGAGGGTCCCGCAAGCAGAAATCTCCCCGGTAAGAAATTGGCATCTTTCGTTGCAGTTTTATACGATATATATATATATGTGTGTGTGTGTGTGTGTGTTCCTTGGAAGGTAATAATGTAACTATATGCTCTCTTTTGCGGGGAGCCCGCTGTCGCAGAGAGCCTGTTGGTTACAAGGCTATTAACTACCGGTGTGCAGCGCGACAGAGAGCGCAGCTAATGACCAGAGTTGTGTTCTTCTCAGATGCTACTTGTAACATCACTGAGCAACCATCCTAATCATTTGAGAGCCATTTCGACCGTGAATCATCATTTCGAGTGTAACGATTCTTCGTATCCCTTTTTTTTTTTTGGGAGTTATTTTGGGGTGATAGAGAGAGCCCTTTGTCTCTGGATATCAAAATGAATAATCACCTCGTCTCTACCGGAGAGAAAAGGGGGAAATTGCTTTGTCAAAGAGATCTTGATCCCGTCTAATATTGCTTCGTCGTGCTTGTGTCCCTTCAACATCCTCATTTGAAGTGCCATGTGGATGTGGATGCAATGTATTGTGTACTGCATAGGTTCCGGTCGGGGATGTGAGACCGTTAAACCACATGCGCTCCTTTCAAAACAGCCGCTTGAAAACGGTCATGCTTCCCTCAACTCGGGGCAACTATGCTAGTCCACCCGAGCATTCATTGTCCAGTTTGGTTTGGAATGTGTCGCTCGCTAGTACGACGCTGGTCGCGGTTCACATCAGCACCTATATACAACCGTACTGTGTTTGGATATCTAGTGGGTTGGTTGATATTTTGTCACTATTAAAGTTAGATTACCCTGAGCTTATCACGGAAACAAACCTACACATGTAGCTGAGAAGTAGTAGGAGCAGGCAATTGTCCGAATTCATGTCCTTCATAGTACATAGTTACATAGTAGCAACAGGGAGGGACGAGCAGAAAAGAGAGCGTAGACAAGCCCTAACCCTAAGCCCTAGTTACCCTAGTTACCTGTAACTACCCTTCCCCCCCAGCTGCTATGATATCGTTTCGCAGCTAACTAACTAGTTATACTAGTTAACTAATCAACTAACTTAACTTATCCAACTCCCGACTTTTGAACAATGGCGATCCGACCAGAGCTCCGGGCAAAACGAGATGTATCCTGCCTTCATTTGCATGTCATAAGTTACTGCACGTTGACCCCAATAATAATAATAATATCAAACTCCGCACCGTCGAGTTATTTCCCCAGCTAATCGCCGAATCCCACAACCAATCCGGCCCCGGCTATCCACGGCGTCGAGCTCCATGGACAAACTTCTTCGGCTCTACACCTCCGCGCGCCAAAGGGCGGAGGAGGGGTTACAAGCGGACCAAGTCTATCCAACCAGTTATTATACAGATATTTTAGCAATTATTACCTAATGGTAAGGGAGCTCTGCCAAGTTCCCGGCAATGATGATCAAGAAGATGATAACCGGGCGGCAACTTCGGCGGTCATTCTGCAATAATAATAATCATCATTTGAATCTATCTCTGGCCGATAGGTTGTTTCTCGGAATATACCCCCTCCTACTTACTATCTCGTACATACATGCCTAGATATGCCGCATTCCAAGTAAATGCTGATGCGCCGGGAACCTCATCCCTTCCCTCATACCCCCCAAGAAACAGCCGGTATATCCTGCCCGAACCGGGGGGGGGGGGGGAAGGGATTGAACTGACCACCGGAATGGTGGACTAGCTCACTTTGCTAAAGAAATACAGGTGGATAAATGAGACTCTCATCAGTTTATATTATAACAATCTTAAGAAAAGCTAGGTGTGTATGAGAAGTAAGAACGGAGGATAGGTTGGTCCTACACTATCAATCGTAGCTCCCGTTAGTTGTTGACAATTGTTTCTATTTATAATAGTATGTATGTATTTAAATTTGGCAACAGCCGAAATCAGCATGAGCTGGCTTCACACTGGCGATATGATTGAAAAACTGCTTATTTTACATGCATCAAGGAATGAAAATGAACCGACATGATACCTCATATGCCTGGCAGCCAGCTGTGACATTTAGAGGCCGAAACGCAATATTCAAAAGGATAAGAAGGAATGGAATGCGAGAATAGAACAGGTAGAAAATAGGAAGTCTCCGAGAAAAGATGGATGTAGTTATAAACGATTGAGAGCAGCGTCATCGCTCACGGCAGCCACGGGTGAAGAACCTGACTGAGCCACGATTTAATCAAAAGAGCCAAAAAGACAAGAATGTTAGATGAGAAAATAAGAGAACAAAGGGATGTGTTCCGTTCCAAATTCAAATAAAATAATATACCTACAAATCAGGCAGTGCCAAAGTGCAGCTCAAAAAAAAAAAAGAAAAAAAAAAAAAAGAGGAGGAGGAATTATACAAAAAAAATATTAAAAAAATCAGTAGAATCAATAGACAGGCCGCACTTCGTCCCACTTCCTCATCTCCCTAATACCACCATGCCCACCAATGGTGGCTGCACCATCCTTCCCCTGATGAGCTTCCCCGACAACTCCACTCGTTTCTTCTGAAGACAAAGAAAAGCGTACTTTAGCACCAACACTACTCTCCCTCCTTTTCTTCACAGCACTATCCCCACCAACACCCCCAATCCCCCCGACCCACTCCCAAACCCTTGATACATCTCCCGCTCGCCCCTCCCTTACCGACGCGCGAACATTCGCATTCCCTTCCACGAAGCTCCGCACCCGCTTCCACAACCTCTCCCGTCTACTACCCTTCAACTCATCCCGCAGCACGTCATCGCGCAACTGGCCAATAGAAATCCACGATTCTAGAGCCTCGCCGCGAGCATGCAACGCCGCCTGCGTCGCGAGGCGGTCTAGGGTCATATTCACTAGCGAAGGGATGCGCGCAGCGTCGGAGCGGCGCGCAAGCACCTTCGAACGTGCATATGCCGCTACAGCGACCAGGAGAACTAGAAAGAAAATAGGGAATCGATACGCGAAGAGAGAGAGGCGTAGATGCCGTCGGAAGGCGCAGCTGAGTGAGAGATGGGAGAGTGATGTTGAAGTGTATGTGACGCTGTCGGACGGGCTGTGTTTTCGTGAGGGGTGCTGTTAGTCGCGTTAAAATATGTATGTCAGACATAAGAGTAATTTTGTAAATGAAAATAAAATATAATAAATAAAGATAAATCAAAGAAGAGAAGGTGGAATATCAGTAATAAAATATGGAGGCCTGGCAGCCACTTTTCTGCGCATAACCCGTTTATCCCATAATCGAGCATTTGACTCAGATTCCCAGCAATTCATGACAAAAACAACACATAACTAAAATAAAAAAAGAAAAAGAAAAAGAAACGAAAAGAAAAAAAAAAAAAAAATATTCCTTACCTTTGGGTAGAAGTGACAATCTCGTCACGACTCGTTATTTCACCAATAGCTCCTCTCCAAAGCTCCTCGAACTCCTCCTCACTCATTCCCTTTCTCTTTTTCTTGTTCAGCTCATCCTTAAGCTCAGATGCGGTCATCCCCGGAGACGGTACTTCAGTTCCATCCGCTTTGTCCGGTTCGCCGCATTCCCACTTTGCCCTTCGCTCTCTCAGCGCATCAATAGCTCTATCAGCAACCGATTTTATGCGACGAACTTTCTCCCCATCAGGCTCGCAGGTGGGTGGGAGCGGAACTAAACCTCCAAGAGACAAGGGGTGTGGTTTCAGAACGAAATCTTGCTCGCATCTAACATCAAACTCTGGGTAGCAAAATGCATGCGGAGGGCAAGGTTCACACTTTGGTTCCAAAACCTCCGCCCACTCTGGCACTTTGGTATCGGCTAGCGACCAGTGAGGCTTCCCTACGCCGCAATAGCCAATCTCAATTTTCTCCTTGCGCCACCATACACCAAATCCACCCAGCAGCGAAAAGATCACCATCCACGGGGCAGCTTGACTGAGCTTTCCCTGTTTCCGCGCTTGTCGCCGTCGGATAACGGAGGTCCGGCCCCCTTTGGCTGCTGCCTGCTCTTCGGCCAAAGATTGCCACTCATCAGGAGTAAACTCTTCTCCAGGCTCTAAAACGCCATCTTCATCCGATTCTTCAACCTTCGGAGTTGAGAATCGAGGAACATTCACTTCAAATGTTGGCTTTGATGGAACCTCCACATCCTCCTCTTGCTTTACTTTCACCGGCTCCGTTTTTCTCATTCTCCGGCCATAAGTGTCTGGAGGCTCAGTTGAATACCTTGTGCTGCTTCTGCGCTTTCGCTCAATACTTACTGTCCTAGCACGAGCATGGTGTTCGGCTTCTATCGGAGAGCTTCCACTCTGGAAGGGATTATCGTCAGTGAAAACACCCTCGTCTCGAACCTTGTGTTTGGATGGAGTAGGTAAAATTTCGGAGGCCGCTGAGGCTCGAGGAGTGGAGGGTGTTTCGCTCTTCCGCGTTTTCCGAGATGTAGATCTCCGTGGTGTTTCTTCTATTGAGCCCAGGTCTTCCCCCGTTTCGGTATCGGATTGTCGGGGGTGTTTTGCCGTTGTCCTCTGTCTTCTAGAAGTCGAATGTGGTGGTCGCTGCGAAAGAGCACTTTCGTCTGTCTCAGCTGTAGATGCCCTCGTGCTGGTTCTGGATCTACCCCTCCGCGATGTAGCCGGCGTAGATGGTGGGGCAATTGATTCTCTGCCCTGATCCGCATCCTTGCCCTCCAATGATGCTCCATTTCTAGGCATGTTGGTAATGCCCTTACTAGTTCTCCTCACTCGGTCACGCTCCCGTAGCAATTTTTTAGCATGTGGGAGCACTTCGTTTTCCAGAATTTCAATAAGCTGTGCCTTTTTCGCAGAGGCAGGGTAGGAAACATCATGGTTAACGAGTATCGAGCGGATGCGCGGAACAGTTAGGGAAGTAAGATCAAAATCTGGGCTGAGGTACGCAAGCTCATTGTTGCTCTCTGAATCTGAAGCCATGATGGGAAGGGTGTGTAGCTTCTGCCTGCCCGCTGCGGTGCAGGACAATTATTCGCCCGAGAGGGGAAAAAGTAAGAGAAACGTGGAGTAAACGGCTCAATCACATCTGTGGAAAAAGGATTGCACTGGTTGGCCTGCGGGACTTGCCTCTTCCAAGGAAGCAAAAGGCCGATGGCTGAAAAGTTTGACCTGGACAACAATGAGCATTTGCTACTGGTATCCCGGGCAACGGCAAGAGGATAGGTGGGGTGGAGAGGCCAAGGTGTACTACTCCGTACAGCAGCATTGAACAGGGGCTAAATCAAATACATACCCCAGTCATAAATAAAGTCAGAATCGCGTAAAACTGCGTCCTAGGTGTTGGTAGGTGTTGGGTCAATAATGAGGTGAGATGGACGGGTGGTTCCAGGAAGTTGACAAGGTCTCCGTTGTTGGCGAAGGCAACAAAACAAACATGGACGAAGCGCCACAAACAGAAATATCATGTGACTCACGTCATCCTTTCAAAATTTCCTCCTTATGATAAAGGTATATATATAGCGTATACAAAAAAAAACATGGTCAAATACATTGTAATAAATAAGCTAAAGATTACGGCTAGTAGGTTACATATTATGGCCTTGATCTTGAAAAGTACATGTCAACTCCAGGCTTAGCAACCAAGCAGAAGACTTGGGAAGTTAAGATAGTGAGGTAAAACATGTTCTCAATTATAAAAATAAGGAGTAATACTACGGCATAAGGATGGCCCTGAAAAATAAAATCCAAAAAGAGTAGAAAGCAAAAAAGGAAAAAAGCAAAAAAGGAAATAAAAAAACCAGAAATTTGTTCCGTTACCCCCAGACCCAAGATTATTTGAACAGTTAATGGACATCAAGTCATTATGAACCAATAGGCAATTTCACCGGACGTAAATAATAGATAGACAAGAGATCCAAAGAATAAAAAAGTCGAACAGTGGGCAAATCCGACAAATCCAAAAGATAAGTTTACCAGTAAACTAGAACATAAGAAGACGAACCGCAAAGAAAAGAAGGTAGATAAAATGGCGCTAGAAATCAAAGTAATACAGGGAGGCAAAATGTTAACTAAAAAAACCGCAAAGGAAGGCCCAACCAACTCCGCACACCTTGCAAATTCAATTGGCTTCGAAAAGGAAAGAAAAAGAAAAAGAAAAGAGACGGAGGGTAAGAATAAAATAAACATATGGAAAAGAGAAGAATAATACTATTAGTAATGCATTTCCCCATTTCCCCACCCCTAAAAAAAGGGGCAAGGGAAAAACGAGAATGAAGTTATGCAGTACTTGAACCAGAGCTACCACCAGCAAGCATGTCAGATACCGCTGATGAGCTCTGGCCAGCACTCTTCAACACTGAGACAGCCGCATGTGGAACTTGATGGCTGACCAGGGAAGAAGGGTCGATTTGCTCCTTCAGAGCCTTGTATTCACTCAGCTGCACCTGCAACTCACCCAAAATTTCCGCCATGGGGACGGCGATGTCTTTCAGGGAGTTGGCGCGGTTAAATGGTCTTATCATGTGTCGGATCGTAAGGGTATTTGCGCATGTCTGGTGTTTTTGTTTAAAAGAATATTAGTAAAAGACCTTTCTGTGGTGGTTAAAAGGAGACAAGGGAGGGAGGGGGAAAACTAACCTCAATTCGCGTAACCTGATGCTCTATCAAGTTTAAAACTAGCGAATCGGTGACTTCTCCAGGCCGTTCCCTGACGGCATTTAGCAGGCTCATTTCCGGCTGTCGTATACCGACCTCGCCGAAATTTTCCAGCGCGCTGCAGAACGCTTCCAGCCGCAGAGCGACGGTCCACAAGCGCCAGACAAGGCTCGCTTCGATGGTGAGATGTTTGTCCCTACCTAGAGCAATGGGCAGAGTGTCCGGATCATCAATTGACTCGCGGGGCGCGTTAAGACGGCCGGCAAGGGAGTGGGGATACATCAGGTAGACGAATTCGGGGTTTTCAAGACCCTTCAGCTTCCGCTCACCCATGTCCTTCACTTCAAACCCTTGTGTGCTGAGTTGGTACAGCTCACGACGGATGCTGTTGCTGAGGTAATCATCGAAGTACGCACCCTCAGAAGAGTCGATGGAGGAGGCCCGATCATAGTCTGCAAAGGTCTCAAGGTTCCGTTGGATCTCAGCGACGAAATCAGCGGAAACGAATATTTGACCGCCATCCGCGACGGCGGAAATTCGAGAGGCACGGTTCACCATTGGGCCGAAGTAATCCATCCGACCTGTCACCGGATCCTTCTCACACACCGGTGTTCCCCAATGCACACCCATTCGCACAGATAAACCACGGTATATGATATTATCGTCCGAGTCATACTGTGGCCTGCAAGCAGCAGATTCCAAGATTTCTGTGGGCCATTCTGCCTCGAGAAGCTGGCTTTGGCACGTGAAGCACCAGAGCAATGCGGCAGTTGCTGTAGAAAAGGACACCATGAAAGCATCTCCTTCTGTCTTCACTTCAAAGCCGCCTATCTGAGCCAGCTGCCGGCGGAATAGGTCGTTATGGATTTGAATAGCAGAGCGCATAGCAACGGGATAAGTCTCCCAGAGCGATGTTGATTTCTTGATATCGGTGAATATAATGGCCAACTCACCAGTTGGGGCTTCTACGCGGTCCAAACGTGCTAGCCTCGAGTCGCTTGGGGCGCCACGTTTCTTGTATTTGCTCGGCGGAGGGAATATATGGTCATCGCCCAAAGGAGACGGGCCCATTGACAGACTGGGGGTTCTCAACTTGGGACGTTCACCTCGGCGTTTGAGGTCACTGACACCAGCAATCATCACCATGATTTTATTTGTCGCCCCATAAGCAATTGCCAGGTCACGAAGCTTTTGAGACGCTCTCATCAAGTCTGCACGTTCCGACCTTGCAACATCGACAACAAGGTCTGGAGCGACGTAATCCCACAACTCGCCCGAAGCGAGAATAATCATTTCATCCTGGGTGGTCAATGTAACTTTGCGCGTACTAGGGGCCGCGATGACCGCGGGCACCATGGGATAATAACCAAATGCCCGAGAAACAGAAAGTTTATCATTCAACTTCCCATTTCGAGAAACGAAACCACCAGCTTCCCGAATACGTTCACGCTCCCCCGCCTCAGCAGGATCGTGGTTGCGAGTCAAGAACTTGAAATCGCCATTCGAATGCACAAGCACCGCCTGGGCATCTCCGACATTCGCAACGAACAATTCCATATTTTGCAAGTACACGATAGTCGCCACACCACCAGAAGTGTAGTCATCCGGTGTGAGCAGCTTGCTGGAGGGCGGACCAGCACGATCCAAATGACGTTGCTCACGCTCATCCATGGACCGTTGAGCAGCCGTAGCTATATCCTTATTGAGGCTCAAAAATGTCCTTCTCAATGCATCGAGCGGTGTTTCACCCCCGCCGGTTCGAAGTTTCTTCAGCTCGTCTGTAAACGTACTTGTGAAGTGCTCTTGTAGGTATTTCGCGATCCTCGACCCACCATTGGGCGAAGTATGGCCGTCGAATAAACCAAGAATCGTTTCGCAATTATTTCCCCTAAACCGGGTAACCAGCATGTCGACCGTTGATAGATGTTCGTTTCGCCCGAGTGTATCCGCCATACCGTACGTAAGAGATCCAGATAAGGATGCTGAGGTTCGCACTCGCCTATCCTCCGTTTGATCGGGAATGGTAGGAATGGTAAGTGTGACATCCATCAACCCAAGGACTCTAAGATGATTCAATGAATTAAAGTTCGTCAAATCTGTGCCATGGCCAGTTGGACTCCCGGATGCATAAGAGGTGGTAGGTTTGATCTCGAAGCGCTTGTTACCCGAGAAATTAAGGTACTTCAAGTTGCGATTCCAGTTCCAGTTCCAATCATACGGCCAATTGGAAACATTATACTTGAGCGAATTGCTCCCAACATCCAGAACTCCAAGTCGGTTCACCTTGCAAAGCTCCGCGGGTAGCACCTGGAACTTATTGGCATTTAAATGTAGGACCTTTAGGCTACTCGACTCCTCAAGGTCATCTGAAGGAAGCCAACTTAACTGATTTCCTGAGACAAACAGCTCAACAAGGTGCTGCCAACGCCTGAGAAGGCCCTGCGGAAGCTCCGTCAACTCGTTGTACGACAAGTTCAAAATGCGAAGCTCCCCGAGGAACACGAGCTGCTGGAATATATCATCTTCAAGCTGATTATCAGCAAGATATAGCTGTCGCAGGGATCCCGCAAATGTAAGTGAGATTCTTTGCGAGAAACTAGAATCCTTTCGCGAAGACGCTTGATCCGTCGGAGTGCGAGACGCGATAGAAGACCTCCTTGCAGCAGATGCAGGGTTGTTTAATGAAACAACAGAGCCCTTTCTGTTTGTGTGGGAGCCAGCCGGTGAGCTCCCCACGCTCAGAAGGCCACCAGACGCATAACTTGGTCGTCGAGTTTCGAAATCCTCCAGCTTTCCAAGTTCTTCGAAATCCGGCGATGACAAGCCAGGAGTGGTTACAGGAGTTCCACCATTTACAGGTAATTCGTTGGGGGGAATGGGAGGGGAGTCACCAATTTTCGGAAAGGAATCAAGTAGGTTGGAAGAAACATTTAGGGTTTCTAGTTTGCAGCAGTACCACAATTCCTCAGGCAGTACGCTGAGATTACATTCGCGGAGGTTAAGGTTCTTTAATTCCTGTAAACAACCAATGGACGGCGGTAGGGTTGATAACGGATTTTTCGCAATGCTAAAATGCTCGAGTTTTCGTAGAGTTCCGATATAAGGAGAGAGGGTAACGAAATGATTCTTGTTAAGAATGAGTTTAGTCAGGTTCGGGATATTGGCGAAGAGAGAGTCCTTGAATTGAACAAGCTTGGCCGACGCAATATTGAGTGTGGTGAGAGTCGGAACCGGGCTGGTTATATCAAACTCCGTGACGGGACAATGGTCAAGGGTAAAAGTGCGAAGCTTTGGGAACATCCCTGAAAATGTAGACACGGCATTATGTCCAATCATCAAGTGCTCCAGGTGAGGAAGCTGAGTGATGCTATCTATACTGGTAATGCTGTTGAATCGAGCGTCTATCTCTTTGAGATTCACAAGATCTCTAAAGGTCTCGTCCAACGGACCATGTAGTCCATTGTTAGTCACCCACAACCGTTCGAGCGTTGTTAGTTTTCCGATATTCGGCAATTCCGTAATTTTATTAAAACTGATATCCAGGTCAACCAGACTCTTCAAATTGCACAAAAACTCCGGGAAACAACTGAAACTGTTGGACGAGATATTCAGGCTTCGTAACAAAGGGAAGTCTCCGAAATTTGCAGGGAGCGTGGACAGCTTATTATTCGTCATTTTCAAGCTTATGAGTCCGTGGAGTTTGTGGAGTTCCGCGTGATCTAGGTCCTCAAGTCGATTGTTGGATACGTCTAGGTAGGTAAGCCGAGTCGCTAGGTTTAGACTTGCTGGGAGGCGCCACGCCTCATTTCCAATATATTTCACTTCACGGAGGTTGATGCAGGCTTGGATGAAATCTCTCGGAATGTCCAGTGCTAGATTCCTTGAGAGATTCAAGGATATGATCTCACTCGCTCGTTTGTGGAGAGGGATAGGGAGGGTTATGAGACTACGGCCAGACAGGTCAACGTGGCTAAACTTTTGACTCTCGTTGATGCCCAGATCTGTGTCAAGACTGGAATAACCTGAAAGTTTAGTTGGCAAGAAGGTGAAGCGACAAAGATAGCTATTATCTTCCCGACCAACATCTGCTATTCGGTCGGACGGTTGATAGCCTGCCTGCTCGAGCAATCTTTTCTGCATGAGAATGGGCCTCTCGCCATAGTCAAGTGTTCTTGAAAAATCGTTCTTCCGGAAAACGATGTCGTAGTTGTTTAGTTCATCTTGCAAGAATGACTTTCGGCCCAGCATTTCTAATATTTCCGCCACGGTAGTGTTGAGGGTAGCCGAAAGAGTCGTGAAAGTCGAGTCGATGCGGAATATACGGACACAATACGGTCGCCCTTCTTCATCCACTGCGATACCATCATCGGGTAACTCAGGAAGTCGGGACAGGATATCATCCTGTGCCTTTCTCACCGCCCAACTCTCTGGAGCGTGCCAGTCGCCGGCAACGTGAGCGTCGAAGGGATTCTGAAATTCCTTCTTGTTCTTCCTCTCTTCAGGTTGTGACGGGCCAGTGTATATACCACCGCTATCAGTAGGTGATATAGGGTGGGGTTGCGCGACAATACCAGAGAGGTTTGACAGGTCAGTGTCTAACTTCCAGATCCGATCTTCTTCAAAGGTATTACGTCGATTTTTGTCATGATACTTGTGTCCACCATCATGACCAAAGGGGAACCGCGGGTGACGAAACTTGGACGCCCCTTTTCCAAGGTTGTCTTTCTTGCGGTCAGAATCAGACATTTCCCATGGTTTGGGGTTTGTGACACTATCGAAGCTAGCATTCCGGACCCGTCTGGCTGGGGAATCATCCCGTCTTAAAAACTTAGCTCCCTTGGAGCTCCCCTCGTGAACAGCCTTTGAAGAAGCCGGTATATGTCGAAGGGAGCTCGCAATAGGAACTTTTGGATGGCGTCGTATCTTTGTGAAGAACGATCGTTTGTTAGATGATCCCCCAGGTGATCTTTGCCCATGTCCGCTGCGTACACTTGGCGAGGGGCTAGTCGAGCGTGCACCGAATGTGCCCGAGGAGCTAGTCGGGGATAGAGCGCCGTTTTTTAAATAACTGAACGCTGGTTTGGGGTTCTCTTGATCAGAAGACCCGAAAATATGCGGAAATTCGGTCCCCAGATATACTGACTTCTCTTCTCCGCTCCGAGAATGCCGATGTCTGGCGGTTTTTTTACGGCGACTATCTTTATCTGGGTTTTGCTCCTCTGTCGTGCCGGTAAAACGCGCAAGGTCCGGATCCGTGGGGTCCCCGTGTATCGGTAGATCCCCGTAGTTTGATATGTCCTAAAGGGTCAAGTTAGCATAATTACTCTACCACGAAATCGTTGAAAATGTTGTAGGTCCTCAAAAGGGAGTAGTATCCCTAGGAAACCCGAAACTTTTGAGGCATAAGTGTAACATAGCTAAGTGTTAAATGTGGATGGGGAAAGAGGATTCTTCAACAAAGAAACAAAGTAAGAGGCATTCCAAGCATTCCCAAAAGGATGTACGCTCGTGACCGTATACAAAAACAATCATCTGAATGATATGCTCAAGATTTGTGGAGAAAGAAACGACGAGGGCCTGACGTTTGAAAGGGTTCTTATTTCGCAGAAAAAGGAACATTGCGTGCCAGCTTACATTAATCCGTTGATACATCCAAGGGGCAACATCACTGGAAGGGACAGCGGTGCGTGGTCGAGGGCCATCACCACCATGGGGAGAGAATGAACGCGTTATAGGATTGAGGGAATGGGTAGAGTTATTTCTTTCACGGACCTTGGGGGGATGGGAGAGGGCCGAATCCGACATATTGCCCTGATCCTCTCCAAAGAAACGCTGCAGGCGTTTGTGGAACCGACCAGTACTGTCTTTGGATCCTTGGCTGCTGACGGTCGTGGCACTAGCAGCAGACGGTCTGCGATGGTCCTGATCCATGGGGTCGTCAGGAGAATCAGACCCGCCGGTGCGGGCGGTGGCAGCAGGGGGGAAGGCGGGGGAAACTTCTTGGTCGGAACCGTCATTCAGGAACGTTCCTGGCGCCCCGCTCGGTTTCAACGCGTTTCGATCCAATGATGGAGGTGGCGTCCATGACGGCGAGCGCCTACGCAGAGGAGGGCGAGGAGGATCTGGGAAATACGGCGGGGGATAGCCCGCCGCCCCAAGGAGCGCAAGGGTTTTTCTATGGCTTGAAAAACCCGACCTCATGTCGGTTGGGGATATGTCGGGGGAATATGACCGGCGAGAGCTACTCCTGACGCTCCTGTTACTCCTTGAGGATGATCGGTATTTGGAAATTGGTCGTAATCTGAGATACAGGTAATCGTCAACACAAGCCCTTCCCTCATACCGGTCAAAAACAAGAGGAACAGTCACACAGATAGAGTTCAGCAATCTATCCATATCGAAATAAATTGCTTCCCTCAGATTCTATATCAACGGAACTAAAAGTACTAAAACATACCTAGGCTCCTGGCCCGACGATCGCACAGGAGTTGGGCGAACGTCCGCAGGGCCCTGACCTTGATCATGACTCTGACTCCCCTGTCTCGCGGTATCATGGGATCGCCAACTACCAGTACTCGAACTTTCCGAACCTTGCCTTAGTTCCCGATCTCTCGTCCGCTGGCGTCTAGCCATGGTGGGCGGAAGGTATGGCTGGTGCAGGCCAGGCGAGAGCAGGGAAAAACTGTTCTAGTGACCGGAGGTTGAAAGCATTCGCTCTCCTCAAGCTCTCCAGCGATGCGGGCGCACTTGGACCATTCGATGGGTTTATTAGCTTGTCAATTTTGGGAAAAGCAGATCGTCAGGGCGGAAGGGTCGCGATTCTAAAATCAGAAAATCCCAGGTCGAGTATATATTTAATAGAGACAAAGGAGGAATTAAGTTGGGGTTATGTATCGTATCTTAAATCTCGTTGTCGCAGAACTGGCTGAGGCGGAACAAGTGAATAGCTTCATTGGTCTCAGAAGGACGACGTGGCGGGGGCCAGGATAAGCGATGACGGGTAAGAATGGGGAAGGAGAGGAAGGGATATTGAAAATCGCAGTCCAGGGCTAGACCATTACTGTTATCGCTATTTCGTAGACCGCGTCCATCAAATGCATGGACATCCACAAACAGGGAGACATAGACAGTCAAAGCCAGAGAGGCGGCGAAGGGGGGGAGAGACTGAGCACGGTTGTTAACCACCTAGTCTCACATCAGTAGCTCCTCACCAGCCCAACTAAGCGCAATGACGACACGTGCAAAGCAGGTTTGCAGCACTGGAGAAGCCGAATATAAGCTAACTGTAGCCCGCTTGATATATCACGACCGTAACTGGTGATAGTTGATGGGCGGTCGTTGATGGCGATGGTTGAGGCTCTGTCCCTATCAGCCTCGTTCCGTTCCGGTCAGTTTGCTTGGTTTGGCCATGGGATGGGGGGCATAGAGTTGAATGTGGTGCCAACAAAACTCATTGTGGTCCCAACTCGGGCCGGAAAAACAGCTCAGGGTGGTCCCAACCTGATTTCAAACTTTGGATCCATGGCAGCACCCCATTAAAACTAAATACACTAGACATTTCAAGCTCATCATCTCTATCTACACCCCTTACAATATTGAATTTTCATATTTTTCAAAAGACTCTAGCTTTCAATTCTAATTCAATTATGAACTCTCTAACATAGACTTCTACACTAAGAAAGAAGATTGAGTGCCAATGAGGAGGGATCGTAAAAGAGTTAGTGTGGATTAGTAATATGTGTGTATTATGTGTGAGGTGTGTACGTAGTAGTGAGTGTGCATTTTAGAGAGAGCACTAAAGTTAAATATGTGTCCAGAAAAGTGGGTCAAAAGTTGGCACCACAGTCAGTTTTGTTGGCACCACATTCAACCGTAACCGCGTGGCCATATGGCATGCGGCTCAACCGCCGTTTTGGCTGACTAACTCCATTCCGCTAGTCCTGATGGGGTTGCTGGTGTCTTGGCGGTGTAGTTACCACGTTTTGGATTAGTCATCCCTTCCCCCGCGCCCAGCGAACACGACGATGTGGGAGCTGTCTGCGCTGAGAGATTGAGAGAGCTCTTAAGGGCTATTCCAGTGCTAGCCTTACTTTACCCTCTATGCCGACGACTTTCTTCTACCAGGCGCTGGCTGGTTCCTTGGTTTGTTGACTGTGGTTGGCAGCTCTCCGGAGCATCTGATGCACTTTCTCCGTATCTAATCAATTCCTGGTTGTCTGTTTGTGATTGAACCAAAGAAACCCTCAATGCTTTCAATTCCACGGGGAGAGTTGTACAGCGTAGTATATATATATATATATATATATTGGTATACCGCTTGATGATAATGACCCTCCATAAGAATATGGTTTGTACGTGACAGGAGTATCTGTAATGATCCTCTGATCCTCTGAGATGATTAAAAGCATTCCAAGTAATCCACCATGACAGTTTTTATTTCCTTTGTATTCTATTATTCTTAACTCCCAATGCAATACTAAGTTGATAATTCCTCAACTAATACTCTAGCCAGTACGGAGTAAATTATCTAGGTATAGTCGGCGGGAGGGTATAATCTTGGTTATCAAAGCATGGTTGTGAAAAGCTCATCCATTTAATTAGAAAAGGAGAGAGAAGAAAGGGAAAGGAAGAAACAAATAAAGGAAAAAAAGCCTCCATGATCAAAGAGTCAATCAGGACAGAGCCCAGAACGCCAGTGAATACGATGACGACGACGAAGGAATAACGACGCTCAAATTACATGCAGAGAAAAAATCAATTTGCTGCTCTCAAAAGCATAAAATGCCATATAGAGCGCAACACCCCCCCCCCATTTTCCTTTTTGAATAGGCCACGGAGAAAGACACGAAGAAAGAAGAGACGAGAAACGCCATCATCTCCTTATCCTCAATCCATAAGCTCAACAGGCGGTCGAGCCGTGTGCGCTATAATGCGTTTGCTCGATCCGGCACTACCAATGTCCATATCTATCTCAGTATCAGATACGCCACCGCCAACCGTCGTATCCTCCACCATGACCGCGGGCAAATGCGGGCTACTGCCATGGTATTCTGGGTCGTAAATGAGCGTACTGCTGCCGCTGCGCTCTCGACCGGTGGCCACTGGCCGGGTATATGTTGAGCGCAAACGCGCGCTTGATCCTTCCTGGTCGCTTCCGTGCATGTGCACATCCGAAGATACGGAAACAGGGGTATCAGGGTCATGTCCCGCACCGCAGCTCTCAGAGGTCATATTCATATCACTATCAACGTCTGGGGCTGCTGCCCCAGTCGGCGTCTCGAGCCTTTGCAATGCCTCAGCCAGGTCAGCTGCGTGCACTTCTTTATTGGGCGGGTCTTCATTGCGCATCATCCAGCCGTGCGGAGGGCTGGGCGGGGGACTGATGAAGAATAGCTTCTGTGACTTGGGAGCCTCGAGGAGGTTTCGTCTACGGCCCTCTTCAGCGTCTTCCACGGGGGTATTTTCACCAAAGTAAACTCTGGCACGGACATTTTTGCCTAAGATGGCTTCGCCGTCGAGGAGCTGGCGGATTCTTATAGCGGCGGCGATGGAGGTGAAGGAGCAGACGATGCGGCGGAGGGAGGGGAGCGGGGAGAACGAGTTCAGTGGGGTTATGCGAGATATTTGGGCTTTGATGGCGTCGAGGGAGGAGGGCTGGAAGAGGGATAGATCGTGGAGATCAGTTATTAGGAGGGTGTTTGAAGGCGGGGAGGGTTGAGCAAGGGGAGGGAGGTTTGAGAGATCGAGGGAGAGAGCTTGTCGTTCCGGCCTGGAGCGGGAGGTCCGTTTTGCGGTGGCAGAGGAGGAGGCCTCTGGGGAGGAGGAGAAGCACGAGCCTGGTGTTGGGGGTTGCGGCAACATGTTCATTGACACAATCCAGTATTTTCTTTTCGAACGTTGGTATCGAGAATGTATGGATTTTGGGGGGGAATGGAGCTAAATAGATATTAATAAAGAAATATGAGGCGTCGAAGTGGCTACAGCAGATGTTGTTGTCGTAAATAAAGCTGGCAGCTTCCTCAACCCGCCAGAATTGATTGATATAATAGCAGGGTGCAACAACCAACCCACTGTAGCTAGCTGTGGCAAGAGTGGAGTTGAAGATGGCCCAACTGAAGTTATTTAGTTGTTTTAACTTATTTACTGGGGCGAAGCAGACGGGACTCGGGCGAAACCAGCCGCAGCAGTCTCGAACTCAACCTCAACGTTAAAAATAATGACATTTATTTATTATTGATTTCTCTCTCCGCAACAGCCTGACTGGCCAGCAAAAAGGAAAAAGGCGCAGCAGCAGCCCACTACCAGATTTTTCACAGATCCTCTCCCCCGAAGGCAAACCTCCGACACCGCTGGACTACCCGCGCTGAGCCCCAGTGATGGCGTGACGGGCTTATTCTTATTTATTTGCAGATGTAATCCGTACTGTGTACGGAGTAGTCCGTATGTACTCACTCCTCAACCAGTCTGTCGAATAAAATTGGCCCGTGGAGTTGGCTAAATATCTCCGCAAGACATCGCCCTGAAACACCCACTCTTGCAGTCTTGCCAGGTTGCTCTCGGGTTCCAAATGAGTATTTATTTATACAGGTCGCTGAGCCTCGTTCTTCTGCCAGCTGTTGGGTTATTATTGACGAAAGAAGGGTTTTCCCGGAACTTGTCAATGCTATCTATCTAGTTAGTTATTATATACTCCGTATATTAATATGTACAGACATACCCTACCTGGGCTTCGCTTCTCCAGTGCTCGTGGATCCAAACACCGCCCCCAACAATTGAGTTACACGATCAAACGGTGATTGACTACGAATGATTGGATTGCCCTCCTCCACTCTACTACTCGTTTTCTGCCCAAGGTTGGATCGAGACAGTTAGACACCGAAGCTTGCCGGGAGACTCGAATGGCCCTTCGAAAAGCCTAGAACCCCTGAGCTGCTGACCATCATGCTGCATAAAACTCATCTCATCGCATAGCTCACTCGTTGTTGCCGAGTTCTCACATCTTTCTTTCCGGTAAAGAGGAGAGCAAGACATAACATATGGATGGCATCTCCGACTCCGGCAAGTTTCAAGGCCGATTCCCTCCAAAAAACTCTCTCGTTTCTCCGTGAAGCTCTCTTTTCTCCCTCCCTTTCATCTAATCTATACACGAATATCTATTAAGGCGGAGAAATTTTAAGCTCTGTTGTGAATTTTTCGACTGCTGCGCCTCGAGAATCCTGGATATACAATATTCATCCTCTGCCCATGCGACCATCCCCACAAGTCTTGACCCCTTAATGCTATCAAGCCATTCTTTTCTTTTTTTTTTTTTTTTAAAAAAAAAAGAACTAAAGAAAGAATAAGAAATTTAGCAGGAGAGCTTTCACGCCGTTGGAGATTACACAACTTTCTTTCACCCCAAAGCTCGGATGATATTTCCGCCCTGGTCGTCACACAACCAGCAACCTTGTGGGCGTTCTTCCTCGTTTATACACCCATGGTGTATACTTCTTACTACCAGGTTATGCTTCACTTGGTTACAATCGTTTTTCCTCGCCGTTGTACCGCATCGCAGCTCCTCTAATGAGTGCGTTCGGGGGTTCCTCTGTCATTGAGTGTCCCGGAGCTTCTCTGCGGCTGTCGTTACACGGGGCTCTAATGGGCTCGTACAAGCGCCTTCTGCTACAAAAAGAAAACCAGAATCCACTTTGAACAGGCCCTTACTCGCTTGTATCCACCTTATTCTTGGTGGGGACTTCCGGGCAAATTGAAATGATGGCCGAAATCCCCTTCTCTAACCGAAAATTCTCCTTCCTGGAATACCTGATATCAGGTTCTTGAGAATTTTCTCTTCTGATGAAGAAGCATGAAGCTCGATATCCTGGTTCCAGCTACCTGGTAAGGGAGAGGGCAGCCACGAGAGGGAAAAAATATGGACAAGTGTCAATTCAATTCCTCCTTTATTTCGGCAAGATAGATTGATCGTCACATTCACGGAGGCTCTCCCTTATCCGTTTTTGGCCAGGTTTAACAAAGCGTGCAACACCAACGTGTCTAGAACGTATAGGACGACCTGATATCTTCTCACCAAGTGCGGAGTAATATGCGAATGCCCGTGGATGAAAGAGGAGAAACATGACCTGATATAGTTTGGATGATGCAAAATGCAACCCTCGCCGTTTAAGCTTGATTTTGGCAACCCACAGAAGACCATTTTCCTTCCTACGGCCATTACCGTTCAGTTACTTCATATGTACAAGCTAGGGAAGAAGAAATATATAATTACAGCTGTTGGCTACCTCCTGTCAGCCTTAATATTCCTGGGTCTTTTTGACCCTACAGAAAAACATCCACTGCATCTAATATTATTGCCTCTCACCTCCCTCCTACCCAACACGGATTTACCATTGGGAGATGCTTTTGAGATGAGGCTTCAAGCTTCACCAATGTTTCAATTTTGCCCGCTTCATCCTCCCCCCCCCTCGAGCATACAATTCTCTATCAGATGCGCTTTCTGTTCCGAAAATAAAATATTAATATTAACGATAATAACAATAATAATAATAATAACCATAGAATATAGCATCTCGGCGAAAACAACCACGGTTCCTGCCTCGCCATTTCTTCTTCCCAATTAGGTTTATTTCCAGCTACCATAGTCCCGTTTGGCGAAAAAAATACTATGTAATCCAGGCGGCCGATTTGATCGTGCGAGAAGCCAACTATTCCTGGATATGACGATGAACATAACTTCTTACACATACTTCTCTCCTCTGTCAATCAGCCACGGATATTATTTTCCTATAACAAACGCTGATATTGGACGGTGAGCCATTACATCCTTTTCATCTGACCCAAAGGAAATGGCAGGAAAGAAAGATAAATATATTTTATTTATTTTAGAGAACGGCCCCTGAGAACGTCCTATTCTACGGCCCAGCTATATCCCTTCTCCCGATTAAACCCAACCCAGACAAATTTAATATACCTCACACCCGAAACCGAAAGTTCAAACCCATCACTACCAAACATCCCAACACTGAATCCAATCCGGCCTGTCACATAACGAAAACAAAGACAAAGACAAAACCGAAAAAGAAGAAAGAAAAAGAAAAAGAAAGAAAACAGAGAAAATCTAAAAAGACCCCCGAGAGAGCCCGCCAGCCATGTGCAGCAAAGCCTTCTACGTCCACAACTGCGGCCACAGAAGTTGGGGCCCCCTCCAGCGATGCGGGAATAGATACGTCTGCCCCCCTGAAAACACCCTCTACTATCCCATCCGTGTCAACAACCCGTGCAGGTTTTGTCGGCCGCGCCGTTGCAATTCTGCTACGTCTGCTGCTTCTACTTCTGCTTCTACTTCTGCTTCTGCGGCTGCTGCTGCTCCACCTACCGGTTTCCCTGGACGAGTTGACATGGGCGGTGTCGATGCTGGTGATGGCGGTTTGAGACCTAGAGGCAGTCTTTGGGATTGCATGGGGGACTCGTCTGGGAGACTATATAGTAGTGACTATGCGTAACAGATAGGGGAATGAGAGGGAATAGGGGAGGGGGATGTTAACATGAGGTATTTGTGAGAGTTGGAGATAAGGAGATGAGTCCGGCTTTGTTAATTTTTATTTTTCCTTTCCTTTTACTTTACGTTATTTCATGTTTTTGTTGGTGTGGCTAATGGATATGAAAGACTGCTGTTTTTTTGGACTAACGCATTGAGTGATTCGTGATATTTAACCTACGGGGGCGTTTACGGGTTGGTTGAGGATTTGCCGCATATTTTTACTTTTTCCCTTCCCTCTGTTTCTTCTCTCTCTCTTCCCCTTTTCTCTCTGCCGTTTAGTTACCATCCAAGATATTCATGTTGGAGACTTTGCTCTCGTTTACATTAGACAGCATTTATTTATTCATTGATATTTTTAATGGTACATCATTTTGCCATACGTGATGAACGTTCCTCACACACACACACACGGATCCCCGAACCCCTGGAATATGGGAATTCATTCTGTTTAAATTCATATATCTCCGTTTTCTACTTATCTCCCTATCTCTTTGCTTAGACCCTGCATCTTTTCTTGCAAAAACTATCAGGTTACTCCTACCTCTATTCGCTTGCTCCCTATCCTATCGAGATCAATATCAATCAAGTCAAATACATATACGGTCTCTGGCTTAATATTTGAGAATGTGAGTGCTGATAATCTCGCGCGAGGGGGTCGTAAAATCTCTTGCATCTTGCAAGTGGACTCCGTTTTATTTCGATTACTTGATACTCACCGCACAGTAGCCTACCTAACTTGTAGATAGAATGGGTAGGGTAGGGAGGGCAGTTGCTATTATTGACTCAGCATGAGCGCAACATATATGAATTGGTCTCAACCCTTGATATGGCCATCGAATCGAGAGAACATACCATATAACCCATTGGGCTATTTGCGACGAAGGTAAGTCAGTTGCATCCACATGTTCCAAATATTCTTCTCTTTTTTCTTGAGATACGACGACAAAACCACATGATGTATCAATTGGTTTGAGGCTGCCTGCGCTTAGATTTTGTAACTGACGATTTCAATTCAGATATATTTATGTACATGTACATGTACATACATAGGTCTGAATTGCGGATTCATGTTCGTCGTCCCCAGCTATTCCAACCGGGATAGACAGAATATATTGAGAAGTCTTTAATTTTTGCGTCCCTTTCAGCGTATTGGCCCAGGCACGAAAAACCGAATATTGCCATTGATCTTGAATGCAACTTCTACTTGAGTTAAATAGCGCCTGATATGGCCATTACGCCGCAAAGCAGCTGTTGCTGTGTCTGTGCTATCAAAACTCTACCCTGGCCTTTGAGACAAGGATGGTTCAAAGACCGTTCGCGCAAGGGTTCCAACGTACCCTCGAGGACCGGAACACCCATGTTCTTCCATGTGCATGTATGTACATTACATGTACATGTACCTGTACCTGTACATGTAGAGCACGTACATATTTTCCCGAATTAGATAGGAGATCCTAATGGTGGTCTACGATAAACGATATACTACACAAGCCAATCGGGGAGGCTAGTTGGACGGTTCTACCATTTTATGCGAACGACTATGTGTCTATCCAGGGCAGTCAACAAATATACTTTGCGATGAGCCTTGAGGAAAGACAAACGAGTGTTTTTCCCTTTCTCTTTAGAAACAACACCGTGGAGTGAGAGGAAGGACAAATGGCCTGGTTTACTTTTTCCCCGCCTGAAACCGTCATATGGAGAAGAAAGTTAACTTATGATGAATCCAATACTTACAGGTAATGTTAGTATCATATTCTCCATGCTGATGGAAGTTGACAGAGCATTTTTCAAGCCTTAGCGTATTTTTCTGCATTAATAGAAGCAGTCCCCATTGGTTTCGGAGGGTCATGTTGAACAGGAGGGGACTCATGCAGGATGCTCAGGCTAAACCACTAAATATCCAGAGCGTAGCAGGATCTGTCACAAGGACTGTATAAGGATTCACCTTGCCTTTATATGCATGTGTGCGCAGTGTCACCGGCTTCCCTGAAGGCTGAAGGTATAATAAACATTTTGAGAATTGTTTCAAAACAGCCTCAGCAGTCACTCCCAGCCTTTCTTTTACCAAAATCTCGAACTCACCGGCCCGTAGCCAATTGCAGCGTCGGGTAGTTAGCTGATCTAGGTTCCCTACCGGAAGTTGCTTTATATCCATGGGCAAGATTACTCCCATGCTATCGAACCCTACTACCGCAACAAGGATTATACCAGGAACACAAAGCAGGGCATTGGGGGTTCTATCCGTCTCTTCCGTCCTTTGCTCCCGGAACATATGCGAACGCTCCCATCTTGAAACGCTGCCGGAGCCGGGGAGTGTTCGTAGCTCCACGGCCCGTATCATTTGTTTACCGGTCAAACAGGCCCCTGCATTTTGATCTATCAGTTCATGCAAGAGTGTGGTCAAGGATAAAAAATCCTATAGCCAAGGGCCCCGGTATGGATCATGCCTTGATTTACGTATGCAGCCATCCTGAATTCTTGAAATCGTTCCCTTGCTAATTGAGCGTCACTTCTTTCTCCCCAGCACCCGAGTTATCATGCGAGCTTTGGGCATGAACTGCAGATATAGTGAAGAACAACTGAGCTCGAAAATGAGAGAAACGACGCAACATCACCAACAGTTAGATATGTTCTTTCATAATCAGGGTGATCTAAAAACTATCACTACTGCCTCACCATGAGGCTGACATGTTACAAGATAGGAGATTACATAAGCCTGCGGATTTTGTTCCAGGAGCGTTTCAGGATCCATTGGCATAATTCGTTTTCTATCCCTAAATAGGTATATAATACCGTTTTCCAGTGATGGGGGAGAAATGCCTGATATATGCGTCGCAAACCGAAAGGAAACGACCACGACACTCAAGGAGGGGACATACGCAACAACTCAGGCAAAGGGGAAGGGGAAACGTTACAAGATCCACTTTTGAAAGAATATCCAATGCCGAATGCGGTCCACCTAACGGGATGGCTCCTGCTGTTTCACTACGAGATTCAAGATTAGTCCAGCCTATCTTCATGATATTTAAATAGGCTAGGTAGAAGTCCCGACGTACTCCTTCCATTGCTGCTCTCCGCGCGGGCCGCTCGATCCGAACAAGAATCAGTTGTTATTTTTGAATGCTGACGGACCAATGTACCGGAACCTCTGGCCTTCGGACTTCCTGGATATACACAGATCTGCCATATTATTGTCAGGGGTTCACACTGCTCAGTTGCCCGACTGTCTCCAGGGAGGTGTACCATGCGGTTATCGATAAGGAATTACATGTATCAACCCTGCGAATGATTTCTATTGGACTCGATCCTCGCACTTGGGAGACAGTCGTTCGCCAGTTCGCAGCATCGGCAACATGAACCTGGTTGGCGTCACTGACATCAACACATTGGCCTGGCTATCTTGATTCTTCTGGCGCTCCAATACATGCTGCCCCTACCCCGGTATCGGAACCAGATTGCCGGAAATGACATCGCTCGGCTGCGTCGTTGTTCCTGCTTTTATGTCCGGTTTCATGTACAGGGTCACTTCTATTCAATACCATCCCATGACACTATAGAGAAAAGAACATATCACAGAGCGATTTTCCGTTCCAGTGCTGACGAGGCAATCTGCCATAAGGTAGTTTTGTTTGGTAAAATGATGATGATGAAGTGGTACGTGCTTGTTCATGTCAGACCGTGGCTGAGTTTCTGATGGAGATGCCATAGAATGAATATTGTTGTATATTCCTGATTACCAAGGTAGATAATATTATTTACCTTGTTCCTACATGCAACGACAATTGCATTTTGAAGAGGTGAGAGAGTAACCTCAAGTTAGCATTTCTCGTCCGCTGGCATGCGACGAGTCCCTGCAGCTGGGGGTTTGGGACATGCTTACTGCGTAGTTCGGCAAGCTTCAAAACAACAGGACTACTATCAGGAAAAGCGTACTACGAAGTTCGCCAGACAAATGTGAGAACTGAAAGAAACATACTCTGTACCTCCTCCTTCTACATCTCTTGGTCACAAGGCCGAATTAGCCCCCATATTGCTACGTCCACACATATTCACAACATCTAATAAACTTTGCAGCGAGCCAATGGAAGAGGGTGGGATTTGCCCCCAGCCTTTGCATTCGTCAATCACCCAGTCACTGGCATGGCATATTTAACGTACTGAAACAAGCCACGTAAATCTCACACTGGGTTCCAGTAAGCATGCTTCACTCCTTCGACGGAAGTAATTAATTGGACGGAGAATTTCCCATCGAAACCGCGGAGGTAGTTCGGACTCTGAGAATCCGACGGAGAAAATTGCGGGGAAACTAACTCATGATCTAATTGCAAAAGAGAATAATCTGTACGAGCGAGGGGGCTCTGCTTCGCGAAAAATCATCTTGCCCTCAATCTTCTTGCCCTGATGGCTGAGCAGATCAGTGGGGATTGATTCTGCGGAAAGAAGACAGCCCATTATTGATTGTCATTACGGCATGCGTAAGCAGATGAAAGGCTGTGACAATAATTCTCCGGTTCTACAAATGAACATTGTGATGGCTTGTGACGAAATTTCTGGACGACAATTCTCCGAGTTTGCACCTGCAGTCGACATTCCCCGCGAAAATACTCCGAACTAGAGTAATATCTGTCGCCATGGCCATGGGTCTTCGGTGCGTACGCGGTACACCCCAAATTCGGTATGATCCTTGCAAAAGTGCTTGACGTTGATTAGCGTTGTGGGAGACCAATTAAGAAAAAGCAGCGGCCAGATCGCGATATCATACTTTTTTGCCCCTGGATAACCTGTTAATAATAATTGCTTGCACTGTGTGTTGTTGCAGGGCCTTGGTCGGAGGTTAGTGCAGAGCGCTCGAGAACAAGTGCGGTATGTACTGTGGTCTAATACTGAGGGTCATTTATTAACTATATGAATTATTTTTATTTAATTATTAATATTAATAATTACTTCTACTCTGTACATGCATTCTCACTCTATTATCAAAAGAAAACATAAGCGAGGTATATAATAAAAAACTAACGAAAATACAGGGGTAACCGTGCCATGCTTACTCACTCTCTGTAGTGAGTGCGCCACAGTGTATGGAAAACCACACTGTAAAGAAAATATTTTCAATATCTTCATTCTTCATCTTCAAATAATCATCATTAATTATAATCATGTCTAAATCTTCTAATTACACTGAGAAGCAGTTGCAAAGAGCTGTTGACATATACAAAAGTAATTCAAAATTAAAAATCACATCTCTATTACAAGAATTCAAAGTCTCATATATTATTTTATATGAGAGAATCAATGAGAAGAAATCAAGAACTATGAGAGTTTCACTGAATCAAGCATTGAATAGCAGTCAGAAAGAGATAATTAAGATATAAATTCATCAGTTAAATATTAATTTTTACTCATTTATCATTGAGTATATCAAAGCTGCTGTGAACTGCATATTAAGATAGTATTATACAGATTCAGAGACTGCATCTCTCACAGTAAGTAAGATATAAATATATCAATTCATTAAATGTCTGTCAGATTATAAATAAATTAAGTAAAAACTCATGAATTCAAAACAAGTGTTTTATAAGAATATAAGCTTCATTATTAACTGATTTAATTAATATGAAGCTGTCTTTAATTATTAATTTTTTCACTGTGATATCTACAACTTTGATAAAATTAAATTTTAAGAAGAAGAAGAACACAGATAGTGAGTTATAATTATCTTTAAAGACATGAATTCTATTATACAGTTATCATACTTCTGTGAGTTAATAACAGTAATAAAGTATATTAGTGCAGATAATACAGTATTAAATTCATTAATTATAATAAAATTAAAGATTTATCTAGAGAATTAATATATATACTTCAACTTATCTGATAACTATATTATCACTGTATCTGAGTCTGGCTTTATAAATGATAAGATTGAATTTGAATAAATCAAGTGATTCAATAAGATGATAAAAAAGTGTTAAATAAGCAGTTATTAACTGCTATTAATAAATAATCATGATTCTCATCTCATAGAAGAATTTATTCAATACTGTGATCTTTATAAGATTATTCTGTTTGAATTCTCATCTTATATAAGTTATATTCTATAATCTCTTAATAGTGTATCTTTTCAGCAGTATAAGTATTATCATATGAAGACAGTTAATGAGACTATCTGCTATAGATATGAGTAGTATAATAATAGATAATTTCTTACTAATCTGAAGAGTATTTAACTATAAGTATTTAAATCTAATACTGTGAGAGCTGGCTTTATCAACTATGAAATGTATTCAGTTAATTATGATATAATTTTCAATTAATTGAGATCTCTTATCATTAATAATGCTCTGAATCTCAACATATATAATAATGATAGTAATATATGCAATCACTTTATCTCATCATCTGCAGATTAACTGTCAACTGTCTTCTATAATATAACAGAACTGAAGCAGTGACTAGTCAGCGGCATTATATAGAGATAGTTGTTTGAGAAGCTATATAAGTGAGCTTAACTATCTTGCTTAAATAGTGAGCTCATAGGCTACAGAGTTATTGTGAGAATATCATAGATATAATACTTAGTATACTAAGAAGATTGTATAAGACATGCAGTAACTCTCATATATATTTCAGTAGAAGAAAAATGAATCACTGACTTCTTTTATAAAAAGTCAGTATCTAGCTATTCTATATAGATAATAAGCAGATACTCTTCTCTCATTTCATGAGTGAGAATAGCTGAAGTGATATCTTAGTAATGTCTTACTATCAAGAAAAAGTAATCTGCTAATCTTGTATAGAAGTAGAATTCTCATATTCATTAATCAGATCTTTCTATGATATATCTGAATAATATTATAGAGTGATTGAAAACTGGTTTGAATAATCTGCAGAATGAATGAAATTATTCATATAAAAGTAGTAAGCTGTGTGAAACTGCAGCAGAGTCTTGACACAGTTAGAGACATGACAATATTCTTCTCTTTAAAAGCATAGTCTTGATACTCTTAAGATTACTAAATTAGAAATTATCTTTATTATATAACAACAGTTACTAACTGATTGACAGTGTATATACTGTATAAAGAAATAGATGAGCTTTTCTACTGACTGTGTAGATCTTTCTTTTCTCATCTTCATTTAAATCAAACACATGATAAGTGAGTTTCTTATATATTAATTTAAAATGTGAAAAATGTAGTTAATAAGTGACTTGCAGATCTCTTATTATATTTCATTCTATATATAAAATTCTCTGTAAAAGTGATATATTTTAGAGACAAAGCTAACAGTAGTGATAGAATTTTTTAAAAAGATCTCTCTCTCTGTAAAACATTTTTCTTTCTCTCTCTTCAATTGTAATAGTGAGTGTATAAAAGTATCATTCTTGAAGAATAATAAAGAGCTTATTCTGATATTTTCTAGTGAGTAATAAATGTCTTCATAATACAGCTGCAGTCTCTGTGACTGTTAAGAAAGCCAGGTTGAAGATGAAGACAGTAATATCAATGAGTCATGAAAGCACTGCTTTCATTATCATATCTTCTCTTTCTTCTGCATCTCTTACAGCTGCAGTGATAGTAGCTGCATCTTGCAGTGAAATGTCATTTCTTCTATCAGCTGATTTATCTGCATCTGAT